CTCACTATACTATCTTGTTTGATGCCTGACCATACTATGACGTTTTTATGAACTTTTATTGCCTTGATATAGTATGATGTTTTTTTGACGTTTTATGCCATACTATACTATGACGTTTTTTGGCATTTTTATGCAATACTATACTTAGGGTTTTTTTGACATTTTTTTGCTTAATTATATTATTTTGTTTCATGCCTTGCCATACTATGACGTTATTAAGACCTTTTATGCCTTAATATACAATAATGTTTTTTTGACGTTTTATACCATGCTATATACTATGACGTTTTTAGGCATTTTTTTGCTTAATTATATTATTTTGTCTCATGCCTTGCCATACTATGACGTTATTAAGACCTTTTATGCCTTAATATAGTATGATGTTTTTTTGACGTTTTATGCCATACTATACTATGACTTTTTTTTGCATTTTTATGCCATACTATAGTTAGGGGTTTTTTTGGCATTTTTTATGCCTTAATATAATATCCTGTCCAATGCCTGACCATACTATTATGTTTTTATGACCTTTTATGCCTTAATATAATATCCTGTCTGATGCCTGACCATACTATGACGTTTTTATGACCTTTTATGCCTTAATATAATATCCTGTCTGATGCCTGACCATACTATGACGTTTTTATGACCTTTTATGCCTTAATATAATATCCTGTCTGATGCCTGACCATACTATGACGTTTTTATGACCTTTTATGCCTTAATATAGTCTGATGATTTTTTGACATTTTATGCCATACTATACTATGACGTTTTGGGGCATTTTTATGCCATACTATACTATGACGTTTTGTGGCATTTTTATGCCATACTATAGTTAAGGGTTTTTTTTGGCATTTTTATGCCTTAATATAATATCCTGTCTGATGCCTGACCATACTATTATGTTTTTATGATCTTTTATGCCTTAATATAGTCTGATGATTTTTTGACATTTTATGCCATACTATACTATGACGTTTTTTTTGCATTTTTATGCCATACTATACTTAGTTTGTTTTTGGCATTTTTTTGCCTTATTATATTATTTTGTCTCATGCCTTGCCATACTATGACGTTATTAAGACCTTTTATGCCTTAATATACAATAATGTTTTTTTGACGTTTTATGCCATACTATACTTAGGGTTTTTTTTGGCATTTTTATACCTTAATATAATATCCTGTCTGATGCCTGACCATACTATTATGTTTTTATGACCTTTTATGCCTTAATATAGTATGATGTTTTTTTGACGTTTTATGCCATACTATACTATGACTTTTTTTTGCATTTTTATGCCATACTATACTTAGATGTTTTTTGTCATTTTTATGCCTCACTATACTATCTTGTTTGATGCCTGACCATACTATGACGTTTTTATGACCTTTTATGCCTCAATATACTATAATGTATTTTTGACGTTTTATGCCATGCTATATACTATGACGTTTTTTGGCATTTTTTTTGCTTAATTATATTATCTTGTCTCATGCTTGCTATACTATGACGTTATTAAGACCTTTTATGCCTTAATATACAATAATGTTTTTTTGACTTTTTATGTCATACTATACTATGACGTTTTTTGGCATTTTCATGCCATACTATAGTTAGGGTTTTTTTTGGCATTTTTATGCCTTAATATAATATCCTGTCTGATGCCTGACCATACTATTATGTTTTTATGACCTTTTATGCCTTAATATAGTATGATGTTTTTTTGACGTTTTATGCCATACTATACTATGACGTTTTTTTGCATTTTTATGCCACACTATACTTAGATGTTTTTTGTCATTTTTATGCCTCACTATACTATCTTGTTTGATGCCTGACCATACTATCACGTTTTTATGAACTTTTAGGCCTTAATAGATAATAATGTTTTTTTGACGTTTTATGCCATACATGCATTTTATGACATTTTTATGCCGTACAATATTGTGACAATTCTATGCCATTCTATACTTTCACGTTTTTATGCCTCACTATAGTATTACTATGCTATACTATACCTAACATTTCTATGCCTTTTTATGTCTTACTATACTATGATTTTTTAATGCCTTAATATACTCTGACATTTTTATGACTTTTTATTCCTTACTATAGTTTTTATTACTTTTTACGCCTTACTATAACATGACATCTTTATGCCTTAGTATACTATCACTTATGACATACATAAAACATATATGTCCCTGTGTGAAGATTGATTTTACCATATTTTTCACCTATAAGAGGATATATGTCTATGATATATATACATCCTCTTGATATATGAAGAACTTTTATCGTTTATACATACATGAAATACCCATAGTAAAATGCAACTATATTTATTTATAAATCAACATTCTTATTAAAATTCTATATTTTTGTGTATCATTTTTGTAATAATTTTCTTACTAGATTTAAACATACCTGTCTATCTTTTATATTCACGCATATAATATGTACATATACTGACATGCTTTGGTATTGATATTTATTTTATGTAACATGTCTATAATATTAACAGAAATACTAAAATATGTGTTTCTATTAGCTAGACATGTATGTCAATATATGACAATTTCTTACAGGTTCCACGTGTAATTATATATATACAGTATATATATATATATATATATATATATATATATAGGCTATACTTAAAATACATATATGATTTTCCTTCATATGTACATATATTTCATATGGAAATTCAACACATTTACATGTATTGCATTTGTGTATTGGTGTTCCTGAATGTAAATTCAGATCTTGATAAATCAGATGTTAATAAAATGTGTAACTGTTGACTGGTGACACATTCTGATCACATCCTGCAATAATATCTTCACTCACTTGATGAAGATTTGCTCTTCTGTCTTTCCTTATATATGACAGTAATGCATGAGCATCACTGTCATCAAATGTGTGCTGTTGACCACAATTTCTGATCATATTTACTGATGTCTTTCCCACGGATCTAAATGCAGATGTCACTTAATTCACTGTTCCTATTGAAATTTGAAATATGCATTTCTTATATTATATTCATATTTTTCCACTCATTTATTCAGGTTTTTCCTTTAATTTATCACCCATTTATAACATGCCATCAGCGAAACATGGCTACAAATTCTGTTCCCTGAATGCAACATCTGGAGGCCTCAGTCGATAGGCTACAGTTCATGTCGTCACACCAGGAAACAGGAGGCTGAGTTCAGTAGTATCTCGAGATTTATGCTGTCCTGTGGTGTTTTTCAAAACTGTTCATTTATTACAGTACTTCACTTCAATGTCTTTCTGTATGTATTTCTGTATTTCTGAATAAGTTTAAATCAGTTCACAAAGTTCTGTTAATTGAGCAAAAAAAATACAAGAACGTGTAGCCCAGTCTCAAAATAAGTTAAGATAATAAATCATACAATTTACAGCCACTGAAAACGTATACAGCACTGTATGCGTAGAGATTATATTTCATTATGTAGTATATTATGCTACAGTTAATAATGATAAATAAAAACGGTCCAATTACTTGACAGGTTTGGTTTAATATCACAGATTCCAGCTATTTTCAGCAACCTGTTTATGGTGGCATTTCCCTGATCCCAACCCTGAGAACATGTGGTGTCTGCAGTGAAGCTGGTTTGCCCACCTCAGATTTTTTTCTTTAGTTCTTTCTTTTTTTTTTTATCTCTACCCTCTGTTTATAAACATGGAAAGAACAAGATGGTTCAAAAACTTGGATTATGGATCTGTGAAGGAGCGGGAGCACATGGGCAATAAACGAACAAAAACTGAACAGACCATCCACTGGAGTGCGCTGCTGGGAAATAAAACTAAAAAAGGGAGATAAGTTACATAAACACACAGTAATACTGCACATATAGTGCAACTTCATGCACTTTATCACAGAAACATCTGGTCAAAAATTAACTTATTGTCTGGTTGATAGCTCGATGAACCTGCCTCACCTTTAAGAGCATTGTTTAATCAGACCTGGAAATTTAAAATAAATTTAAGTCCCACATTATGTACAAAGGTGGAGAGAAATAACAACACCTGCAGAATATAGTAAAAGGCATTGCAATCAGCCTGCACCAAATGTTACTTGCTTTTGTAAAACTTTTGTTCATTGGTGAAGTGTTGCTTTAACTCCTACGATTTACCTCTATAGGTAACCCTTGAGACCATAGTGAGTAGTGCTGATGTTTGGCATTCATGGACAGATTATGAGTCAATGGGCTGCTAAGTGCAGATGTGTAAAATGTTCCCCAACCACAGACTGAAAACATACTCTTTTTGGTCGTTTTGCATGTCTTTGTGCATCTGGATTCAGTTGTTTTGCATCTCCTTTTGGTTGTTTTGTGTGTGTTTTAGTAGTCTTGCATCACTGAAGTTACTTACTAGTGTCTTTTTTAATGTTTTTTTTTTCATATTTTTGCTCATTCTTTGTCAAGCTGGTCATTTAGCATGTCTTTATTGTGATTTTGTGTCTACTTGTTTAGTGGCTGTTGACATTTTTCCATCTCTTTGTACTTGTTTTACAACTCTTTTAGCCGTTTTATGTCTCCTTGTGCTCATTTTGCATCTTTTTCTTTGTTGCTGTTTTATGTTTATGTTTTATCTTATTATATTTTGTGTTTCTTTGTAGTTGTTTGACAAACACTTCACCTGCTCCAGGAGCCCCGTCTCCTTTGGCCCCTGCGCCTGTGCCCAGTTTACTCAATCAATAATCTATCCATGGTGGCTGTATAGTATATTGTAAGATGTTATTTTGTCCACATGACATGAGCCCATACTTCAGACAGCCGCTGTGCTCTATATGTTTAACTTACTAGTGAAGAAACAGTCCTCATATTTTCAAAACTTCTCTTGTCTGTATCTAAAGGTCTATGTCATACTACTTATTATATAGCCACATTTTAATCACTTGCAACACCTACAAATTGCATGTTGCTATAACAGCAATTAACTTACATGTAAGAATAACAGGAGAAAAATCCATACTATGCTTTATTATTAACACAGGCTTAAAAATATAGATACATAGCTTTTTCAGAGTTTGGGCTGAATATTAATAAGAAAGACACTTTAACAGGAACAAAAAAGAGAAGCAACTGATCCAGAGGTACACAGAATTGTACAATGTGTTTGGTTAGTTCAAATCAGACATGATAAGTCAGTATGCAACACAAGTAAAATGTTAAAATGACAATCTTTCATCTTGTTGGTTTTTAGCTGGAGGTTTCGGAACGTGGCACCAGCTTCAGTTTGATTGGTCGTTTCGGCGAAATCAGACCCTGGATGTCCATTTCTAAGGGGATCTGGCAGGAAATTTTGTGAAGAGAGAAAGAGAAAGAGAAAAATAGAATTAGATTTGGTATTGGACATTTTAGCTCAGTTTCAGTAATATATTAAATGTTTACAAATCAATCTGTTGTGTCATCTTTTGATGTTTAGACTGACAGACAGGAAATTTAATTTCATAAATATATCAAGATTATAAATAAGATTACTCATACACCATAAAAAAAAACAATAACATGCAGTGTGTAAAGATAAACATCTGTTGTCTCACCTCTGTCTCCTTACACACAGCGAAGCTGTGCCTCTGGAGGATCTCCACCATTGCAAGTTTCATCATCACCAGAGCAAATCGCATCCCAATGCAGTTCCTAGGCCCTGCTCCGAAAGGCATGTATGTGTAGGGGTCAATAGTCTCCTTGTTTTCCTTGCTGAACCTGAGGATACACATACAGACAAATGTTAACGAACAGAAATGAGGCAATCATCTGCAGAGCTCAGGTCCTCTCTGAGGAAGTTTTTAGCATTTACTGGCTGTTTTGGCAAATCTTAATGTATAAATCCTTCTTATACCTCTCAGGTTTGAACTCCTCCGGTTCAGGCCACAGATCGGGGTCCCGGTGCAGGGGCCACGTGGGGACCAAGACAATCATATCTTTTGGAATTACAAGGCCATTTATCTCAACAGATGCTTTGGCCACACGCTCCAGGCGTGGGGCAATGGGATACAGTCGGAGAGACTCATTGATGACACTGTCTAAATACTCCATCTGCATCAGTGCCTGATAATCAACAGGAGCCTACAAAAAAACACAGACACATATATACATGACTATAATGAATTCTTACTCATGACACTCAAACGCAGACCACTGCTCTCTCAGGTAAATGCTGAATAAATACACTGATGGTTGACAAGATACTGCTGCTGATATAGCCTGTAAAATTATAATACTACTACTTTGGTGTGACTACAAATTGTACCATACCATAATCTTTAATTTACTGATTCCAGTAAAAAGAAAAAGGCAACCACCTTCTCATTTTTGTTGTACCTACTGTTGGATTTTAAGACACAGACCATTTGTCAGAGCTCCACTGATCAATTCTTTTCATAGTAATAGAATAGTTTTGGTAAATATGCTTACTCAGAGAGTTAGATCAGAAGATGAACACCACTCTCATGTCTATCCGGTAAATATGAGGCTATAGCCAGCTTGGCGTGGCATTAAAAACAAGCAGCTAACCTGGCTCTGGTTAGAGGTAACAAAATCTGCTAACTATAACTTTTAAAGCTTTAATTAATACAATATACTCTGTCTTGTTTAATCCATACCAAAAACAAACCAACAAGTTGTGGTTTAATGAGGGCTATTTGCTTCCCCTGTTGCCATTCTGTATGATAAGCCAAGGATATGAAGCATGAGTACTGTCGGTCACCATTTTAGGCAAAGAAATTCTGTGTGCAACCTGCCCAGCAATTAGCAGACAGACAATGTTAGCCAACAGCCAGTAAAATTAAACATCTAGCAGCTAATGACTTTTCTCAAGCATTCCAGGAAACCAAGACACAGCTGATTTAAATTCATAGCGTGGCTAGAAACACAATTTCAAATTAATGATAATGTTCTTCCATGTTGCAATTTTGCAATTGTTTACCAACAAATTAGCCATAACAACTTTTAAAGATGTGAGGTCAACATGTTCGTCAGCTTGTTATGGTGTTCCTCTGCCCCCAAGTGGCCAAAAACCAATGAAGGTAGCTTTGAATGAATTACTCTCTGATACCTTGAACTTTGTCCCCTCCTCACTTCCTACGTACCTTGTTAGGGAAAGTAGACTCAATCTCCTCCTGCAGCCGTTTCATGACATGAGGGTTTCTCGCCAGATTGTAAGCCAGGAAAGTCATAGAGCTGCTGCTTGTTTCGTATCCAGCAAAGATGAAAATCATGGCCTGAGAGAGGATTTCATGATCATTTAAACCTGAGGAGATAGAAAGGAGTTGTGATTTAGAATAGCTTCACTTTGAGCTGTCATATGTATGCAGATGGCTGTGTGAGTGTTTATCACCTTTATCCTGGTCTCCCCCCTGGTTTTTCTGGGAGTCAATCATCAGCTGAAGGAAATCCACACGACTCTGAAAGCAGACATCTATGAGGAATTTGATTATATTTCTGAATCTGCTGATACATACATACATACATACATACATACATACATACCTTTAGCTTGCTGGTCTCTCGATTAGACTTGATCTTCTGCAGTGAAGCGTAAAAGAAGTCCGTGACAGAGGCAGGGAAAAAGGAAAACTCTAACTTTTCAAATAAAGGACCCATGAAGGGGAAGAAGGCTGAAAATATATAGAATGAAATGTATTTAGTTCCTAACCAATAAAAAGTTATCTTGAGTTTAAGTTGAATTTGAAACTGTAAAAGCCAAGAAAGCCAGTGAGTGAACTGACTGTAAACATTCACAGTAAGTTACCTAACACAGATGTTTTTGCTTTACCAGCCAGGTGAAGGACAAATTTATAATTAGCTGTATTTTACAAAAGTAAAATGAACACCGTACCAACAATGAGGAAGAGAGGGTTGAAAAGGTCAAACTTCAGCATCTTCTTGATGTTAGTGACAAAGGGATCTGAGGGGTTGTTGAGCGAGTCTATGTCCACACTGAATGCTGTGCTGGTTACGACATCCATACTGTACGGTCCAAAGAACCTAAAGAACACACAAACCCATCAGATATTCTCATCCTTTCAAGCTTACAAATAGTTGATGTAATGCATTTTCTGGGACCATTTCAAATTAATGCAGTTGGAGAGTAGTGAGTGTTCTTACTCCTTCAGCTCTAAGGGCTCATCCTTCTCTGCCGTCTTATTCATGCTGCTGACCAGGTTAGCAGAGTGCCGCTTCATTATGTCAAACATCTGAGGTACAGACAGATGGAGAGGAAAAACAGTCACACATTGACTTGTTGAAATACTACACTGGCACAGAGTTCCTGCTGTTTCTGTTTGTGCTTCCTCTAGATCAGTATTTACCTATGTAGGGGTCAAAACCCCAAAAAGAGTTTCCAGGATGAGTGTGGGAGACTCAAGTGGACAAAACGATAATTTAGGCCTCTAAAAATCCTAAAAATGACGCAGTCCAAGAGGGAAAACATGTTTTGGTTGAACTGATGACAACTACATCTATAGATATAATCTATATCTATCTATAAGGGCTCAAAAGAAGGCATAGCTTCATTTTAAGGTGTCACAAACCAAACAGGTTGGGAACCTCGGCTGTAGAAAGAATCGACTTAAGTTGCAGCTCAGAGCTTGATAGAAAAATATATCATGTTGAACCTGCAACAGAAGCCAGACGAGGCAAAGAGGAGTAGAGGGTCTTACCTCTTTCAGTCTTCCTGAGGTGAAGGAGGGAGAGAGGACACTGCGAATCCTCCTCCACTGATCATCTTCAGCGATGGACACAGCGTCGTACAATTGGCCATTCAGACGGAAGTTCTGTATTAGAGTTAGAAAACATCTGCCGATGAGGGTGAGACTTCAACTAAAAAGCAGCGATCATAATGAGTGAGTGAACGCGTTACATAGTGTGTGTGCGTACTCTGCGGTTGGTGAAGAGAGAGTAACACTCCTTTATCAGAACAGTTTTTATCATGGCAGGGTCCGTGATACACAGCACAGGCTGACGACCATCAAAAATGCTAAATGTGATAAGAAAAGAGCAGAATATGAATATAAAGTTATTAAAACACCAGGTGAGATTTTCATTCTCGTTTTTTTTATTTATTTCCATTTCGGACATACGAGCTCCTCTAAGGACAACAAACAGAAATATCTTCTATACATGCATTAACACTCTGTAGACATAATACTGTTTACATGTATACATGCAGACTTACCCCCATGTTTTCCCATATTTCTTGAAGCACTCTGTGTCAAAGCCAGTGAATCCCTAGGTAGATAATAATAAATGAGATACTTTTACAATATATTCAAATATGTAAATCACTATCAATAATAGTATAAAATTCTGCGGTTTTTACAATTTAAAATCCAGCTCTGATACCATTAAATAACAGTAAAAGAAAGCATTTTTAATTCTTAAAATAATCATCAAAGTACAATGTAGTTTAGCCACCAGTGGTAAAATTCAAACACACATTGTCAAAATTCAATAATACAGCTGAGATACTTCCATCTACATATAAAGAATTTAAGGCATTTAAGGCTTTCTTTCCCCTCTTAATTCTTAACTTTCACTGGGAACAAATTTCTACCAAATATTTCAGTTGTATTTCCTACTAAAACTGTCCTTATGTCTGAGTCAAAAGGATGTTGTTTCTGAAAAGTGCGGCCACTGTTGAATTTTTCAAATGTCATTTTTTTTCACCGTCACCACCTCCATTCACCTATTAATGAGCACAGCTAAGGAAAAGACTTCTGAAGCAATCCTTAAAGGCTGTAGAATTGTGTGACAGATTATGCACTGTCTTCTTAGAGATCTAAACTCTGCAAACACACCTCCTATGGTATATGTACTGTCAAAACCCCATGGTACGCGTAATGATTGCTGACTAGTGACCAGTTATTATAACCAAAAAATAACCAAAGGGGCATTCAATGTTGTCAGCAAGCATAGTTTAGATAGCTATAGAGCAGCTCAGTTCAACTTTATGCCTCAAATTTACTATACAAAACCACTACACATAGACCAGAAACATTAATATAATAAATACATTTAATGTTCCTATTTGGTGTTCTATCATACCAGTATTTGCCTTGCTAAGTCATGTACATATAGCTAACACTAATGTGTACAGTCTCGTAATAATTCCTCCTTTGTTAAGGTTTTAATATTCCATTTGCTTGAACCTCCTATTGTCTTTTTACAGGCTACAGGTTTGTGGTACCATTGACTTGTATTGAGGGTAGGCTGAATAAAAGAAAGACCTCTCTGTATGATGTAATACAGTTCAACAGCACCACAAACTACAGCAACATGAAGGTAGGATTTACTGCAGGACTGTTGTATTAGACTGCATTAGTTTCAGCTAGGTGTGCCTAATAGACTGCCAACTGAGCGTATGCTGTGGGTTACTCTTGCCTCTGCAAAAATTATATTTACCAACCTTTCTATATGCCAGCATAGTGCCGAAAAAAGGGACAGGTGTGGGACCAGGGATGCCCATTCTTTTAAATGTTCCATATGGCCAATAGGCATACCTGCGAAAAACAAAATGAACAAGAGAAGAGAAGAGAAGAGAAGAGAAGAGAAGAGAAGAGAAGAGCAGAGAAGAGAAGAGAAGAGATTTTCATCATATACACTTACAAAAACATGTACAACAACATGTACAAATATACTTGGACACTTACACAAGTATCAATGTGATGAGAGCAACCAGGAGGGTCCATGTCTCAGCGGAGAAATAGAGAAAGTAGCCCATCTCTTCACGTTGCCTCTCCTCTGTCAGTGGTGGAACTGGTTCCCCCGAAACCAATCACGACCAGAGGCTTTTATGTCCTGCTGCACGGACCTGTTGCATAAGTAAGGCAAGTGAGTGAGAGTTCAACCAATGGCAGCAGCCAGAGACATCAGATGAATGATTGACAGAGAGAGAGAGAGAGAGAGAGAGAGAGAGAGAGAGAGAGAGAGAGAGAGAGAAATTTATAATAATCATTTGTGTTAGCGCTGTCATCTGCGGCGCTGCAATCGTGTGGCCTCAATTGTTATATTGCTTGTGTTAAGAAAGAAAGAAGTCGCACAAAGTTCAGACAAACTGCTTGTAGTTTCTTCTTGGCTCACGCTACATTTCCTGGTTCAAGTGGACAAAAGAAAAACAAAGTCCAATCATGAAACACTAATTTTATGTTTTCGCAGTTGTGTGTAGGATATGTAGTCGAGTGTGTTGTGGTCAAGTTGTCATATTTATTCACACAAAGACGCGTCAAGGCATGAACAAAGAGGGATGGGTGTCAGGAACTCACTCGCTTTGGTTGTTTTCCTTTCCCGAAACTATGTCACTGCACAGTAGGTGAGAGAGGGCCACACGGAGACCACTCCCTCCCTATAAGTGCAGTCAGAGTTTAGTGCAAACTGAGATCAATGCGACTCGGCTGAGCAAGAAAGAGCCATGGGCTTTCTTCCTTTCTTCTCTTTGGAAACATGGATCCTACTGATAACATTCATCTGCATATTTGTTATGTAAGGATCGGAGGTTGTGTTCGAATCAAAGTTGATTATTTTCACTTTGGCGTCTTTGGCAACGTTACTACTAACTGCGCAATTCTGACACTTTCAGACAAGTGCGATTTTAAACGCATATCCTTTCATACTTCTTATCATGTTTCTATTTTTTTTTATTATATATTATAGTAAATGACTTATTTTTCTACTTTATTTTATTTTTTCATCTTTTTTTTTTGTCTTTATAATCTACTTCCTATTCTCTGTTCTTGCTGAGAGAGCAACTGTAATTTATATTTCCCCCTGCGGATCAATAAAGTATTCTGATTCTGACGATTCTGAACAGTTAACTGTCTGATTAACACCTTGTGGCTTTTAAGACATTTAATTCTCCTCTGTTCTGCAAAGGAATGGCTACTGGACTTATGGAGTATTTGAGAAGTTGGGGATCCCTGGTCCCAAGCCATTTATGTACTTTGGATCAATCTGCAGGTTTAACCCTGTATGTACATCCTTGAGTTCTATTTTTAATTTTTAATAATGGATTTAAATCATTTTCATAATATAAATTTAGAAATAAATTTCAGGCTGAATTGATAAGGATCCAACGATGTCTATAATTAATGGCTAATTTCTGTTACCAGGTTTACTACTTGGATGATTTGGAGTGCGCTAAAAAGTATGGGAAAGTATGGGGGTAAGTCTAAAAAGCTTTTAGAAGTGTAAATATAACAACTAGGCTGAAAACCAAATTGTTATTGTATGTTTTGTGAAATTGTGTGTTTGGCAGGTTTTGACCCTTGACTCTAACTTGGTTGATTATGTCAGCAGTGTCTGAATGGGAGCAAATATTGTCCTGCTATACTGAGAAGATTTCCACTACAAAGAGATTTCCACTAAATTCACAAAATGTAAATGTATGTTTATGTAAATGTCCAGCACATATGAGCTCAAGATGCCCATGCTGGTTGTGATGGATCCTGACATGCTGAAAACCATCTTGGTAAAGGAGTGCTTCACCTACTTCACCAACCGGAGGGTGAGAACACACAAGATACACAAGATTAACACTAAAAGCAATAAAAGACAGAAGAATGTTGTTTAAAAGACACTGAACAGTAGCAGAGTAATGGAGCTGGTGAGAATGTGTTCTCATGCTTGGTGGCTCAGTGGTTGTGAAATGCATGAAAACTGACTGTAACAATACATGTCATTTTTTTTCCTTTTCACTACTGGTAAATAATCATACTGGGAACAAGAAGTCCAGACAACAAATTAATTAAAGAATTAAAACATTTTTTTTTTAAAAACATTAGCATACATCAAGTTGTGAATACAATAGTTTGAATATGACCTAATTTGAAAACACCATTAAAGTCTGTTGCCATGCTATTGACCACATGAACCTGTAATATTAATAACACATCAGAAAACAAAATAATTTCATTGATGAAATTGAGAGACCTATCATTAGTAAAGCAAAAAATGTCCATGACCATGTTGTTATACCTAGAGTAAATCAAGAGGTTATCCTATGCTAATGTTAGCATGCTAACATGCACAGATCTATAATACTGAACTAGTTCATTAATCACGCTAATATTCTGGACCGAAGTGGTCAATTAACGAGTCGAAGGTCAAGTAGAATTGCAATTCCATCACTGGAGCCAACACTACTTCAGAGGAAACATGTACTATCAGCCAATTACATTGAATGTTGGAAACCATTGGTAGGCAGTTTCATGTTTCTTAAGGGATAAGACTGTTTATTTATGTATTTATTGGTTTTCTATAGCTTTACCACAAATACATACAATAGTAAGCACACATATACATGCATGTGACCTTTATGACTCTTTAGGACTTCCTTCTGAACGGGGACCTGTATGACGCGGTGACTATTGTTAAGGATGATCAGTGGAGAAGGATTCGTAACATCCTCTCCCCCATCTTCACGTCTGGTCGTATAAAAGAGGTAGGGGTCAATTTTTCTAATTTCTTCGATTCATATTTGGGTAGATTGAAACTATTTATATATTCATCTTCACCTTTATTCTACTTCGGTTTATTTTGCTCTCTCTTCCTCTGTTTAAGATGTTTAGTATCATGAAACATCATTCCCGCAAACTGACAGACAAGCTGCAGTCCAGGCTGGGCAATGATGACGTTATAGTTGTAAAAGAGTAAGTGGTGCCATCCAATAAATGGTTACTAAATGTTACATGAATCATGTATGGTCACAGAGATGGCTGCATGAAAACAAATGTGTTAATGAGCTTTCAAGGTGGTATAGTAGGTGGATTGTGTTACCTTTGGACAGAGCCAGACTAGCTGTTTCCATCGGTTTCCAGTCTTTGTGCCAAGCTAAGCTAGCTAGCTGCAGGCTGTAGCATCATAATTACCATACAGACACAAGGATGATATTGATATTCTAATCTAACCACTAACTCTTTGCAAGTAAATGAATAAGTGTATTTCCCAAAATGTTAAAATATTCCTTTAACAAATATAAACATAAATAAATACTTTTCATTTTGATTTTAAATAGATGTCTGAAAATCAATCTTTCAAACTGTGATTTCTAAACGTCCTCAGCCAAAACCTAAACCAAATTTCACCACTTCAAGTCCAGTGTATAAAAAATAAACTGCATGAGGTAAAAAGAAAGAAAGAAAAAAGTGAAAAAAACAAAAACTGAAAAAACAAATAAACATTTAAGTTACATAAAAAACAGGGCTTTGCCCCAACTTTAGTTGATGAATTACAAACCCTCTGTCTGTACAAAGGCAATATTGGAACAAACTGTTACTACACCCCCAGATCCATTAATACTGTATTGCAAAACTGTATATTGGAGAATGGTGAGAAAAAGGTAAGTACCAAAGAAAGATGGACTGGTTCATCCTGCAGCAAGATTATGAGCCAAAACATTGAAAGAACCAGATTGTGGCTTCACATGATGGAAAGAGCAAAACAGTCTCCACACTTAAACCCTGTAGATCTGGTTTGGGATGAACTGGACAGAAAGTGAAAACAAAGCAAACAACAAGTGCAACACATTTGCGGGAACTTCTGCAACAGTGGTGGGGCGAACAGTATTTGATTTTCATTGTAGGAAAAACACCATGAGCGTGTTCAGCTGCTGAAAGACTCAAAAATCTAGATTAGATCAAGGATTTAAGATTCCATGATTCCTTATTTATTATTATTCTTTATTTGTCTCAATTTCGGTACACTGAGCCATTTCACCACTACTACTACACATTTCAGTAACAACTAAAAAAATGGGGGTGTTTCTATATATTTGAATTCCTGCTTGTAAGGTTTAAACAGTGGGTGCAATATCAACATTTCTGAATGCACATGAACATATGCCCTCAATAACTTTTCCATGAAGACATTTTCAAACTAAGCTGACATTACTTTACAGTGTCATTAATAAGAGGCCATGGAGCAAACATAATAACAACATACAACATGCCTGTGGCGCTGGTTTCAACCACTGATCAATGATTATAATCTGCGTGTGTCAGTTTCTTTGGGCCCTATAGTATGGATGTGATGGCGAGCTGTGCATTCAATGTGGATATGGACTCGATCAACAACCCTTCAAGTCCCCTCATCACCCATGGCTCAAAGCTGTTTAGAATCTCTATTAGTCTTTTTCTTTTCCAAGGTACTCCACTGTTTTTCCATTCCACCTTTTTTCTTTATATTGACAGGTATGTTTTGTGACTACAGTAATAATTATTTACCCCTTTTTCCTTCTCAGGATTCTTTCCAATCTTTCTTCCTCTGTTGAAGTTGCTGGGTTTCTCCCTCTTCCCCAAGACTTCTACTGCTTTCTTTAAAGCGATTGTGGAGAAGATCAGAGCAGAACGCATTGGGAGCTCACACCAGGTCTGTGCAAAATACACACAATATAGGTAAAATATTCTATCATTGCAGGCTACAGTAGCTAATATTGTATCATGATAGTAATATACTGAACATTATGATGGTAACATTTCTAGAAATTCAATTGAGAAGACATTATTGCCAAACAATCTCAACCTCAAGGTCCATTTAGTAGCTATTCTAGAGCTTTGGATAATATCACGTGACCATCATCCACAGATGCCCGGTTGTCATGGAAATGTACATGTAGATGTTAGAATTTTAATTTTATCTGCATTTTCAAAGTGTATTTCGTCAGAAAGTAAAGCGAAACTTGCATTAATCATGCAAGTTTGATTGTGTATGTGTTTGTATTGAGTTCAAACTGAAACACAATCGGAACTCAGTTCTTTCCATTAATCTGGTTATGTGCATATTTTTAAAGTTGAAACATTGTCAACTCGTTAATGTGGATGGCTCATATCACATGACGGTCAACACTGGAAAAATATTTGACAAAGAATGAGATGTAGCTTCCCAGGTCAAGCACAGACTTTGAAACTGAACTTTGGATGAGAAGTCCTCATTTGCTGATGAAGATCATGTAACATGTTTGAAAGTTTTAACGTTTTGGTGATATTGTTTGGTAAACTATTGTTTCAACAATAAAAGTCAACATTTATGGTTTAAACAACTAGATGGAAACGATAAACTGACTAATCCAGCGAATTGAAAACCTGACAAAAGTATTTCAGAGTATTTCATCTTTAAGACAATACAATAACCCAAAAACTGTAAATCTCTGTCATGTCGTGGTATACAACACTGTTTTCATATAACACAACCATACTCACAACCACATAAAACATGAGAACATTTGTACCAATTATCTCACCTGTTTCCAGAATTCAGGAGATATACTTCAACATATGATCGACTCTCAGACAGTCAATGAACCCAGGAAAGAAGAGCAGAATAAGGGTAATTAGACATCAGTTACATCACTCACACATACAGAGACACAAATGTCCACTCAAATGTCTGACGCCCTTCTTTCATCTGCATCCCTGTTCATGCATCCCGCCGGTCCTAACAGGTCTTACTGATCATGAGATTGTCTCTCAAGCGACAATGTTTGTGTTTGCTGGTTATGAGACAAGTGCCACTACTCTCGTCTTCTTGGTCTACACTTTGGCAAGAAATCCTGAAGTCATGAAACGCCTGCAAAAGGAGATAGACTCTACTTTCCCAAATAAGGTAGAGCAGAAGTTTCTGGTTCTGGGAACATTCTCTCCATTGTTTATCATATTGAAACCAGTTTTCAAGGTGAGAATTGTGTTTAATCAAACAGTTTTAACAACTCCTCAGGGTCCGGTCCAATATGAAGCTCTGATGCAGATGGAGTACTTGGACAGTGTGGTCAATGAGTGTCTGAGGTAATGAGCATTTTTCTAAGCTAGTTGAATGTGATGTCAGGTTTAGATATTGTCACAATAACATTTAAGAGGAGGAAAAAAATCTGTTCTGAACCAAAATGACTGCACAATGTGAAATGTTGCTCCCAGTAACAAACCCACTCAGGATTAACACACATAAATAAGAAAAAAACTTTAAAAAAGGAGTCTGGCCTCAGGGTTTACATTTCTTTGGTTTTTACATCACAATCCAAAAATAATTTCATGTGTTCAATGTACAAGGAGTCTGCAGCCTTGCTGCTAGTGGCACTGTGAGGCTGTAACAAAATGTTTATGTTAGCATGCTAACCATGGCTGCCATGTTTACCTGGTTAGCATGCTAATATTTGCTAATTAGCGCTCGAAACAAAGTACAGCAAAGGCTGATTGGAATCTCATTAGTTCTGCAGGTATTTAGTCACAGAGCAAAATATTGGAGGAATTCAAAATTTGACTTGATGAACACTACAAGTAAAGTCAGGGAAGCACCATAGGTATTACTATTCATCCTATGGGAGCCCAAAACTTTGTCCCTGGAGTCTCGCTGCTAAAAAAACAAAAAACAAAACAGTTACACTTAAATAATAATGAATGCTCAAACCATAGCCATCCATTGAAACAATAGCAAAAATCACCAATTCAAGGGCAACCAAAAGTGTTTCAAGAATACACAATTTTAAGTTTGGAGTAGTTTGGATTAAATATTTAGTCTGATAAAGACATACAGTATTTAAAAATATTCTTGTTTTGTCAATAGGCTCTACCCTCCAGCTGCACGTATCGAACGAGAGGCCAAAGAAACTGTCAAGATCAATGGAGTCACAATCCCGAAGAACATCACCGTTATGATTCCAGTGTACGCTCTGCACCATGATCCTGAGCTGTGGCCAGAGCCTGAAGAGTTCAAACCTGACAGGTAGCTGCTAGAGTGTTAACACAAGGATTAAATTGTAATAATTCTCTAAACAACTGAGTAAAAAATTATATTTTTAGATCACCCTAACAGCTTTGAATATATAATGGCATTTTTGGCTTTATTTGTAGAGGAGAGAGAGGGTTACAGAATGCAACAACAGCCAGGAGTCGGACTGTTGGTGTTGCAATTATGTGGCACATGCATTTACCATTAGGCTACAGAGGCGGCTTATAATGCAATCTCAAGCTCCAGTAAATGGTTATAGAGAATGGGGCCCCCCAGCCAGGAATTAAGTCATTTTAGAATTTTTTAAAGAAATATTGATGCTTATATCAACTGACATTTGGGAAACTGTGACCATTGTAAATACACACTTAAAATGATATAGATGAAATTGTATCACCAGATGACTATGTATGAATCATTTGTATTATGACTTATAGAGAGTAATCAGAACAGCACTTCAATTGGTTTTAAAACAAAATTAATTTGAATTTCCTTAATTTATAATAAAAGCGTATGACAAAGACTAAAGAAACGAGTAATAGAAACAAATGCTATTTGAAGATACTTTATTCTAAAATAATTTTGAAACTCACGCATAAATATTGAACTTCTATTTTATCCACTGTTTTCTAGATTCAGTAAGGAGAACAAGCAGAGCATCAACCCGTACACTTACTTGCCATTTGGCGTTGGGCCAAGGAACTGCATAGGAATGCGATTTGCTTTGGTGATGACTAAACTGGCCTTGGTGGAAGTTTTGCAGAACTACAGCTTCTCAGTCTGCAAGGAAACAGAGGTGATTATATCTCAGTTAGCTTACATACTTGGATCAATCTACTTGTTTTCTATTACATAACATGACGAAATATTTGCATTGAGAGAGAGAAAAAAAGTTTCTAATTCAGTGAATTTGTCCATTTCACAGATCCCTTTGCAGATGGATCCTCAAGGCCTGTTAGGACCCTTACGACCAATCAAACTAAAGCTGGAGAAACGTTCCACCACCTCAGAAAATGTGGACAACTAGTGAAACTAGGGAGGACTTGTAGAGATACGTCCCTCAAGACTAAACCATCTTCTAAATTTGCTGTTAGTACCTGACAATACTGCATAAAGTTCATGATTTGTAATCTGATCTGAATCAAAACAGACAGTGACAGTTGATCTTGTTGAGTTTTGGAGAACAGACGGTTTGGAATTTATATGTGCACCATGTTCATGAATTATGGCATTTTGTGTCAAATGATCCATGCATAAAAGAATTTGCATACAGATTAGCATGTCAAAACATGGATTACCTTTTTGATTAACGATCCAAATATGTTATGTACCAAATGTATCAATGATTAGACCAAACAATACAATTTGTTTGAAGGATAATTATCAGTCCGACACACTCATATCTACTCTTACACGTTATTTTACTGATTTGCATGTATATGGAAGGTGAAAGGAAACTGAAGACCACTCGTGTGGTGGTTCATAATCGATACACACGACTACCAGAAACAATCCTTGCCTCACCTCTTACCCTGACAACTGCACCCTTATACTTCAGCACTAGGCCCTGAGGAATTGTTGTAGCCAAGTTTGATTCCACCAATATGTTTATGGACGGAACAGGATAAGGGCAGTACCGTGGCATCTGAGACAACTATGAAACATAATGGTGGGAAGGACTAGAGGGAGTATATGTCATTCTAAAACTGTATATAAGCTGTTGTATTTTCACTTGTACTCCAGTTGGTATTAAAGAGTGTTACGACTCGGCCTAAGGGGAAACCCTGGCGCAACATGAATGCTGAGAGACGCCCCTCTTCCCAGCTCCCAAGAACCACCAGCCACAAGGAATTACAGCCCATTAGGGTTTTTATTCAAGATTTCTTTATCTTCAGGGTGGGCTAACAGCAAAATAACAAACAGAAGTAACTAAGACTAAGGAACCTAAACTTACCTACTCAAACAAAAGAGGAACAAAAAGACAAGCCACTAACCTAACTCCTAATCTACCAAAAACAGGAGAAAATTGGGTTAAACAAAATTGCTACCCACCCCTACGGCACCTGTGCTGACATTTCACATAAGCAACTATTTACAATATTGGAACATGTTGGCATGACAGGCTGGTTGGAAGTGGAAAGAGATGAGCCCCTGCAGAAGCTGGAAGAAGCCGGCCTTAAAACAATGCAAGCCTGGAGGCTGGCATCAATCAGCTCCCTGGAACAACCTACAAACTCACAGTTAATCATTTAATCAGCCCCTGCGCACCTACATCCCAACACACACACACACACACCTCAGCACAACACAAGCACATTAAAGCACACACAAATTACACATCAGAAAAGTGCTCCAAATGACCCCTGGGTCATAACAAGAGCCTCATACTATTTTGAAGTTCTTGTGTCTTTTAGTTTAGTTCTGAGACTGCAAACCCCACCTCACTCGCAGGACACCTACACAACTACATGGAAGCAACCTGAATGCAGCTGTGACAGTGACAGTGCTTATTACTGAGCTTTCAGCAAAAGCTCATCTTTGAGGACCACAGCCCGGTCACCTGTCATCTTCAGCCTGGGCTTTGAAATAGAAATGGGGCTTGATAAGACCTGAGGCTACACACTGTGTCACAGAGGGTTAAAGTTCACTCATTTGGCTTGAGCTGTGCTTACTTAAATAAAATGTTGAAAGTACCAACACATAACCAGAGAAAAGAGGCCAGCTTTTGAGACATAAACACTCTAGACTGATGCAAGAATTACCAGTTTTACCGCGCTATATGTAAAGAAGTAAGAGCATAGGTGACGTGCTGATACAGCATAGCATGCATAAACAAGTGACTCACCAGTCACATGTGCGTAGGTGTGTTAAATTAGGTGAGAAGGAACCAGGAACGGCAACAAAAGGAGAGTTCACTGCTGGTCCGTGTAGTTGTATAACATATTCTACATTGAAACTGCTGTAGTCACTCAGGAGAATTAGATGCAACTAAAATTCTGAGCCAATCTGTTTTATGCCTGTTCAGACACATAAATCAAGGTCTCAGTATTGTTTTAGATTTTATTACCAACTTTTGGACACTAAAAAAAACCCACTTCCTTTCCCATATCATGAACAATAATCAGTGTTCTCTGTGAAGTTTTAGATCAGTGGGGCTCCTGTATTTTCTAATAAATGTTAATAAAAATCTTATGTAACCTTTTGAAACAGTCTTAGTGGGTCAACAATGAACACACCATATCTAGTATTAAAGAGTAAGCAGAATACCACATTTGGTGATTGCATAACCTGAAGGCAGAAGTTCAACCGATTCCACCCTTGGATATGTTATCAGCTTTCTAAGTAGAGTCAAGGTGTTCATATTATATTCCATGAGAAGACACCTTCCAACAGTTTTACAATCACCTTCACATTTTTAAATAAAGAACCACATCTCATTTGAGATGCTTTCAGATAAGTTTGAGGCAGAGGGCTTGTAGGAAAGTCAATGAGCTGGTGTCAAAGATAAAAAGAAGCACGAAAATCTCTTTCCCAGTTTTTATCCTTTTGCTCCTTTCTCTTATTTTCTTCCTTCCTCTTCCCCTTCCCCTTTCCTTCCCTCTCCTCTTTATCCTTGGATGGTGGTTTCACGGCATCACGATCCCTGGCTCGGAAGTGCGTAACTTTGGCTCTTTTCATCTGTCCATACCCCAGACCCTTCTGGTCTCTCTTCAGCACAGTTGGCACTGGCTGTTGCGGCCCCTCTCCCTCTGGCCCCAGTCCTGTTCCTGGTTTCCAGCCGCAACGAACCATCATCTTGTAGCTGTTGCTGGAGGGAGGTAGACAGTAGAAGGGGGTGGCTGGAGGACGCCGCAGATTAAACTGATGGAGAGTGGAGGAGAGATGTGACGACAGGCTGCTGCTGTACTTGCTACAACACACATCACACCACTGAGTCTGGGAGGCACTGAGGAACAAAGGGATATGAAAGGACAGGTTTAAGGTTTTTTACATCTGGCTTCAAACAACAATCGAGTGCCAAAATGTACTTTAACAGTTTTTATGCTTGCTATAATGATTCCTCACATTCGTACCGGCCATTAAAAGATCCCTTCCTAATGTAAGTGATGGGGGACAAACGCAAAAGTCCTCATTCTGTGGAAGCTTGTATGTGACTGACATCTCCCTCACCTACCAATTAATTATGTGTCACCTGTTAGGGTGGGACTAACTATACCTTTACCATTCAACCTGAGCAAGTGAAAACACCTGTGCGTTTATGTAAGGCTAGCCTTTGCTGATTTTTCACCACTGATTCAGTTTCCAACTGACAGTTTTTTCACAGCAGAGATTTTGACTTGTCCAAGCAGGAAACAAATGGGTGGAGTTAATCACATTAATGATGGTTGCATGTCATTTAGGTGAGCCAGTTCCAGCACTCTCATGATAAGCAACAGGAAATTGCAGTAACACCTATGACATGAGGTCATTTACAATCAGTGTCACCAATGCGTACTTTGACACCAGTGAGCACTTTATTTTCAAACTTTAAACTATCCTGCTCAGTATATATCTTAGTAACAACTCGCAAATCACCACATTTTAGTGAACCTTTTCAAACAATGTCAAAAAGAAATCAGCTGTGTTTATTATATCTATTGTTTAGCCCACTGTCATTGCTATAAATATGGTGAACAGAACATTAGTTTCAGAAACCAAACTTTTGTTCATCTATTGTACAGCCTACCTGAAATTACTTAATATTGGGTTCAATTTGATTTAAAGCAACTGAGACTGTGCTCACCTGCTATGAGATTGTGTGTCTCTCTGTGCACTTCTCCCATAGCTCTCCAACTCTTCCAGGACTTCATTATGGCCCGCTGGGGAAGAAGTTAGACATGGATTAGTTCAATTTCACTGTTCAGACAAACACAAATATAAAGTTATGATAAGAGTTGCATGGTTATACCTTCCAGCGCCAGGTCTTTGGCATCCCTGCCCTGCATATCAACCACTCCAACCCAGGCTGCTCCGTGTTGCAGCAGGAGCCTCACCACGGCTCTCTGTCCAGACCAGCTTGCGCACATCATAGCCGTCCAGAAGAAAGAATCCTTGAGGGGAGAATGCAAGCAAGTAAATACAGATTATTTGCTGGGACTCCTTAAAACCTCCTTAAGACTAAGACGAAGCTGTAACTATTATACCTGGAAGTTTATGTCGACTCCCTTTGAGAGCAGCTCTGTGAGACCAGACAGGTCTCCCTCGTGGGCACAGCGTAGCAACCTGAGTCCCTGGAGCTCCACTGACCTTTCTGAGTTGCTTGTCTCTCTTGCTGTTGTCTCTCTCCTTTGGATGCCTTCACTTTCAGTACCAATCCATCTTTCCACAGCTGGACTGGTTTGATCCTGTTGCACATCTGCAGCCATTACTCTCCTCCTGACTCTCCTATTGGACTCTCTTTTCCCCTGTTTACTTTGATGGGCCCTGCCATAACATTTTTTGCTAAATGTACTCCTTGATACTTCTTGTCCTTGATCATCATCTTTCATTAAATTTTCATAGAACTGCTTGGCCTCTTCCCCACTAAGCACACAGCCTGTTAAAGAGCTGGACTGTCCTGTTGTTTCAATGCTGAAAATATCCTGCTCACTGGCAGGAGTAAAGCCTAAAGTAGCCATAAGGACTGCCTGTAGTCTAACTAGTTCACTGTCATTTCATTGAAAGTCAGTCTGAGTAACAGTATCCTATTTCAGCTAAGGAAAGCTGAAATGCTCTTGCTATGGCAGCATACTATGGTATTACGTTGAGATTTTAAAAGGCTGGTGAAATGTGGACGTACACAACAGAAATGTCTTACATTTAATGAGCCACAAATATCATGTTTAGGTTATAATTCCCTATTTGTTAGCAAAGAAGCTAGCAAGCAAAAGTAGCTAGCTTACTTATTTTGACATGTGGTGGTACGAGTGATTTTCTGTCAGACTTATTCTTATACACACTATACAACGTTATATTTTACCAAACGCAATTTACATTTAACTGCCTGAATAAGACAAGAGTCGACAGTCAGCCTTTGTAGCTTTACCAAAGTGGTTAGCCTAGGTTAGCATTAGCATTATCTTTCAGACACATGAATGGCTGATAATTTATGATTACTTAACGAACTCAGTCAATTAACATTTCCCTGGTCGCTTAAAGTGATTATCCAGAAGAAGGCGCAAACTAGGAGCAACAATAACTTAATTTCTTTAAGCATAAGAACGTTACCACAAGCTAACGTGACCCCCTCTTCCTGTTTGTAAACAGAACACCGTGCGTAACGTTACGTGACTAAAGGGAAATACTGCCACCTATGGGACTGGGGGTCGCCTCCTCTGTTGAACTTTGTAAGCCATGAACAACCCATGGTGTTTATGAAGTAAAATTTAAATACCACAATGTAAAAAAAAAAAAAAAAAATGTAACTCTATACTATAATTTTATTTAAGTAAAACTACTATACTAGGACAACCTGTGGAGTAGGGGAGGAAGCAGGAATGGGCGAAGAGATAATGAGGAGAGTGAGAAAGGAGTGAACAGCGGTAATTATTTGTGAACATCACTTTACAAGTTCAAAATCCTTTTCCTTTTTCCGTTTCTAATTTCAGCCATACAGGTGTGGGGTGTAGTAATGCCCATGACTTACCATTTCTTGCCTGAGGTGGGCTCATGAAAACACAATTATACTAAATAAAATAAACTTTCCATTCCTGGGAAAACCAGGCCATTTTAGGTAGCTCTTCACAATACAGTATTGAGTAAGTTTTAAAAAAAAAAATTGAAATTCATTTCACTTACCATTCTTAACTTAGTCAGGTGCAAGTTATGCAGGAAGCTCCCATCAGTTTCAAATGAAGTGGCCTCAGACAGTTCCAACTGCAGGTACAAGAATCCTGGAAGTTTCCCTTTAAGTGAAAGAAAGGTTTCAAGTCAAACTAATCTGTCTATGGAAATAACTAAATATTTATCAATCATCCATTCAATACTTGAAGTACAAAAGAATGAAAACTGACTAATAAATGTACTAGTTTTAGAACAGAGAGCAAAGGTGGCATTTAACAGTAACTACAGCTAACAAGTTTGAGTCTGCTGCTTACCTAAAATACATATGTTTACAGAGGGGTGGGCGATCTGACTCATATCATGAATGATTGTACTTTGATCATGATTTACTTTTCAGATGAAATGTACAGAGCACATTAAAAGCTGCTAAATTTAGATATTCAAATGTAAAAGTTCAGTAGTCTCTGTGACTTTGGTTAGCAGCTCATGTAGCAGTTCTCCAACAGAGCACAACAAGAACCACAGTCACAAGCTGCAGTCCAAGACCGTGGAGTTACAGTCTGTCCGTGGGACCAGAGACCCGCTGCAGGTAGGACAACCGAGGAGGAGCAAGCAAGCTAGTTAGCAGCGACTTCATTTTCTAATTTAAACACTTACATTTAGCACCTCAGGAATAAATAACAGCACCATACAAATGAATACTCCATATGAACTAAGCAAAAAATCAGATTAGGTTTATAGAGCATTGTGGATCTGTAATGGCAGGGAGCAGATAGACATCTGAAAAAGACGTCAAAGCAGCAGAAAGATACAAATCACATTTTTTCATTAGGACCTTCACAATAAAATCAGAGTGGAAACAGAGTGCAGATCGTGGATTGCGATTACCCAAGAAGGTAATCATATGATGTCTTTGTCAGGGGGCCCACCCCTATGTTCACGCCAAATTCCTCAGCATGAAAAAGGTTATGTTAAACCTTATGTAACCAAGCGTCTTGTGTTCGCCTGTGTATTTCATATCAAAACAACAAATGTGACATGGTGATGGAGTACAACGAGCACTATAGCCACACATGTTTTTATTTCTGTACTCAATGTGTGAACCCCAAAACAGTATCCAACAACAACCAACACTTTAAAGCAGTTCAGACACTTCAAAAAGCACAGCACATAGCAAACACAGGAGAGTCTGTTACACTTACATTACTTGGTTGTGTTTTAAGTGGTATTTACTGGTGCCAATGAAAATGAGAGCCTATTTGACTCTATGCCTAACTCTAGCTGGCACTGTTTAGTGGCAAATACAACCTCATTAAAATAGTTAATTTAGTAGGGGTAGCCAGTCCAATCAGATTCACGTTTTAAAAATGGTCAAATTCTACTTGTAACGTCAATGTCACACACTGCGTAGGCTGTAGCAGCACGAGGAAGGGATGATGACATCATCACAAAACCAGAATCAGAAACCCTAACCCTTTCACTTAAAAGATATTTGGCTTGGTGTTTAGTTTACGTTCAATTAACATATTTAAAGGAAATAATAAAAAGGTAAAATACTGCAACAGTCAAATATAAATATACATTGATACATTGAAAAAGATACCACATGAAAATACTATAACCATGTACAAAAGTGTTTTAGAATACTGTGAATATAGTGTGACAGTGAGTCAGCATGCACATTACCAGGAACCTGAAACTGAAGCAGCTAAGTGGAACTCATCCATCATTTATTATTTATAATGTCACACACACCTGGACAATACTAAATACAATTTCAACTTCTGACACCATAGAATGTCTATGTGTATTATCTCAACATATTACAAATGTCAGAAGAGTCCATCCGCAGGTCTACTTTTACCTTGATGTCTCTATTTAGTCCAAGCTAATTGGGTTTGTGCCTTTTCTCTTTTTCTTCTCTCAACATGATTCTTGTGTCAATTAGGAAACATTTAATGCTGTTTTATTGCTTGTATACTGTTCATCTACTATCAATTAAACATCCTACACATATACTTTGTACTGTTTTGTTGTTTTGCATAAATATATAACGCCGTATGTTGTAAGAGTGAGATCATTTTTGGCCCTCTCAAAGATTTGTCCCATCAGCACCCTCATGTGGTTCACCTGTTTCTTGCCTGTGCTCCTGCTCCTGTATTGATTCATTATCAGATTATCTATCATCTTGTTATTATCATTAATACATGTTTCTGTTGTTTTAACATTATCATTTGGAATTACATTAATCAAATACCCATCTTATATTTCTGGAGAGATTACATTAGCAGCTCTCTTAGTTTAAAAATACGTATCTGTATGCCATTTCTTTTATTAACCTTGTTCTATTGTTTTCTGTTTGTGTTCATATATCTACAGGGTTTTAATAAAACATATATTTGTTGTGATTAATATAATCTTTTTCCAATGAAAATGTTCACTGCATTCAATGGTATGTAGTTTATCTTTGATAATTATGTTACCTTGTCAGTAAAGCTTATTTGATTGGCTTTCATCATGAAACAGTCTCTTGAGCGACAACACACATTGACCAGTCCGTTTAGTGTCAAGGCATTTAACTGCACACATGGCTTTGAGTAATTAATGGTGATTAAATAATTGATGTGGTGGTCTATATGGAGACAGATTCATTCAATTCTGCTTGCACCTGATTGATCAATTAAAGATAAATACAGTAATGCAGTTTCATGTACTTACAGATGTATTGATAAAATGCAGGATCAAACAGTAATAGCTCATGTATTGAGCATGTGTTAGGTTTCAGATGTGAGGAGCATTATTATAATTCAGTACTTCCGAGTCTAAGCATGTTTACCTTTTTCAAAAATTGCTCAAAAATGTCTGTACACATACTAGTAGAGTGAATAATAGTTTTATTATTATGGCACTTTTCTAAACACAGTTAAAAAAAAGTTTGGCTACAGAGAAGCCTGAACAAAAACATGAAAAAAAGTGAAACGAAACAAACATATTATGACGAAACAAAAGAACTAAACAAGATCTCCGAAATCTTTTTAGTGTCATTTGTGTGACCATGATTGTATCCAGTTTGACAGCAGGCTCGTGTGTGTGTGTGTGTGTGTGTGTGTGTGAGACCAATCTCGGTGTAACTGTGGACCTCGGAAAGACCAGATGATAGAAGTTCACATGCGTGTTACAAGTGTTTGTTGGTAAGATCAGGAAGCTTGAATGAGAAAAGTGCTGCATGAAGGATGTGTCAGGCACAAGGGTGGGAGGGATGAATTACAGGGAGTAAACCCTCATGCAGATTGTATTGAGTGGTGATGTAGTGCTTTTGAAGAGTCCAGACTTGAAGCTTGCAGAAAAGAGCATAGCTTGTTATGCTGCACAGAGAAATCAGTTTTGACACTAGTACAGTGATTTTGCATGTTTTTGCCCTCAATCCATTAAAAGGTTTGCCAACAAAACAATCCCAATGTATTAGGGTGTAATGACTCAGCTAGTGCTTTGTTTACTCCAGTACTTTGCACAGTTACTAGAAAAACAGACACCCCTGTACAATCCAATAACACTCCCATCCAATTTTTGTTGATGTTGACCAAAAGGCATTTTAAGTATCTGGGATCGAAGAAAAGAACAGAATGATTGTGCAGACTGCACTTTACTTACTTTTTGATCAGACAGGTTTTGATTAAAATGAATCAATACAAAGCTTGTGTTTACACATTTGGCTTGTTTAACAAAGGCTTTTTATAGAAACACACATTATGTACTGAAAAGTATCATTTAGATTATTGTTAATAATGATCCCCAGTCCTAGCAATATCATCTTTGTAAAACTTACAATGGTTATTTTCTGTTTAGACTGTGTCAGAGAGGTGGTGAATGGAAATTGGTTGATTGATCATTTTAAGGATGTACTTTATGGTGTTGTTTTCGATTTTGTTTTCTACAACAGAGAATTATTAATTTTACCAAATGAATCAAAGTCTCATCACTCATGACAATCGAGTGCTCATGGCAGCTTAAATCTAGCTAAATTAGGGCTTTAAATATATTTTGGTTTCTTATTCTTTCTCAAATAATATTACAAAAATCTGAGTCTGAATTGATTCTTAATGACACCCACCCATACAAACATGCAAAACCACAGGCACAATAATTCAAAACCAAAGCTTCACTGGAGTTGTGATATTACAGAATCGAACTAGTGGTATTTACTGATGTGTCTATTTCTGTCCCCGGTCTGTGTAAATGTCTGTCCACAGTGGGGACAGGAGTATGGCCTCTCCCCTGTGTGTATCCTCATGTGAACGTTCAGTTTGTCTTTGCTAATAAAGCGCTTGTTGCAGCAGGTGCATGTGTAAGGTTTGTCCCCCGTGTGATACCGCTGGTGCATCTTCAGCTCCGTCATGCGACCGTAAGTCCTGCCGCACTCAGGACACTCGTAGCTGGGCCGCACCTCCATGTGCTGTCTGCTGTGGAGCCGCAGCCCGCTGGACGACCTGAAGCTCTTGCTGCACTGCGAACACTGGAAGGGTTTCTCTCCGGTGTGGATGTGGATGTGTAACTTGAGGCTGGCGGCGGACGGGAAGCCGTTGCCGCAGATGGAGCAGAGGTGAGGTCTCTCCCCCGAGTGGATGCTCAGGTGCTTCTCCAGTTTGTTCTTGTTCAAGAAAGTCCTGCCACAGACGGGGCAGTTCAACGGCTGCTCTCCCTCGTGGGTGCTCATGTGTTCCGTCAGCTCCATCAGCGTGGAGAAAGCCAAATCACACCGAGTGCACGAGTACGGCCTCTCCTTTTTGAATTTCCTGTGTTTGAGACAGTGTTGCTCCAAATCTTCCTTTACCTCAAAGGTCTCAATACAGCAGGTGCACTGGTATGGTCTTTCTTGAGTATGAGTCCGCAGGTGATATTTCAAGGCCGTTAACTGTAGAAAGACGCTGTCACAATGTGGACATCTAGATTCCCGCCTGTCGTGGACCAGTATGTGCCTCTTGTAGTGAGACAGCTTGATGAAGCGCTTGCGGCACAACGAACAGTAATACTGTTCGTTCTGGTGGCCTTGCTCGTGCTTCTTCAGTGCGTACTCGACCTTAAACTTCTTTCCACAGGTGTTGCAGGTGTAAGACTTTTCATGAACCCCCATGTGCGTCTCCAGTTCTTCTGGACTGTTGAAGGTTTCGTTACATTTCGGACATGTCCCATTGTTTTCTTTCACATGAATCTCCAGGTGTTTGTTTAGGTCCTCCGGGAAGGCAAAGTTCTTCTGACAATCAGGACATGTGTAACACTCACCGTTTGCTGCTTTGCGATGGGTTACTATGTGCCTTTTCAAATGATACATTCGACCAAATACTTTGCCGCAGTCGCCGCAGATGAGGCTTCGAGGACTGGACTGGACCTTCTTGTGTAGTTTGAGATGACTGGCTAGTGCAGCCTTCTCCTTGAACTGTTTATCACAAGCAAGACACGTCAGGCCTTCGACTGCATGAGTCTTCTTGTGAGCTTTCAGTTCCAACCAGCTACTTAAATTTTTCCCACATTTGGAGCAGATGTACTGGCCCAATCCGTGCTGGTTCCTCAGGTGTCGGGTCATGTGGTAGGACTGGCTGAAGGTCAAAGTGCAGACCGGGCAAGTGAACGGTTTCTCCTTTGTGTGTGTCCTCATGTGTCTGGCAAGTTTGTTTGGACCTCTGAAGCGCCTGTCAACACAGATGGGACAAAAATGACCTTTTGTTTTTGTTTTAGAGGCGTCTTTTTCTTTCTTACTTCCTCCATCTGGAGATTTAGCTTCATTTGTGTCCTTGACTTCTGTCTTAACATTAACTCCAGATCTTTTCTCCTGAGAATCCCCATTACCAGCAGAGTCTGCATTATTCTCAGAAACATTATCATTGCAATCCTCACTCTCATTATTCTTCTTCTTACTTGATTCAATTATTGCTTCGTTTTTCACTTCATCACTTCGCTGGAAACTCCGTCTCGCTGTCTGAGTGGACTGTTTTTTTCTATGCGACATGATATGCATAAGAAACGCACCATTATTAGTGAATTTTTCATGACAGTCGGGACATGACAGGACTTGCAACGTATGCATCCTCTTATGACTTTGCAGTTCTGAAAAGCTTCCTAAACTTTTCCCACACGTGGAGCAGACGTGTTGTCCCGCGCCGTGCTGGTTCCTCAGGTGTCGGGTCATGTGGTACGACTGGCTGAAGGTCGTGGCACAGATGGGGCAGGTGAACGGTTTCTCCTTTGTGTGCGTCCTCATGTGTCTGGCGAGCTTGTTTGCATCTCTGAAGCGCCTATCAATACAGATGGGACAGTGGGGGCCTTTTGAATTGTCCAAGGAAACGACAAAGTCTTCATCTTCATCATCATCATCATCATTGTCGTCGTCGTCGTCATCATTACTAGCCTTGTCGCAGCCTTCCTCCTCCATCGTCTGTGATGATGACGAGGCTTGACTTTCATCATTATCACCTTTATTGCTGGTTTTATCACAAGCTGGATTAGTCTCATCTGCACTCTTGGACTTATCTTCATTATTATCACTATAATATAGCTTATCATCACTGTAATAGTAGTTGTCTTTGTACCTAGACGGTTTTGTTGGGGTTTTTGTCGAGCGTGGTTTAGCTTTTGTTCTTTTCTCCCCGCGCCGAGGTCGTCCTCTTTTGGCCTTCCTTTGAACAGGAGGATCTAAATCATCTCCAATATCCACACTGACCTCGTGAAAACCAAACAGTTCAGATTCATTTAAAGAGGATTCCACCTCTTTACCGATAATTAACGCTGCAGCCAAGGTCAGCGTTTCCCTCTCCAACCGTAGCCTCTCTTTTAGTTGTGGGCAGTTTGTTTTCTCAATTAGCTGAGCCAACATAAGTTTATCTTGTAAGTCTCCATAGTTGCAAGGCCTCAGCAGTTCCTCTAATGCAGATGCAAACTGATCTACGGTCTCTCCAGGCAACTGAGCCCTCTGGTGGAACTTAAGGCGGTACTTCTGAGAGGTGTGGTCAGAGTCAAAATACCCCGCCAACGTTGAGATGGCTGCAGCATACGTGGCTTCACCATGGATCAGTGTTGTGTAGATACGCTGCCCCTCTGGGCCAAGGCAGTTCTGTAGAAGTACACACTTACTGGAGTCAACCAGCTCGTTTTCACCGAGCGCTTCGAGGTAGTGTTCAAAAGCTTTAAGCCACTTGTGCCAAAACATGGTGGGTTCACCAGGGACAGGTAAGAAAGGTGGAGGCGGGGACAGAATTATCAGAAGAGGCTCTGGGAGTGGCTCAAAGGAGACGTCCTGTTTCGTCACCTCCTCATCTACTTCTACTGTCACTTCACCCATTCTTACAACTTTGGTGTGTGATTTTTCACTAAGGCTAATTTTATTTCTTCTTTGACTCTAGTAAGAGTCACCGAATTAAAATATCACCCTCTCTGGTCCGTGTTTAAGCTCCTGATGTTTCATCCCACTCAGGAAAGTCTAGGAAAGCTGGAAGAGAAACAAACAAATTAGTTTCAGACTTGCATGTAATTTCTTTCTGTTGCACTAAAACACATAAAGCTTAGAGAAGGCCTGAACCGCTCCTGCATCAGTCATGAAAATTATTTAGGGGATTTACTAATAAATAAAAAAAGGGGACTTGCATGGGACAGAGCAAAACAATTAGTCAACTTTGATACCGCAGAGGATGAGATATCCTGACTTTCCAAAAACACAACTCATTGCATCTTTTTTGTTTTTCTTCAACCCTCCCTGCTTGTTAATCTCCTCTCTCTTTCAAACTCCATACCGCACAGATTAAATAATGCAGACTTTCTATTAAAAACGTCTAGTCTCCAAGCCTAAACTGTGATTACAGACAGTTTTCGTGAATGATGAATAGCACGTCTAACAGTACAAACTACAGCCTCTAAAGAAAATGAAAAATGATTACTCAACACATCTGAATCAACATCTCATACCACAGGGTCTTTATTACTTTTCCTACCACTCTTAAATAGTCTTAAATATCATAAATGTAAGGTACAAATCAAATGTGGAGTTGAACAGACTTTTTTTTTTTACCTGACTTTTCCAACATCAGTGTAACTAATCCAATCATTTATTGCTGCATATAATAGTTATCTGTCCCACCTGCAATATAAATACTACATTTTTTGAGAGATTAACACCAGTTGACTTTATAGTGACTGGGGCCCGGTTATGGGGGTGTGTGTGGGTGTGTGTAGAGGGGGCTTCAGGGGGCCCCTGGGCTGGTCGGGGATTACAGATGTGTTGTTGCTTCACTCTGGGTGTTTGGGCTGTTGTTTGGGAGCCCTGCGTCTCTTTCCCCATCACTACCAACTGAATGAAAAGCTATCACGAACTGCAAACTGCAGTATGGTCACTATAACAACAACACACTACAAACTCAAACTACAGACACAGCAGAATGAACATGTCAGTGGTTTTTAACCGACGCCTTCTAGCTTTAACGGACAGACCTGCCCCTCCTCCACAACCGACAGAGACAGGACAGACGTAGATGCAGCCACAGAAGAAAGAAGGAGTTTTATTCTGACTATATTAACCGACAATTGAGAATGAGGAGACGACAACTCACCAAACCAAACTGGGTCACAAGTCCAGACGCGTGCGGTCCGACGGGGGCAGAGAGCGGTGTAACGGCTGCTCCGGCTCCGAGCCGCTGCAGCCGTTAACTATCTGAGGAAACAGCTCACTGCTGCGCGGCGGTTACCGTTGTGATATTATATCAAAACATTGGGCTAATTGGTAAAGCACGAAGTGAAAAATACATCCGCCATGCTGACAGTCCCTCTTCCGGACACCACAACATTTCCCCCGGGTCTGCTTCACCGCCCCACAGCGCCCCCTGCCGGCCGGGAGACATACGACAGTGTTCATACTTGAGTCTTACACGTTTGTGTTATAGTAGTATTTTATTTTTGAATGCTTTAAGCTTTTGGGTGGAGGTAGAAATTTCAGAGACAAATATCTCTAACCTTTGACAAATAAAACTGAAATTAACTTCATGGTTATATATAGTACCATGTGTAATTTGGGTGACCCAACCATTTATCTGAGAATATATGGCAGCAGGAGTGGAATGCAACTAAGTACATTTATTTAAGTGATATAAAATATAATTTTACTTCATTGTATTTATGAATGAATGAATGAATGAATGAGTTACTTGCAGATTAAGACAGACCAAAAAACATATACACATACTTTTAAAATAGTGTCTTGTTGAGGATAAAACCATTTTGGCTTGTGACATATTTGTCAAGTTGTCATCAAGAGTGATTTCCCCTCTAAACTTCTTGGATGGTTTAATTTAATTTTAATAGTTTTAAGCCAAAGTAGGTAAAATTTCCAAAAAATAAAAAAAATACAGATTTTATACTGTTTATCAGAATGAAGTTTTTTCTTCTTTCCTGTCCCATTAATCACCTCATGACCCCTTTTATCTGGTGATTGAACTACCAAACTGTGCTTACACATTCATGCATTAGTTTTAACAGATATGAATTTCAGACATGATAAGATCAGTCACAGGGGACATTTTTCTGCAGAACAAGTTCTTCTACTTTTGATACGTTATGTTCATGCTTTTGTTAAATCTCTGTACTTTTACTTTAGGATTCTGAATGCAGAACATATTAAAGTATTTTTAAATTCTTACATTGGTACTTTTAATTAAGTAAAGGATCTGACTACTTCTTCCACCACTGTATGGCAGTTTGCAAAGTGTTTACCACAGCTGTAATTAATGCACTTTGTCTCTGCTGAATTACCTCTTACATAACTGTTTAATAATTGAACTACCTGCTGGAATCAGTTTCTGTAAATTCAGGGAAAAACATCACACAGGTCCTTGCACACACTCAGCAGAACACTGAGCAGACAACAGCTGATAAAGCGCTGGTCCTTCCCTTCTTTTAGTGCTTTAACAAATGACACTACCAGTGTTCACAGGCCTGGTTGATCAGTGAGTGAATTTACTTGAGGATTACTCAGAGTTAGTTCTTTTAAAATACATCTTTAATTCAGTTAATGTAATATAGAGGGTGATGCTCACAGACGTGTTCACTGTCCCGGCACTAAAACAGACCACACAGACGCACTGTTAAACAATGACCATTTATTCACACGCTGTATGGGACTCAAAACAAGCGTGACAGAGTGAGGAGGCTGCTGGCGGGCAGGTTGGGTGGGTGAGAATCTTTAAATCAAACATGAGCGACAAACCGACGATTTTTGTTTGCACTTGTTGAGATGTACAAAGTACATGTGTGTCAGCCCGGCTGCTGGAGTGGAGGCCAGGGTTCAGATAGTGGGGCCTTGTGGTTCAAAAATCAATCACGCACAGTTTGAACAAGAATGATTCACTAAAATGTCCTGTAATCTTGTTCCATACTCGTCCACTGAGTTTAATTTTTTATGATTCTGTCTCCGCGTTTTCCTGTTCATCCGTCAGTGTAGCTGTGAACTCTCTCCTGTGCTGTTTCACTATTTGCTTTGAATTACACAAACGTGGCAGAACTACATACAACAGCGCACAAGTAAAAAGGGTTTCCCTGTACAAAATCCATCTTAAAAATACAAACATACATACAATGGCACACTTTGCTTAGCAGTGAACAATAGAGACAGGTGAACAGGGCATAGAGCCATTTTTTTCACGCATGCTTGTACACACACGTGTCATACACACTCACACGCACGCACACGCACACGCACACACACACACACACACACACACACACACACACACACAGTCGGACTTGTAAAAAATTAAACTTCAGCAGAATAAAGATGAAATGTGTGGGGGTTCGGCTCAGTGCAAACATTATGGCTTGGGGAGCTGTGGTAGAAGGAGCACTGACAACAGGCAGTGGACAGTAAAAAAAAACAAACATGGTTTTTCATATATTCCACCCCAAACATCACACATCCCTCTCAGAAACCGCGTAACACGCTCACTGAGAATGCCTTAAGTGCTGAAGAACCCTCGCCCACACTTGCTCTCCATCCTTTATCAAATACGATGATTATCGAATGTTATTTTTTTTTCTTTTCCTCTGTGTGGTGGTCTTTTAAACCTGACAGCTGCGTTTGTGTACATGAATTCAGTCTGTCAACAAAAGCTGCTCCCTCCTGTGCCGTCTTTTTTTATATTTCTCCTCACCTTTGAAGTTCCTTTCTCCCAGTGGGAGATACTGAAATGGCGCGTCAGAGAATGCATGTGTATGTTTTTGTGCACTCATGTGTAAATACAGAAAACAGAGAAGAAGCGTTGTGCAGAAATTCCATGTTCAACCAGTTCAAATTCTCTCATTTACAAAAACTGACTCATCTAGCTCTCAGCTCTCGTTGGAGAGTCTCTGGAATAGGCATGATTATCTGGTAGTACCGCCGTTGTGAAAGTGTGGAAAACGAGAACAGTAACTGTGTGTGTAAGCACAGTGACACAGAGGCGTAAAAGAGTAGGGGAGTAACACACACTCGTCAACACAGTGAGGATCATTGTGAACGAGGGCAGAGGGCAAGTGAGAAGTGTAGGTTTAGTTCTTTGGGGCATGAAGGGTTGTTTCGTCACCAGTCCTTCCCACATCTCCTTATTTTGTCCTCCTCTGTCCTCAGAAGCCGTCAGCTCTTTCCCCTTTAGACCAAACACACACCGGCCCCCCCCCTCCTTCATTTTGTGTACGTGTGTGTGTGTATCATTTTCTGCAGATTTTGTCTCTAGAGTCAAACAAATGAGGAGAATCCCGTCACAGGGGTGCGCGATCCCGGCGGGTTGGTGTTGGGGTTGACATGTGTGTGCGCAGGCTGCCCTGTGGGTGTGTACGCGCCACCTGTGCTGTGCTGGGTGACCACGGTCTGGTAGTAGGGCTCCGTGTCTGCGGTGGCGCACTCCTCGTAGCCAAAAGGAGCGCCGATCCCTTTAAGGCCTTTGGGCTGCCGCTTCCAGGAGTTGTAGTAGGTGGGGTCGCTCATGTAGTGGTTGACGAAGGAGTGCTTTGGCTGTTCGTCCTCGTAGTCACTGTCTGTTAACTGGAGACATACAAACACATATACAGAGACACAGCAGGGGTTAGATTCTGAGGGGGATGACATCAAGCAAGGCGCCACAGCCCGGCTTGAACCACAGACATTTGGATAATATTGTCCAGCTCTTAAATAGCACTGTTGGCACTTTTAATCCATTATGGGCAGCATTTTGGTCAAATCAGCATGTTGCATGAGAGGTGGAGGCAGAGGGTTGGAGAGAGCTCTCTGACAGCACATCCTGTCCAATCACATTAAATGGTGATCTTAGCCACTTAATGTGATTTGTCTTTAGCTTTCATTTCCACCTTTTCTTCTTCCACAAGCAACATCTCAGGCTGACAACACCAGCACAGTGCAGAGCACTTTCTCTTTCTCAAGTGTCTATCAAACATCTTTCATTATCCAAGAATACAACAAGAGTCCAGGTTTCACAGTGGCATGAAAATGGCTGGCTGGTTTTACTTTCTTTTTTTTTTGGTGATAAATGATAGATGATAAATTATTTGGCAAATCAGGGGTGTTCTGGTGGCCTACATCCCCCCCCCCCTCCATCCCTTCATTTCCTGTCATGTCTCCACTGTGTGCCAACTAATAAAAGCAAAAAATGCTGGGAAAAAATAAACAAAGCAGTACAGAGGTGGGATTACAAATTCATTAAGCCAAGTAGTGAGGACACAAAAGAATTACTCTTTTTTGCCTTTATTAAACATGTAACTAGAGATTTGACATGAAATGAGGGGGGCGAGGGATGACATGTAATAAAGGTCTCTGGCTGGAACCTTATACATTGACATTACATGGTCAGTATAGAGTAGTATAGATGGTAAAGATAACATGGGATGTGTCTTAACTGTTTGAAGCCTACTACTAAAGAGAGAGAGAGAGAGAGAGAGAGAGAGCTAGAGGTACCTCTGACTCAGAGACCTCAGTGGGCTTCTCAGTGAGTGTGGTGCTCTCCGTGAGCACGGCTCCATTATAGTTGTTACAGATGTCCTCGTCTGAGTAGTGAAGACCACCTGGACTGGGCCTCGGAGGAGACCTGCACAAACACACACATACAGACATTAAATCTGCCACATGTGATATATTTTCATCAAATCAGTGTGTGTGTCAGTGTGTGTGCGAGTGCTCACCTGGTCCCATTCTTTTTCAGGAAGGAGTTCTTGGTGTTGAGCGCTCTGCTGTTGAGCTCCAGAGCGGTGAATCCTCCGTTGTCCAGAGTTACAGACTCCTCCGCTGTGGACACGTGCTTCCCTGGAGGAAAAAGAGAAGGAATCAGATGGAATCAGTTCAGATAAATACTAAAAATTCAAAGCAGTTCAGTCACTTGTACGGGATAACCGTAGAAAAGCTGTCCTGAAATTGTTCCTCTCGCTGTGCAGACTTTATGTGTGATCATTCTTTTATTCATCTTGTTTTCAGCTACCTCTCAGGCTTGAGAATAAGAAGCAAATGAAACACGAATGCATAATTTGGCACTCAGGCAATAACCACGCAGAAAACCTTCATCATTTAGGCACCAATAACCATAACAAAAGGAACAATAAAGGGAACAATGTCAGGTTTTAAATTGGAAGAAATATGGTTGGAGCACACCAAGGTGCTCTGGATGATTTAAAGCCAACTGAACAAAAATTTCAATGACTCCTATTCATTCCTCCGTTGTGTTAATGTTTGTGTGGTCGCCCTGCCTGCTCTCAGTCCTCCTACAGCAACTCCCTCACTGTGTTTGATCACTCTGCTGCCCAGAGGTTGTGCCAAGGTTTCTGTGGCAACTCAGATTAACAGCTGTCCTGATGTAACCTGCTTATTAGGACTCATTTTGTATTGCAGATGTTGGCACGCACGCGTGCGCACACACACACACACACACACACACACACACACACACACACACACACACACACACACACACACAAAGTGACTGCTGTGCCTGCAAATAAGAGCATCACAGGAAGCCTGAGAGGAGAAGAAACGTAGAGGCAGACAGGAAGGAAAGTCTCAACATGAAGAGGCAAAGCTTTAGATGAGTTACTGGGCAACACATCACACAAACTAACAGTGTTTTGTCATAATGAGGAGGGAGTTTGTCCTTCAACTCATGTTGGTGAGCATCTGTCCCACCGAGGCTTCATTGAGTAAGACTCTGATCCCTCCAGCTCCAGGCTGCTCAGCTCTCTCACTGACCCTGTGGAGGTGGTGTGAGCTCAAACATAAGAGAGCCACGTCCAGGTTTGAGTATAAACACTGGGATGAAACACTGGAGTTAGCAATCTTTCCCGTGGACCTCTCCACTGAGAGATCCACGGGAATAATGACGCCCTTGAAAGTGGTGCAGGTTTTTTCTCTATCATTCTTAAGGTCTGCATGAGTGGTTCTCAATTGTTGTAACAGTTGAGAACCACTCAAAATGCAGATGTATAAAGTTTTAGTCTTTTGCATTTGCCAAGGAAAAGAAATCTTTGTTCCACAGTTTCATAACCATTAACAATTTATCCAAAAATGTGTACAAGGAAACAATTGTGTTGCTCACTTGTTGAACATAGAAGAAAGTTCTCAGGATACATTCTTAGAAGAATTTTACACAACATCGGTGAAACGAATCAAAATGAACCAATTCTCGACTCGAAATCGAATCAGGAAATCATTTTACAGCCTGAACAACAATGCTACAGACCTGTGCCACAGGCCTTGTACTTGGTGCTGTGTCCATGCAGCAGCAGGGTGAAGACCAAGACCAGAATGAGGATGAGTCCCACCAGAGCCATGACCAGTAGGAACCACCACTCCTCATAGAAGGGACGCTCCGACAGCGCTGCAGGGAGAGGGACACATGTAAGGGGGGATATAACGCTTTGATCCATGTTGAAGCTGTAGTTTCTCCCACAGGACCAGAAGTACTCCTCACAGTCTGTAAATGAGGACGGACTCTTTAATTGAGCCATTGAATTGTCATAACAATTTTCCAATCTGACTAAAACAAACCACCATCTCTTTCCCTCGGTTAGGTAATGGGGAAGAGAGAAGAAGCTACATGAACGTCTGGATTAAAGACTTCTCATGATTTATAATTTAACAATAAATTTGGAGTAATACTGTAGCTAGAAAACATAATGGCTTGCACAATAAGCTCAGTTGTAGTTTGCACGACTCTGCCTCTAGATGGCAACACACCCAAAGGCACACAGACCACAATCATACTAACTTCCTACAGTGAATCCAACAGACCAGAAATTCAGTCAAAGCTCAATCACACAAGTTGGATCACCCTGGGTTTGTTCATTAACCCGAGCTCCAGCAGTGTGTGTGTGCGTCCGTGTTTACCAGCGAGAGCAGCAGAGGGTGTACTTGGCTGTCCGTAACCATAGCGATTAACAGCGATGACTCTGAACTCGTAGCTGATCCCTGACCTCAGGCGCTCCATCGGCACTGACACGGATCTGCTGCTGGGAGGGAGGGGTCTGATGAAGGCATCCCACACCCCCTCATCTGCAGAGGGAGAGAGAGAGAGAGAGAGAGAGAGAGAGAGGGAGGGAGAGAGAGACAGAGAGAGAGAGAGAGAGAGAGAGGGAGGGAGAGAGAGAGAGAGACAGAGAGAGAGAGAGAGAGTGAGTGGGAGGGAGAGAGAGAGAGAGAGAGAGAGTCACAGTTTGATGGACTATCAGACAAAGACAAGAGAGGCGATGCCCTTTCAGATGTCATGATGTGATTCAAGAAGATTACAAATCAAATCAAATTCCCTTCCAGCTGATGATAGTGATGATGATTGTGTGATGATGACGATGATCACTGTTATTACCATTAATAAAATGGTTATTAGTATTATTATCAGAAGTAGAATCATACCACAGTCTACAGTCTCCCCTGCAGAGCATTCCCGCAGACGTTCACTTGCTGTATTAGACTTCTGGTAAGCTTTATTAGAAAATTACTGCTGACTTGATTTGCACAGCAGGTCTTAATGAATCTGGAGACAGCAGCGCCAAGTAAAGTTTAGCGCCGAGTGAGTGACACTTAACCTCTCCCTTGATTAAAGGAAAGAATGACTGTACATGATGAAAAGGTGCATGTCAGTTAAGTCATGGCTAATCTCTCTGTGGCGTTCGTGTTGGAGCTCACCCGAGGGACGAGCCTCAATAACGTATCCAGTCACGGGTGCTGCGCCGATATCTCCCTCTGACCAGTGGATATTGAGAGCAGAGGACGTCTTTGTGATGGACATTTCCATAGGAGACCCAGGGGTGCCTATAACGTCACACACAGACACAAATACTGAGGACACAGCTCTTATGTACGTTCTTTTTCTGAAAACTTTAACTGACTATTACCATAACCACTAGTCAGTTTGTGAGTCTGTTGACGTAAATGCATCAACATAAACATATTTCAACCAAGTACATACAGTGAATGTTTTTCATTCTTTATAGCAGCATTCACACAAGCACAGGTAGCATACGACCTGAACACGCCTTATCCCAACCTGTACCCTCACCTTAACCCGTATCTAATACGGACCCAAATTAAATACCAAATCTCAACTCTTTATTTCCCTAACTGGGAGCTGAGTCTAGAGATGAACCGATCAGTTGAGCAACTGATTAGTTGATCGAAAGACAATTTATCGACAAGTATTTTGAAAATCAAAGCATCGTTTGAGTCACAGTGTCATTTTTCAAGTAAAAATGCCAAATATTTGGTAGTTACAGCTTCTTAAATGTGAGTATTGCACATTTGCTGCATTTTTCTGTTTTCCATCATTGTAAAGTGAATATTTTTGGGTTTTGTACCTTTGGTCAGACATCACAAAATATGTGAAGAAACTGCATTGGGCATTTTTCTCTAGTTATAGACTTAACAATCTGTAGAAAACAATTATTAGTTTCAGCCCCAGTTGAGTCAACTAATATTTGTTTATGCAAACACAAAGTTACGGTCATACCTACCCTGCACAGGCTGAGCAGTGATGTTTGCCTGTAAGGGGGGCCCATGGCTGACTGTGAGAGCCTGGACACTGAACGTGTACGTTGCTCCTTTGACCAGGTCCCGAACCTTCAGCCATCGCTGCCAGCTGCCTTTCACGTCCACTGTCACAACTTTACTCACTCCTGCTCTCACACAGACAGTTCAAAAGAAATGTCAGTCTCCTCCTCAACAAGAGTTTTTCTCAGTTTGTGAATATGTGTGTGCATACCCTGAACAGGAGCTGTGGGCTGGTAGACGACCCTGTAGCCCTCCAGCTGTCCATTAGGAGTGAGCGGAGCTCCCCAAGACACGTTGACACTTCCTCCTGTCACCTCGGAGAAGGACAGGTAGCTGGGCTGGCTCGGAGCTGCAGACACATGGAGAATGACTAATGAAATAAAAGGAAGACGAATACAGGACAAAAAGGGAACAGAACTGTCACCACTCCGTACCGGACTGCAGGGTCCGAGCCCCGCGGGGGTCACTGGGCGGTCCGTCTCCTGCTGTGTTGAAGGCTGTCAGTGTGACCAGGTAAGGCGTGTAGCTGGTCAGGTTGGTGAGATGCACACGTGTGTCTGGGACAAAAATCATCTTCACCTTCTCACTCTGGTTCTGCTTGTCCCTCTCCCAGTAGTGGATCTACAACGCGGGAAATAAACACCTTCAACCACACTGGCTCTGTTCTTAAAGATTCTCCTGCTCCTGTTTTCTCTTCTCCCTCACTTCAGTTCTGCCAAATATATGTGTTATTTACTGTCTGTCCTTTGCTCCTGAGGTGCCCTTATTGATCCATATAAAATACAAGTGCTCATGCGCTGTTTAACAAGGAAGAGAAAGTTGGTTATGGAGAGATTTGTTTAGGCGCTGACAGTTTAACTGAAGGTTAAGCACCAGTTCTTCACATACCTCTGGTCTAGGTAAATATATCGCCCTTTTTGTCTGTTTTATGCAAAAAATATATTAATATCCCTTCATATATCTTTCTCTCCTCATTTTAAACCTTCACACTACATTCAGTGACATGACATTGCACTTACAAGCACAATGCTGTTTTCATGTCATACTGGGACTGTTGTAATTACCAGTTTCCAACCAGTCAGAAATGTAGAATAAAATCTCTGTGTGTAGCATTTTAACAAACCTTACATGGACCAACATCCTCGCCCACGTCTTTGCAGACCGCACACGCTCATGTGTGAATGGCACAATAATCTTGGACATGACCATTAACAGTCATGACATCGGCCAGTAATGAAGACACACAGGCTACTTTGGTCGATCCCTGTTAGCTTCAATAGAACAAAGGCCACCTGATTATTACACCTAGTATGATGAGATCAATATCAATATTAAGACCTCATAGTGTGTAGCTTGTGAATTTCACAATTTAATGATGCCAAAATGAGCTTTTTTCAATATAAAACAATCAGTCTTTGGTTAAATTTCATATGAATGTGGTGATTTTAGAAATGTGTTTCATACTTTGACAAAACAAATTCCTTTTGAAATCCTGTGACTTCTAGACTGTAGTGTAGGTCACAAACTTTTAATGAAACAGGCCGTATATAATGAGAGAAAACAGATGAGCAATATACTTGATATCTTACTGCCAGTAAACAGCCTATATAAATGCATATCCAGTAACAAAATCTGTTTGATGCATTAAAACAGCTTGCTGCTCCTGCTCATAATGGTACTTCTTGCTTTAAATTTGACCCTTTACAAATCACCACATTTTGTTCAATCCGAAGCTCAATGTAGAGGGAATACTTTCATCTATTAATTTTTTAAACACCAGCTGAGAGCACAGCAAAAATGGCTGGTTTAACATGAGAACTGCTTTGACTTTCCCTACACACACTGTGCAGCCATATCTGATACACACTAACAGCAAGGTTACAGAGGTGGTTGGGCCTCATGCATTAGAAATGAATAAGAAAAAGTATCTTGTAAACAGTCTTATAAGCCCTCAGAGGGAGAAAACAGCCACAGCAGCTGTTACAGGACTTCTTCTCAGGGTGGTTCATTTATTTGAAGCTTAAATGTTTAAGCTTTAAATACAAAGTAACAGAAAAACAAATATGTTTCACTACATGGATGTTTTTTCCTTGACAAGCATTCAGCGGCAATCAACCACCCGGGTATCTAATCAAACAGTACATGGTTTGTCGGCTCATTAAAACTGTAATCAGATCATGAAACTGTGGCCTTCATAAGAACAGACAGACCAGACATATTGTTTTCTGGCACTTGTCAGTGTGTTGTCGATCTGTGGACCAACAAGATGGATACAAAGTGAGAAACCAACAGATATTGATATGATATGATTGATTTCATGTATTTGGCATCAGTGTCGTGTCAGCCAACAACAACAGTTAGTTGTTTTGCTATTACCATAGGCGTTCCTACATGAAACATTATAATAAATACAGTAACAGAGTGGTCATTTAGACACATTTACATTAAGTTTAGTCATTAAGAAGATGCTTTTATTCAAAGCGACTTACAAGTGAAGGACATCACTAAAGCTCCAGTGCAGCAGGAGACCTTGGAGTAATAACTAAGTACTACATCTATTTAATAAGTGCAAGGAGATCAAGGAGGTGTAGCAGCAGTAAAAGCTCTAAGGTCTTTAAAGATATTTAGCAAGGATGTTTAAGAAATGGTCTTAATATTCAGAGGTGATGTATGCTGATGTTTTTATTTGGTAATTCAAGTCAAGTATTTTGTTTTTTGTTTGAATTTAGCAGCTACATACAGGTAGATCCAACAGCGTGTTTCTTCCTGGAACATAAACTGTGTCTGTGCAGTTTGGTTTACTTTTTGTAAAGGGGTCTATTTTGTTATTATTCCTGACATAAAACACCACAAAGCATCCTGAGCTATATTTACAACTTCCAAACTTGGTACGAGTAGCAGCTCATGAGCAGCACTTGAGGGCAGCATTAAACCATCTCTGTCCTTCCACATGCTCTTACAATAATGAGATACAGAGTAACTCATCCATTTGCTCGATTCAAAAAGTATTACCTTCTACATAAAAGAGGTATTTCCATTTAAAACATTATTATTTCAGAAAATAGGAAATATCTTTTGTGACACTTCATTCTAATGGCTTAGTAAAAAAAAAAGTCCACTCTGCTGTTTTGTAATCCACTCTGTTGTTTAAAGATCTATTTTGGTATTGGGTACGTGCGAGACCCTCAGGATTAGTCTAAAAAACAATTTGAAGTTGCCATGACTGAACATGATTTTAATATGATGTGATAAGCTCAAGAACCTTAAATGGATTTTCCAACCATCTCTTTTGTTAAAGAGTTGATTTAGGATCTTAAGTCATGATGAAAAACAGCAGCTGGATGTTTGTATCACGCAGGAGGAAACAGTTTTTAGGTTTTAGGTTTAGGATCTTTTTTAGGTTTTTGTTTGTCTCCACTGCACTTCTATTATAAATAACTGACCCATTTGGAAAAAAATACTAAAACTTGATACTACGAGGATGTGCAGTTGTGGATTGATTCAATCAGAACTATGGATGACCAATTTGTACTGAAGGTTTGTCTGTTGCTGCTCAGATTAACATTTCATAAGGTGCAACCTTTTACTTCGAGTGTGTTTGAGAGATTCCTGTTGACAGGACCTGCATCGTTGGGTAATACCTGTTACCCCTTAGCCATGATGTTCAGGGTGTTTAACAAGCCCTCGAGGACATTTCATCAAACTTCAACTGTGGAAAAATACTCTGCAGTGAAGTTTACCGTTAGTCCTACCTGAGGTCTGTGCTGCTCGTCTAACAACGTAGGGATGTTAACAGAAGTCAGAACCTATAAATTCATTAAACATTCTTTCTTTGCTCTATTTCTCTCATCTTAATCTCCTTAACCCCCCTCTGCCTCACACTCCCCTCCCCATGTCCATCCATCTCTGGCAGTTTTAACGTATTCCCTCGATCCTCTTCTCTAATCAGGATTCTACAGGGATCACTTGCTCGTCTCATTCCTTCACTCTGCAAATATTACATTCCCTTCTTTCTTCTCCATTCCCCCCTCTACTCCTGCAGAAATCAATGTGTCTAAAGCAGGACAGATAACCTTGTGTTTGAAGTACTAAGAGAGAGGGGGTGGGACAAGGGAGTTGAGGAGGAGAGACAGGCAGAGGAGTGATATTGAAACCATTAAAGGATATTCAGATTCTTCCTCTAACTTAATTCTCTCTCTTTCTCTTGTCTCTATAGGACACTTGAAGGTGCAGCAGAGCAAATCTCCTCCAAGACAAGAGTGGAGACATTTTAAATGCAGACATAAACAGCGCTGTGTGCTTTTCTACCACGTGGAGACTCATGCACTGTGTGCGTTTGCTTTTTTTTCGTGTCTTGTATGTAGTGTAGCTGCCACAAGGAATTCTTTGTGTGTATACATGTGTGTGTGTGTTTGTTTTTCTGTGTGTCACCTTGTATCCTTGGATGAGTCCATTCTGGGTCTCGAGGGGGGGTGTGTCCCAGGTCACTTCCAGGATGGAGGGAGACACAGCTGACACTCTTATAGACTGGGGGGCCACCGATGGAGCTGCAGCAGGAGAGATGTTTTGTTAGGCAGTAACTGTGTGTGTGTGCGTGTGTGTGTGCATGTGCGTGTGTGCGTGTGTGTGCGGCTGGGTGTTAGAGTGGGAAGTAGAGAAGATATGTTCTATCCTTCCAATTAGAATGGGCCTAAGGCAGTACCTTGTTACTCCACTGTACCACACATATGCATGAACACTCAGCAGTGTGCACCTGAGGCGAGAGAAAAGGCCATATCACCCCATTTCATCATCCCCCTCCAGCCTTTTCTGCCACCCCCTCCCACTCCTGCTGCTTATCCTCACCTCTCACTCCTCGGCATGTGATATGTATAACCTACTAAACTCTACATGCACGCACACACACACACACACACACACACACACACACACACACACACACACACACACACCCACACACACACACACACACACACACACACGCTACACACACCCCTTGAATATGAAAGCAGAACTGGTCTGATGTAGGGAGTGTGAGATTGTAAGAGAAATTGCAAAAATATGTGGGTGTTGCTATCATAACATGCAAATTTGTGCAAATGCACTCTTGTTTGTGTGTTTGTAGTTTCCAAGGAGGAGAAGCTGCTGCTACACACCATCCTGCCAATTGTCAACCAACAACTGGACCATCTCCAAATTGCCAACAGGGCCAAGAGGGGCACAGAGGATGCTGTGGCCTGCCTGCTGCACCTCCTCCTCCAGCACCTGGATTCCCCAGGTACCCTCGCCAGGATACTCTTTGTGGACTGCTCTGCTTTCAACACCATCCAAAGGCACCTTATGATCCGGAAGCTACAACAAGTCAGCACCTGCCATCTGATCCATCTGCTCCACTCCCCTCAAATACTCTTACGACACAGCCCTTCTTGTTCTTCGCACAGACAACCATTCTGTTCTGGACTATTGCTATGCTCACACCACTTCACCCAGTGGAGTGAGTGCATAAACACCTTCATCTCAATGTCAGGAAAACAAAAGAAATAGTAATAATTCACTCCAGCACCTCATCCTCATCAATGATAACAAAACAAGTCGGACAACAACCAACAACCAACCAACCCTGCTGCCAAGATAAATGGAGCTTCTCAGAGCTCAACTGTAAGGCCATCACATATACAATAGCACAGGACATCACACACCCACTCAACCGCCACTTCACTGGGTGCAGGTACAGGTCCCTGAGGTGCAGAAGGGCTCACTTTGGCAAAAGCCTGGTACCCGCAGCCATAGCAGCTTTAAACAGGGTGACTCGCTTCTGTTTTCACTTACCTGCCTCGCCGACAGACACCTCAACCGGGGTGGAGGGTGGGCTCTCTCCAATGATGTTGTAGCTTGTCATAACGATCTGGTAACGCTTGAATTTCTTTAGCTCTACAGAGAAATAACAGTACTTTAAAAACTTTTATAAAACATGCATGACAAACATGACATGGCTGTGATTGACACTTATTTTAGAAAGTGGTTCCTCGTAACGCTAACTAAAGCTAAAGCTAAACATAAAGATCCCTGGAGCTTTAGTTCCCAGTTCCATTTTAAATTACTTACGTGTCAACTCAAACTCTGTGAGCGAGGCGCTACTGACTGTCTTGAAGGTGCTCTTGGCTTGGGGAGAATGAGAGAAAAATGGAAGGAGAGTAAATCAATAAACAATTCAGGTTCAACAATAAATTGTGCAATTATAATGCAATTCAATAAAATGACTGTATTAAAGACTTTTATGTTTCAGTACCCTTGTCTGACTCAGTGGACGTCGGATGGACACGGAATTGTCCATCTGCCAATCTAGTCAAGCAGATAGTCAATCTACTATAAAGCACTTCAGGCTTCACAGTGCATAATAATATTTTATTATTGCAATGTTATAGTGCAATATAGGTGGTCTCATAAGAAAACAATGGTCCGATGAGGGCCATTCGCTCAATCTGTCATCAAATCCACACACAGTTCATCCCTGGTCTCTGCTCTGATGTGGAATACATCTGAGAAGATCTTTTTCTTATTTCTTACTCTCAGTTCTTTTTTCTTTGACATTTAAGACCTCTGAAAGATTTCTTTTTTTGAAAACAAGGCAAAATGGGTTAAATTAAAAATGCTAGGCTTGCACTGCAGCACGAACAATTGAACGAGATCTTTCTATAAACACTCCAGTACAACTGTCAGGTTTAAACCTTTTACAAACACTGTCAATGTACTTACTGTTGCAAAGCAAACTTTTTCACCACTGTTCCTTTCTTTTATTGCTCATTTTTTGATTGCACATAATAAATGCACTGTCACTGAAATATTTTTTCTTCAAACCAAAGATTTCAGTGCAGTAGATCAAACCCACAGCCAGAGATGTACTTCATTGATTATGGAAGTGAAGCTCTCTCTAAAATCATAGAGCCACTGACCGTTTGCTAAACCTCTGAAAAATCCCTTGAAACGCAATTGTCCAATCATAGCTTAGCAACTGTAACTAGGCACAGAGCAGATCTGTCAAATCTTGGATTCCTCCACTTTTTGAAGTGGAGTGCATGATACTATAGTAAGAGCCATACTCATTAAAAAGTTTGGAGGCCTTTTATTATCCTCTTCAAAACCAAAACCAGACGAACAAAAGTGTGAGGAATGGAAAACGGTGTGTTTATTTGATCTAATCTAATCTGCAAGTGTTAGCATGGCTGACTAACTATCACACTGTACTTGTAACCACATGTTACTTCCAAGGCCATGGAGAAAAATCTTCAACCAGAGGGTTTATAGGTATGTAAGTAAAGCGGCTAAACAGGGTTATGCTAAAATAAAATGTATGATCTTACATATTCCTTATCGAACATAAGCACATTGATTGATTTATTCCCAAGTCATATACATAAATCATCAAGTAGTGGTGATGCTGACTGTTTTCATCTGTTTTAGTGCAATATCAAATCTGGAAACAAATTAAAAGTCACCCGGAGAATGCATTTGCTCAATTAGCTAGCTAGCTGCAGTTGACAAAATGAGCAATGAGAGCCCTGCTTTTGTCCAGGTCTGTCTGTAATCAAGAACAGAAGAACAGAAGTTTGACAAGTGTGGCGTTAGTATCAGCGCTACTCACCTGTAATGAGGGTACCTGTGGTGGTGTTTTTGGTCGTCTGGACATCTGCTTCAGTGAAAGTGGAGGCGTTCACGGGAAGCTCTCTATAGTACAGCCGGTATCCAGTCAACACCCCATTAATGCTGTCGTCAATGGGACGCTGGAAACAAGCACACACAGGCACCAGTGGAAAAGTATTAGCGATCCATTCCTCAAACAGAAAACTTCTGAGAATTCTGCAGTATGCTAATTTTCATTCTTGGCGAGTGACAGGGAACTGGCAGGCAGGAAGAGCAGTATTTTATCAGCAGAGTCCACTTTAAAGGGCTGGTGGATTGGTCTGGCTGTAACCCGCACAGACAAAGTGATGCTTCAGTGAATTTGGCACTCTTGTAAAGGATGATGAAATTGCTGGTGACTTTGTTTTTTCACTGCCTCCTTCTGCTTTGACATAAGGCAAGAAGGAGCAAGAAAAGACATTCTCAAACAGAGGAGGAAGGGCGATGAGCAGTTAAGTTGTTAGGTTGTATTTACTGTCCATTCACATATCACCATGGCTCTTAACCACCTCTGTTTTTCCATAACTCCGCTCTCTCTCTTTTTCCTCTGTTGTTGGACATCACCGATGTTTGCCTCTCTCGCTCTCTAACATCTCTCCTGCTGCTATATCCTCATTAGGACTGTGAACATTTTTCTCCCCTACCCAGGACTGTCTGTCCCGCCGTCTGTTCATCCACCTCTCCCTCCATCTCTCCAATCTGTCTGTGCTGCCCTCTGACCTTTCCTGCTTCAGTAATAATGGTAATTGCATCCACAGACAAAAACACACACAGCGCAAACACACGTACAGACACTGCATGCAGTAAGTCTGCAGGGGTCTCCTTCTCCAAGTAAGTGATTAACCTGTACTCAAAAGTTTGTTGTGTAGGCATGTGTGAATATGGCGCACATGAGTCTCTGGGACTGTTGTGTTACAAGTCCGAAAATACCTTCCACTGCACCAGGACTGAGGTAGTGGTTGTTGGTTTTACTGCGAGGATCACTGGAGGCTCATCAGGCACTGGGAAGAAAACACACAGAAAGAGAGTGAGGAAGAAAAACAAACAAACAGACAGACTTGCTTCTATCCATCCCCTCACAGTTCTTCTGTTATGTTTTAAAATCTACATATTTCCTCGTCTTCAACTTTCTTTCCTCCCTTTGCTCCATAAGCGCCCCCCAGTCTCTCACCGTCCTGCAGAGTTGTAACAGCCTCCGTTTCTTTGCTGAGGACACTGTCTCCTATATCGTTGGTGGCCAGCATCCGAAACTTGTATGACGTGAAGGGCTTCAACCTATACATGCGCACATATGGACACACAAAAAAATATATATTTCCATTTTACTTCAATTATATCATCTGCAGGATTTATTTAATGCATAAATTGATGAATCAGTTTGTTGAAACTTTGCGAAAGGCTGCTGGACTTGTTGCACCATGATCCTCATGCAAGATTCACAATATTGTTTCCATGTGATTTTATTACTAATAAGGGGATTTCGTTTGTAATTTAGCCGATAAAACCACAGCAATACAGTTAGACTTGTGATTTTGAGCGAAAGACTTTTATGATAGCACAACAGCTGAAGGCATGTCTTGGTAGGGAGTCTCCTCAGGACCAGCTGTGCCTTACAGACATCAATCAACAGTAGTCAGCAATATCTTCTCTCAGTACTCACAATAAATTTCACAATAAATCTTTTTTACTTGAAAGATGTGCCATGGGTGAAAGTTGTGCCTCACTGTCTCCTCCTAGCTACATGACTGTGCTTTAGTCTCCTATTGTTTCACAGCTGATATTTGGACTGTCTTATTATTTTCTTTTCAGCCACCCGTAAAGCACATTGAATTGCACTTAATGGTATGAAAGGCGTTACACAAATAAAGTTAAGGCAGAATTTTTTGATTCCACCCAGAGTTTCTCACCAAACAGCATTGTGGGTACCTACAAACACAGTGAATGCATTCCCTTCCCCATAAAGCCTTTGTAAAACCTTCTTTTGAACGTTTTGACATTGTTAACATCGGCTTGTGGTCTTGTGCTCTTACTCTACTAGGAAAACGCCAAAAAAAAGGCACATGTTCTATACAAGATACAAAGAATACCACTCATCAAAACATTATTACACAGCACCACAAGTGGTCAAAAAACTCCACTGGGTACCTTTAACAATTTGGAAATAACTTCCTCCCAAAACCACCTTCTCCCCCTCTCACAAGGCATGTTTTGCTCTTTCAGTGGCCTTTGAAGATCAGAGAAGGTCTTGAATAATAATTATCTAACACCTTTCCTAATTGTCTCCCCTGCCAAAGTATTTTTTACTGCCATACTACCACAACATCTTATCTGCATTTCTCCTCTGTGCAAGGTGAAAGCATTAATAAGCGCAGAATAACAATTTACATCAGTCATGTTGAAAACAATTTGCTCTAGAGCCACTTACAATCAGCCCAACAAACATGCACCTATTGTACAGGGACTAGCTGAACAAGCCTGCTGCATGGTGCCTTATGGGACGCAAACAGTATAAATGCATCCTTTCCCACACACTGTGGGAAGTTGATTGTAATTTATGAAGGACAGTTGGCTGCAAAATAGTCATTTTTCTTATATTTTTAATTGATTTTAACCTGTTTTTAACGGGAGTTAATGGGAGCTTTAATAATTTGTAATAAGAAGTCATTCCACTCCTGCTCACACATCTACCTGCAAGTTCCCTCTCTAGACTTTATTTACAGAGTGCCTAGGAGACTTCAGAGGACCAGTTAGAAATTCAGCAGGCGACAGGAGAACTGCTCAAGTGTCTTCTTGTATAATAATGAGCCGGGCCCAATAAGGGACAAGAAAAGGCCCTATGGGGTTGTGGGTATCGCAGGAATAGAACATCAAAGGCACCAAGCTCAAAGATGGTGGGGTACCAAGAGCACTGGGAGGATGTTAAGGACAGTGTTTGAAAGTGTGTGCGTGTGGACTTTATATGTGTCTGCGCACTAGCCCGGGGAATTCGATGTTTTGGTTCCAAAGATGTCTCACTGGAAAACAACAATTAAGGACAGATAACAAGTAAGTATGAGTGTGAGCATACGGAGATGTAAGCTAATTCCTCCATCCGGCGCTGTAATGAGAGCATTCAGTGATAGAATGAGCTAAAAAACAGCATCAAAACAACAGCAGCAGCACCGCCATCGTGGCAGATAGACTCTCCCTGAGGCAGGTTTGAAACAGGCTGATGCAGACACAGAGAGAGAACAGTCTTCAGCATCTCAAATAGCCCTGTGATAGCTCGCGAAGGTGCGCACACAAACAGTCATGAAGCAGAGAACACACACCAAACAAAAATAAGCCTCATCACAGTCCTGCTACTCAGGCTATCAGCAAAGTTGGAGTATCTATCCAGTCTGACCACCATCACCTGCTGCCGTAATGACAGTCTCACCAGGGAGGAGAGGATGGAGCGAAAAATAGAAAGGAGTAGAAAAGGAAGACATTCAATAGCAATGGAGCACTCTTCTATGGGATGAGTGGGGGTGATGCTTGAGGACATATGAAGGAAAAAATACGAGCCTGATGGTTTTTGAAAGCACTGGCTGTTGATGGATGGATGGATGGAGGGAGGGAGGGGAGGAGGTGGCGACAACATGAGGGATGACTGATGAAAAGGTAAAAAGAAAAGTTGTAGAGAGAGAGAGAAAATAGATAAACCGCAGAAACAAACTTGAAAGCATGAAGCCAGAGTGAGAAATTATTAAGAGGAAAAAAACACAGAGCAGTTCCTGCTGTTCCTGTGTGATTAGGTGACTGAGATCCTCCGCGTTTCTGCAGTGATTATGATTACTCTACTCTCCCTGGTGTTTTTTTTTTTTTTTTTGTGGTTTATGTTTTTTCACTCCAAAAACCTTTTCTTTACTTCCTGTGCTAAATAAATAAATAAAGCCATTCTGTTTGTGCTCTAATTCTCTACTCTCTGCCTTGACATTTCACAGTATCCCCCCTCTTTGTCCATCTTCTCCCCAGGGATGCATAAACATTACAAGATTTTTTTTTTTTACAGATTGACTTTAACTAATTCAAATGCAGCGTGTCATGCTAAACAACATTTCCTTGTTAGTGCTCTGTAATGAAAGCAAAAAAGAAAAAACAGTAATTATGCCTGTTTTCTCCAAGGATACTTGACATGGCCTAATTGACTGTTAGGTGAGCCCTGTCCCCCCTTAGATACCGTTGCTATGCCTGTCAAGCTTTCTGCTCTCACACAGCACATATTTCAAGCTGACTCGATTTAAAACAAGTATCTTGTGAAAGTAAATATGCAGCTTTCTGGCCACACTGAGCCAAAAGATTGAGGCTAAAATTAAAAGGGCAAAAATCCTGACTGAGGTAGAAGACATGGAAATACAGAAACAGCTTGCATGACAGTGTAGGATAATGAGGAAAAATTTCATCCTAACATAATCCTGTTTAGCCTCTTAGCTTACACACCTGGACAAGCGAGAAATGTTAGATTTAACTAACTGATATGTTTGTCAAATGCAATGCTATCTCGGGGAAGCTTGCTGGGGTTGCTGGAGTGTAAACTCTCCCAAAATCCAATAAAGAGCAGGACAGAGATGTTAACGATAGGCTAAACTCTGATATAAAGGCATCAAGGACTGGCTTCCACACTGCTGCTGCTGTGATTGGAGCTTTGTACTGTCACCTGTAACCCCATGAAGTGTGACATGGCTCATGAAAGTTACTGCTGTACTGCGGTAGTAGGCTTGTTAGCTAGTCATGCTAACGTTTGTGATGTATGTTAGAGCAAACATCCATTCCTTACGCTTCTGCTCTTGGAAACACTAAAATAAAAATTACCTCTAAAAATTATTTATAGATGGAGTAGTCAGAACTTGACAGAGCTGCTGCTTATTGGTAAGCTGTGATTGGACAATCACTGTTTGAAGGAGGGGTTTAAGCAAACACAACAGCTATGTGTATATTTGTGTGTTTGTGTGTGTGTGCGTACCCGTCAACGGTCCAGGCGGTCTTGTTGTGTGGGATGTCAGCGACGTGTGTGTTCCAGTCCCCGCTGGGCAGCTGTTTGACCTGCAGAGTGAAGTATCTCAGGGGAGAGGAGCCTGAGCCGCCAGTCACCCAGTGGAGGCGGAGACGGCGAGATTCAACCCCGTCCTGAAGAACAGACAACCTCCTTGGCGGCTGGGGACGCTCTGTGGATGCGGTATGGAAGAGGGGAAAAGAGAGAAGATAAAAAGATGAGAGTGGGAGGAGACGAAAGAGGCAAAGGAGAGATGAGAGGCGAAGAGAGAGAAGGTAGAAAAAGTGATGTGACAGGGACAGAGACGGGGGAATTGCAGGGGAAGGATGAGAAAAAATTGTGAGCAGCAAATGAAATTTTCTGCAGCTATTTTTTGATAAAAAAAAACATAAACACTTGTTGATATTCCGACAGATTCCAAACACCGATTCCTACACAAGATTATGTTTTTAGCGGTTTAACATTATGTGGCTGTTATCACATTTGTTTGTGTATTTTTGTTTGCAAGAGAAAAAGACTGCACTCAGTGCTTTAGATATACAGTCGGGTGACAAATTAAAGGACAGAGCTTTTACATGTTACCATGTATCAAGAAGGTTCTGGATGCCAGAAAAAAATGAAAAAAGGTCAAAACATCCAAACACTTATCTCCATCGCAAATGTGGCTGTTTGTGATGGAGATAAATGCGTGGATGACAAATTAAAGGAAAAGCAAACAAAGTGTTCTGGTTAAGTGTTGGGCCATTACAGGCGTCCAGAACAGTTTCTATGCTATTATTCTAACTGCAGTAGTGATATCATACATGTATGTGTGTGTTGGGGGGGCTTAAACTGCCATGAGGGGGACGGGCTAGAGACAGCACAGCTTCTCCAACAGCATGATAGTGTCTACATTTTGCTAATAGTTTGGCAGTGGAGTCTGACATATTTACACTTTGAATGGAATTATTTTGAATAAAGGATGCATGCATGTAATGATCTTTCCTTTCATCTGTTCTGCTGTCACAGTGATGATTTCTCTGCCTGAAGTCTTTGTCGAACACATGCATGCATGTAAAAAGCTGATTAGAAACGCTGATTAGAGACACTTATACACAAATACATGACCAAGAAATCAGTTTTCTGAAGTAGAAATCTAGCTAGGGAAGTCTGGTTTGTCTGATCCCCTACCTCGATTACAGGAACCAACGTTTAAGAAATGAGCTTACTGCAGAGTCAACTGAATCCTGGTTACTTAAATGCATGTAAATGCACTGTGTAGAAACATCTGCTGTCAAGATGTTTCCCCACTTATTAATTCAGGTATTTCCTTTGACTTCTGTTCTATCTGTAGCTATAAATATCAAAATTAATTGTCACCTGGACAAATGGAGACAATCATGGACCATATGCTGCAAAAAGCTTGTAACACAGGACACGGCAGGCTACATTTACATCACATATGCATCAGTGTAACTTGCATATGCATACATATGTTTAAATGAAACAAGACATCTAACCGCTGCGGCATCAAAGCTGCAAACAATTCCTCAGCAGATTGAATGTGTGTGTGTATTTGTCCGTGTCTTCACTATTCAATTAGAAGATGAAAGATGGCTCTGGGAGTCAGTGTCTTTGTACAACTGTGTTGGCAGTAGCCATGTGATTAGTGGACGTGTGCACACACACGTATGTGTGTGCACACACACAAACACAACCACACGGTTGGGGGGCATAACTGTTTAATTTCTGAGGCACCAGGTTATCGATTAAGACTCGAAATAAAAGCATTATCGATTTTCTCTGAAGTTTAATTAATCCGCACTTATGTTCTCAAACAAACACACAAACACAGTCACACACTGACATTCACACACAGGCTCGCCTTCCTTCATTCATTCTTATCACAAGTAATTTAAGTCAAATCTGTTTGTCTCCCTTCTTCCCTCATGCCCTTATTCTTCATTCCCTTCAAGATTTGACTACTCTCTCGCTCTTTTGTTTTCCTGATACCATCTGTGTCTCTCTGTCTGTTCTCCTCTTGTTCCATTCCACAGTGAAGATCATGTTCTGATAATCACCTCATAATTGTGAGAACAAGCGCTGCCATTTCAGCACTTACCCGACTGTTTACTGCGACAAAGTGAGAGAAGAGGAGAGGTGAGGTGAGGGTTCGAGCGTAGAAGGGATGAGGACTGGGGTGATATTAGAGGGGTGAAAAGATGGGGGATGGGGAAATGAATTCTGCTAAATATGCTACTATATGTTGTCCATTATCTTATCAGTTATCACCCTCTTGGAGACAAACATCAGCATAGACAAATCTCTCTGGGGGAATTGCAGTTTTCTCTATAATACATGCATGCACGTTCATGCAGCCTCACACTCACACATACACACCCACATGCACGCTCAAAAAACCAATTTTCTTTTTCTAGGGATTAAGTTGGTCTCTTCAGCATCATCAGAAAGAAATCTCTATTAGGCTATTCTGTCTATCTCACATTGAGAATGGGCCATTATGTTACTGAAGTGGAACAGGGAACCACTGAATTCTATTCTAAAGAAATCCTGATAATGATGCTGCCAATGTTATGATATCTGATCCAATTAAAATGCACTACACAAGCTCATAGCTCCGAACAGAATATCTGACATCATGATTCCAGGTTTTCATAAAAAAAAAAAAAAAAAAAATCACTTCACTGTCACAATTTAATATAAGGACTTTCGCATCATTTCAATGCTTTACCAGTCTGACAGAGAAAATTGGACAAAGAGATCAGGGGTGACATATATCAAAGGCTGTGAGTTACATTCAAACCAAAAGTTATTCATGTGTTCGGCTACTGAGACACCAGAACTTTTGAAGTGATTATCAAAGTGATATTTCACTTTGGTGTGATAGTTCTTCTTAGCTCCGGAGTGGTTACACCTCAACTTAAACCTTTCATTCTCCATGTGTCTTTATCAACTGGTAACATCACCCTGCTCACAGAATATAATACTAATGAGACCTATGTCTGTTAAATGTTTGTACATATGATTTTTATAATAAATTGTAGGATACATTTTCAAAAGAAAATGTATTTTCAGTACTTATCTAACAACAGAAGTTTCCTCCCTATTCAGATTCGACTGACTGCCTCACCCATCCACACACCTGTTCCCAGTTGTCATCAGCCCTGCACTCACCTGAGCTCTCCCCACCTGCACCTCATTCTACAATCAGCCTTGCACCACATACACCAGTTCACTGCCTTTGTTCCTTGTCGGATCCTCTCCCATGTGGTTTCCCTCTGGTCCTGCTACCTGCTTTTGCTGCCTGCTATCTTGTCTGCCTGTTATTAAAGACTGCTTCACTGCACCAGCCTGCCAGTGCTTTTGTCCTCTGCCTGCACTGTTATCAGCTAACCCTGAGAGTTGCTCTTAGTGACCCACCACTCTGCCTGTAGCTGTAACACTTGGGGTTGAGGTACCGTATGCGGATGATGGATCTGTGGTCTTGACTTTTATGGTTTATAGCTTCAGCTAACACAGTTAAACGACGTGATAAGCTTTGTTTATTTCATACATCCTGTTTTATTGCATCCTAATAGGCGGGACTGTCCTGTCTGTTAACATGCAGCGTTGATTGATGAGAGGAAAAAAGTTGAATCAGATGCAGACATTGTTGACAGAAGGCAAAGCATTGATTAATACATTTAATTTAATAACCCTGAGATACTCTCTTTTTGTACTGGGAAATAATAACAAAAACCCTTTAAAAACATTTGCCTTGTTTTTAAGTAAACATAACCTTCAACTGTCTACAGCCCATTCTTACTTACTAGTGTTTTCTGGTTTATTTGGTAATAAAACAAATTTACCAATTGTCATTCTTTTCATAAACCATCTTTACAATTTGATTCCTGCTGCCTCCTCCTTTTTAATGTAACACTGTCATCCTGCCATCCATCCCTTGGCATCCTGTCAGTATTTCCTGTATGATACATCTCGTTATCAATCAGTCGGATCATTCATGCTGTGTAACCCAAAATAGCACCTGTATTATTTAGTCCACATAAACAGTCAGTAGCCTGCACCTATGGCAGAACAGCCGCTGAAATCTTCAGATTTACCGATCATGAGGATGATTTGAAACTAATGGTGCATCACACATTACAGGATATTATTAAGATTACTGTGCCAGAGGGAGCAATGCATCATCTCATTGGGAAGCATATGTAAACAAAATGGAGACTGTGGTGTAACAACTTGTTGTAGCGTAAAACTTTGCAGTGAGGAAAAAACAAAAGCAGAACGTGGAACAGGCCTGGATGAGAACAGGGCTGGGGAGACACAGGCATGTGGCTTTTCTATTCTTCAGCGAGAACTGGAGGTGAGATTTTAACTGTCTGTTTTAATATGTCAACAGTGGTATGCTAGCTAATGTTAGCCTCAAGCACTACACTGTTTATTGTTGCTTGGCTACAGCCAATGAGCCTACAAGCAGTTTGGGAGGTTTAAGACTGGATCTGTGAAGTGATCCTATTACCAGATTATCTGGGCCAAACATCAGTATCGACCTAGGTCCAGGGCCAGATTTCTCCTATGACTGTCGGGAGGGGTGAATTGGGGTTAAATCGGGCCAAAACTCCTCTAGTCTGAGCCCAGCTTTATTGTAACCTTTGGAGTATAGGTGAATCTTCATCTGGTTTCAGTTGAAATGGCTGCTGCATTTGAAATAAGCTGAAGTCATGAGAGCAGCTGATTGAGGCAGGAAGAGAGGTGCAGAAGTCTAGAGAAGACAAGATAAAAAGCATCACGACCTCTGAATCCAAGGAGGATAAAAACTTGACTTTTTATTTGTTTCAAAATTGAATGAAAAAGAACTGCACTTCTCACTCACTTCACCTCTTTAAAAATCAAGTCACTATAAAAAGCTGTTCCTCCTTTCTGGCCACCGAATGTCTTGCAGGAAATACATCTGTTTCAGGTTTTTAGAGAGAAAATTATCTTGGGAGAGTTACAGTCACTGCTCAGCCTCCTACATCCCGCCATAGGCATAAACCGTCATAGTCTGTTTCTGTTTTAAAATTCTGTTATTGTCGCAGTTTATACCCTATGATCAGGCCAGTGACTGCTAAAATTAGCTGAAATGTTGAAGGTAAATTAGCAACATTTTTGCTGCCCTAAAAGACAAGTGCAGGGTGCTATCTGCAGTTTTTCACTTCTAGTTCTAACTATCTCAATATTGATCAATACTATTTACTTTGGATTGGAATCTAGGATTTATGGCTTTCAGATCTCGCTTTCTGATCCATTCTATCTAAAAGAGACTACCTACTAACTCTTTTCACCAGCGCAAGATGCTATGAGATAGTGGCCAGTGTTGCAAGACAGTTGGTGAGAAAGGCTAGTCACTTTCATTGTGTCACTCACGTCAATTAATTTTGGCGTGTTCAGGAGAGAATTTTTCATGATTTAACAAAGCTGGCTGAGTAAAGTGACCAGCTTTGCACAAACTCAGTTTTTGAAACTCCTGACTCTCATTAAGTCCCTGCAGGAGGACAAATACCTGGTGATTTCAATATCTACATTTACTGCCAAGAAGCTCTTTCAAAATGTCATTACGTTTTGTTCTGTATGTAAAATGTCCACACATTAAAAAGGTCACACTCTTTAACTTGTGCCAATGTTCTCTGCCTGGTAACAATGGGTTCTGCATGTACGACCACTAACTACTTGTTGTTGAAGCACAGATAACCTTTCTGAGCTCCACACCTGAAGCTCCCGCTCGCTTTTCTTTCCCTAACTTTATCTCTGCAGGGACTTCGCACATAGACCGCAACTCATTACACCTCTAAGTAGAGATCATAAAATTTTTAAATGCTAAAACTTCACCTGACCTTTCCATACTCTTCCCGCACTGGCACTACTGTAAGAAATAGCATAATGGGTGACAAAATATAATTTTTGTCCAATTTACCAAAGTTAATATTTATTGCCAAAGTTAATATGAAAAGAAAAGACAAAATATTAAAACAATTGTGGTTTTCTCCTATAATAGACTTTTCTAATGGCAAACGAGTAAAAGGTAAAAGCACAGGTAAAATTAATAACATTAATCAAGTCACTCCTGCTAAAAATTGGCTCATTTACAGAATCTTTATGTCTAATCTGATTGAACACCTTTTATGTCCTTATGCATCATTATGATTGAATGTGAATTTCATTACAGTTTATTAAATTGCTGTGGCATAAATGGCACATGAGATGCATGATAAGTATATAGAGGGCTGCACGAAAAAGCAAATTCTATTCGTCATTACTCAAAGCTTCCAAGCTTACACCCCATTATTCTAGTTCAATTATCCAGCAATGTAGAAAAGTAATTTTTTTTTTTTTTCATAGAAACAAAACGAAAACACTTGTTACACTGATTCCATTACTGTGTGATTTAATACTGTTTCAGAATTAAATCATACTGACTGGTCCAAATATAACGGAAGATTTGTCCCTGTAGAACTTTTTTATAGCAGACACTTTAACTCAGCATCGCAAGAAAAACATAGGTGCAACTAATAGCGTTTATGATGACTCTGTTCCATTTAGGAATCCTAGTACACCACGCCCGTGAGCAAGCACACCGTGCTCTGGAACTTCAAACTAAACTGAACAGCTGCGTTCAGAAACCCTATATAGCTGAGTGATATATAGCTGAGTGATACACAAGTCCCAGTGCTGATACTCTATACCAGCACCCATGGAAGGCCTCTCGTCCAATCAAATTACTTGGCCGGAATTAACTGTTGTATAATTATGAATATTACTGACACCTGTTGCTGCTAGAGATGGTATCACTGTTTCTTATTTCTCTGGTAAGTTGTTGACATTGTTTCTTTTTTATTACTGTACAAGAAAAATAATAAATTCAGAACAGGATTATAATGTATTCATGTTTTAAATTTAAATTTTGAAAACATTAACAACAGTAATGTTTAGAAAAGTCAAATATCTCTCTGGAAGCAAATGTAAAAACTTACTCCTTAATAAGAGTCATTTATATTCTTGAAATTAAAACACTGAGTAAAGTTTAAAATGAAAGTAAAACACAGAAAAAAGTCTCTGTCCTGTCCTCTGTCATCCTCCCACCTACTGCTGATTCACTGTTGGCCAGGTAAGGCGAGACAGACCAGAGGGGGAGGCTGGTTTGGGAGTGGCAGCTGCTGTTTCAGCCACACACTCTTCAATAACTTGTCAAAATTTAAGCTATGTGACTTATTAGGCCAAATAGTTTGGCTTCAAACAGTCAGCTTCAGTTTTAGTTTCTTCCGAACAATTTGCTTGAAACTGAACAAACATGTTATGGTGAAACATTCCAGCAGTGGATTGGAGAAAGCTGAAAGCAATATGTAATATTGCTTTGCTTCAAATGTATGCTGTGATACAACACATTCAGCACCTGAGGTTTCTGGATGATGGTTGAGTGTTCATGGAGGTCGGGTTCCTACTATGTTTTAATGGAAGTGATTCAGAATCAGACAAATAGGATAGCAAATGAGATCCCAAGTCCTGCTAAAGTGTATGCGTGTGTCCTTCACCTCTACGTTCAGTGGTAACAACCAGGGCTTCCTGTTCTTCGCCCCAGCCCACGGCGGTGCGAGCAGTGAGTCGGAACACGTATGTCTGCTCAGGGGAAAGTCCCGTGACAGTGAACTGCCGAGCGTTGGAGCCCACCTCCACTGTGGTCCAGCGCAGAGGGTCCCTGCTGTCGAGGCAGTAGGAGATCTGGTAGCCTAGTGAGAGAGGAAATAGACAAAAGGGAGGAGGGATGACAGAAATTCTTGTGTGGATGTGTTTTTTTTTTTTGTGGCCTACATTAGATCACAGAGCACACAGGAATCAAAGGCAGCACAATGTGAGATAGGAAAAAGTCTGCACATAGCTACACAATGCCATACCACACAGCCTCATTTCCACAATAACACATACAAACAAACACGGGGCTCTGCAGCTCCTGTCCCTTTCCACTTCTTTCCTATTACTTCCTGAGTATGTATGGAGCCTTTAGACTCTCTCTTGCAGACAACTATAGAGCAAGCCATCATTTTGTCACTGAACACCAGTACATGCTCACATACTGACATTCCCCCTATACACGCTCACGTTTTATAATCATACAACCTCTGTTCCTTCCCCTTGGCTGTGACCCATGGTGTACACGGCTTGTGTCTGTTCCTCTGTCTCATGTGCAGTAGGCCATGTAATAACACTAACATCCTTCAACACACAACACAACCTCAAACCACTGATCCCCGACCAAGCTTTCCACAGGCCACTGGCCACTCACAAAGGCCGTTAATATGAAGATTGTATTGTACACCAAATACACACGACCACACAGCCATGAAATCACACAAATTCACAAGTGTGTGGATGCGATTGGTTCACAGTAAAACTGTCATGGTAATCTGCTCAGAGGCACATAATCTGGTTGTGTGTCTGATAATCTCATCAGATAGTCTGATTGTATGTTAATGTGAGCGCAGCATGTGGAAGATTATTGGATAACAGCTACACTACAAATCCTCTTGCATCCAAACAATTGGGTCAGAGCACAGCATTATGTTCTGTACTGAATATCATTAGGACATAGCTGGTATCAGACACATGAGGCTAAACCTCCATTACAAAGTGACTGTGTCATGTCAGGGAGAGCCCTTCTCCCTCTTCCACAAACAGATATAATGTACCTTATATTTCACACTGCCTCTTAGCTTAAGGCATTCAAAATGTGAATTTATACATAGTGTATCCGCACATATATATTTTGTGCTTTTAGTTTCTCAATCCTCACTGGCCTTGTCTGCGTTGATGAAAATCGTACAGCAAGTGCAGTGCTAGAATGATAGCACATTCTTTGTATTTCTTCCTCCGACCTATATAGTCTTGGCTGTTTTAGCCAATAAATCAGTGTTGTTTACAGTTTTGTACTAACAGCCAGTGATGCAATACGTGCAGTGACAGGCAGCTTTTGAAATGCCACTGCCATTAAAACTTTGTAAAGAGACAAAATGTTGTGCTGCTCCTCCATTTCCTTTGACAAGTGCATGGTGGGACAACAGTACACATTTATAGCACGCTCACTTTTTTTTTTTTTTAACATGCATTGACTTTTTTGAGCGTTAACTTTCGTGGTTTTAGTGTAAGAACACACTACTTACTCAAATTTGAATTATAATTAGTATGTGGTATGGAAATGGGATACAGCGTCTGTTTGCCACTGATGTTCAGGTGCATGTGGCTGTATTATATTCATAGAGAGGTCATGTGAAAACACAAATGCCTCGTGCCAAATTAGATCGTGCACCCTCTGTGGTCTTGTTTCTCCTCTGTCCACCTTCTGTGTCAGTGCCCCATGGGTTGAGAACCCAAGGAGAAATGAGGCAGTCATGAGCGCTAAAGAACCCGGTACACTACAGTTATTTGTATCTGCAAAATGCACACACACACACACGCACGCACGCACGCACGCACGCACGCACGCACGCACGCACGCACGTACATACGCACACATAAACTCAGCAAGGACACAGCGGGACTCTGTTTGTGTGTCTGTGTGATCGAGAGAGAGAGATTTGCCCTCCTACTCATCCTTCTGTCACAGAGTGGTGTCGCACTAAATGTCCTCCCTCTTACAATACAGTCACACATCACTCACACTGTCCTGCTCGAGTCCCCCCCCCCCACTGAGAGGACAAATCCTCTTTCTCCCCTTTGTGCAACACACGCACACACACACGCATACACACACACACACACACACACACACACACACACACACCTGTCCCTCCTCTCACCTCCATACATCTCCTCTCTGCTGTCTCTCCCCTTCTGTTCTCTCTCTTTCCAGCTCAGCAGCTCTCACATTCCTCTCGCTTCTACCTTGCTTCTCTTCCTCTTCATTAATCTGTTCTTTCGCTCGCCACGCTGTGATTTGCAGGTTTAGGAAACAAGTTATATGCGTGAATCTCAGTGTGTTTATATATGTGTTTATGTATGCATTGGGAAGGGGGTCTTGCTTCAGCAGCTATAATAGCCCTTTTCTAAGGTACAAGCTGTTAATGTTTGAAACACACAAACACAAACACACAGACAGACAGACAGACGGACAGAAAGACAGACAGACAGACACACACACACATATGCACGCACACATGTACATAAATACCAACAAACCTCGGCAGTGAAGTGGAGAGTAGAAAGAGCTGACCCCTGTTTGAAAGCTAAAAACAGAATCAGCTCTTTTCCATTTTACGGCTTTTACTTCCTTCCTTCCCTTGAAAGATCACAGCGGTGGGTGTGTGTGTGTGTGTGTGTGTGTGTGCGTGTTCATGTGTTTAAAACTGCTAACTCATTCCCTCTATAAGCCGAGCTCTGTCCTTCAGCAATTGAAAATAAATCTCTCGCCACTATGAGCAAGAAACTTTCGATTATGATTAAAATATTGTTGTCAAATATGTACTTTCTTGTATGTTTGTGTGTTTGTTTTTGTACCTAATATGATGCCGTTGGGGTTTGTGGGTGGCTGCCAAACCACCCTAACTGATGACAATCGAACTTCTGGAAACACCATCCTGACAGGGGGCCCAGGGACTGGAGAGAAAATTAGAGAAGGGAGTTGGCAGAGAATGAAACTATAATAATATATACAAAGAGAAACAAGCACAAACAAACTCACTTCAATACTGTAATGAGAAAGAGAATGTCTCAACATCAGGCACTTACATTCTAATACATTAGTATGACGAGACCAAGGCTCACAGATGTATGTGCATCTGCTCCGCACGCACGCACGCACACACGCACGCACAGAGTGAGTGTCTTATACATTTTTAAGAGGCACTTCTAAAAGACACAAAATAGAAAATGTAATTTTCTCTCAACCTCACACCGACTCTGCCTTTGTTCCTGATAAAAAGCACATGTTCCACACCACCAAATACATGTCAACTTGAATTTATGTGTGTACATGTGTGTATGTACAGTACGTGTATGTGTGTGACGGACAGACAGGAAGGAGGTTCATTATACATTGCCAGGAATTGACTTCCCTGTTCTTGTTTCATCCTGAAATGAGAAAAACTTTTCAAACGTGACACTGTTTGATAAAAGAGGAGTGTGTATGAGTGTGTGCATAAGAGTCTCTCCGTTTGTGCATGCGTGTGTGTGCGTGTGTGTGCGTGAGTGCGCGCCAGTGTCCCTGCGTGCTTGTATTTTATTATTCTGAAAGACCAGACCGGGTTGCTGGCATCCTGAAAAGTCTGCCATGGTTAACACATCTCTGTATCTGAAGAGATCTGCACACATCGGCAAACACTAACACAAATACACACACACACACACACACCTAAACAATTCAGTGCATTCTGTGTTTAGACTGTGGAGGGTTGTCTGATGGGTGAGCTGAACCCAGTGGATGATCAGTGAAGTGGGGGGAAGATGGGCTGATGGCTGCGTTGACAGCCGAAGGTGTAAAGAGGTGAAAAGCAGCCACAGAGGTGAGAAGAAGGCAAAAGTGTTGAACAAACTGCTCGACAGAAAGGTCAGTGATCACACCGAGACACACGCACACAGATCCTACCATCTTCTTTGGTTCGGAGCAGTATGGGGTTGCTCAGAGGGCCGTCACCCATCCGCGTGTACGCCAGCACCTGCAGCACGTACACTGTGTATTTTTGGAGAACCCTGAGGAGCAGCGACATATTCCCCTCTCCTTCTGCCACCTGAACACTGGGAGGACCTTCTGAGTCCTTCTCACTGTACAACACCTGAGCACAGACACACACACACACACTAAGTCACACACAAATTCACATACACAATCACAAATATAAATAAAAAGTGAACAAATATGTGATTCTACAGTCCTCTCTGCCAGCTCTGAAAGAATTGCTTATGTTTTTTTCCCCTTTATTTACAGTAACTTTGGCTTTTAAGGATTAAACTGGTTTTATTTTATATTTTGTTCCTGTTAACAAATCCAATTTAAAAAAAAAAACCCAGAACCAGCAGTGAGTTAGTTTCTCAGTATTTTATGTCTTCTGCCTGTAGCACTCATCTCCAAGCCTGTTCATTTCCAGCCAAGATGTAAATCTTTAAAGCTTATATAATACTAACAATGGCCTGCAGGACTGCTTGTATGTGAAAGGGCTCGCTCGTAGTGATGAACCCTCTGATAATTATCTCTGCTTTCCCCCTACTCTATGGAACTTTATAGCAACTTTCAGCTCTGTGTTTTGGTTTTCTGGCTTTCAGGATTAACCGTTCTGGTTCACTCTCACTGCTTTTATAGTGTGGCTATTGGCCACAACAAGCAGCTGTTTTTAGTGACAAAGTTTTAAAGCCTGCTGTTAGCAACTACCTGGTGAACAAAGTGGAGCATTTAGCAGCAAAAGAGTCAGATATTTCCCTCAGGATTTACTGGAGACCGAAACAGAGCTGAAAGGAGAGTTATTGATGGACTTACATTCCCCAGAAGGCCAGAAACATGACTACAAATGAATGTGAATGTTGCTGCTGCTGCTGCTGCTGATATTTGCCAACAAGAACAAGAAAGCAATATTGCAAAAACACAGACAATAGCTATGTGTCCTCTCTTTATTTTATAATCAAACAAAGAAGTGGAGAACATTATAATAAACCCCTGGAGGGTGTGCGTGGGAGCCCGGAAAAAGCAGTTGGAACTACACTGAGTGTTAAAGAACGGGTGTGACTGCCAGTAAGTGGTGCACTCAGGCAAAAATGAGTGCACCTTTCAATCTGCCGGCCCGGCAGCAGCACACTGTAGGCAGCAGTGGAGTGGATTTTACCGTGAAAGTCGTCTAGCTGTCTGTTAAAAATAGACTGCAACTGATTGAAAGACTTTTTAGATTAAAACCTTTATTTGAATATTGGCTGAGTTTTGTTCAGTTTATTTCAATGGTTTTGATTTGATTTGGTTTTTATACTTCTGCCTACAGCCTATATCGGTCTTTGTCTGTTTGTGCCCATCGTTTTGTACCAGTACATGTGTGACAGGCATTACACTGCAAAATGTTTTGCAGCCATGAGCAGCTCCTCCATTTCCTTCCTAATACACTTGACCACTGTATTATGGGACAACAGTACACATCAACAGCACACTCAGAAATTAAGTTTTTTAGTTATCTTTGGCTACAGAAGCCAATATCTTAGCTTTTTTACCTTAGCTGCAAATAGCAAAAATATAGAATATCACCAGACCCATACTTCAACTGAAACAAACACTAGAACTGATTCTGCAATTAAAATGGCAAGAGCGCCCACATCTAAAAAAAGAAATCAGCAATCAACACACACCGTACTTTCATTGGCAACAGGATACAATTTGAATGTGTGTCAAGAACTGTTCTTTCTTGTTCAAGAACTCCCTGTCCCGCGTGAAACCGTTTTGAAGGAAAATGTCAGTTCTTAAGTGTCTAAAAACAGAAATAGTCATTAGGAGTGCATGGCAGGAGGCTGGAGAACAATTCAGCATCTACTAGGGGATGGAAGTAGTTGAAGAGCTGCTGTTGGCAGCCACTTCCCATCTATTAACATGGTAGGCATGCTGCTCAGCATGAGCCTCAGGAGGGCACCAAGAAACACACAGATGGGGAGTGTGATGTGCTTTGGGCATGGTGGATGATATGACCTGAATTTTGCACATTTTTAAAATACTGGATGGTGCTGGTGTATATCGCACAGCCACAGCCTGTTTTCTTCTGTAGATATATGTATTTAGAACACAACCATGTCCACGGAAATTGAGGATAAATCCTTTCCTTTTTAAAGCTTTGTTCTGCTATGTTTTGTTTGGGTGGCGATTAAGAGCTGTACTCTTTGGCATTTTTATATTAGAAAAAATATTTTGCATGTTCGCTTTATTAAAGCTTCCTTTCTGTTGGGGGGTGCTACATACTGTATGTGCCACTACACAAGAAAAGCAATACTGCAAAAATACAGACAACGGGTACGTGTCTTCTTTTTATTTTAAAATCTAACAAGGAAGGGAGAACATTATAATAAACCCCTGGAGGGTGTGCGTGGGAGCCCGGAACTACTCTGAGTGTAGAGGAAAGGGGCGTGACTGCCAATAAGTGCTGCACTCAGGAATCAACAGTATTTTTACCGCTTTTTTTTTTTTTTAAGAAGCCGCACATCACAGTATGCCAACGACGTCACCATCGAGGGTTGCAGTGAGACTTCTCCAACTTGGTGCAGAAATACAGGCAAAGGATGAGCTCTAATTTGGCAGATGCGAATAGATCGTAGACTATGTTGCTGATGCAGAATCTCCAAAGCATATTCAAATCATGAATGTGTACTCAACACATCATCTTAAGATGCCCAAACTAAAGTTTACTTTTTAAATTTTAAAAGCTCTTTCTAAAATCAACAGGCTTTATGGATTATTCTCAATTTTTCATAAATGTTTAATCCAGCCATTGTTTGTACTACAACTAAATATAAGCTGTTTTATGAAGGGGTATTAAACATTAAGCCCCCCACCCACCACCCACTCCCCCTCAACTCCCCTATACCACGCAAACTGTAGCTGGATGCTTTTAAAGGCAGAACAAAGTGGAGCAGTTACAGGATATTACATCATATTCATCTTATATCAGACTTTTGTGTGCATGCCAGTGTGCATCTGTCTGTGTGAGAGTGTGTGAAGGTGTTGGAGGAGGTGATAATGGGCTGACGGGGTAAAGTGAAAATGCCAGGATGGGATTGAGTGTGTTTGTGTGTATATGTCTGAGTGTTTTGTACACCTTATATCCAAGTATGACTCCATTCTTCTGAGCCTGAGGGAGAGCGGACCAAGTGAGTAGGATCTGGGTGGAACTCACTGCCTCAGCAGTCGCGTTCATCGGAGATCCAGATGGAACTAGGGGAACACACACACACACACACACACACACACACACACACACACACACACACACACACACACACAGCTTAGTGCTACTTCACTCTCTAAACCAATCTTCGATTTTATCTCAATCATCTCCCCGTCCCCCTCCCTCTCTCCGTCACTCCTCTCCTCTCTGGAATAGAGGGAGCGTGTAGAGGGCAGACAGAGGTGTGCTCCGTTGGACACTTACAAACAAGAAACAGGAGTGAATGAGTTCTGTGTTTTTACCAGATTCAGCAGTGCTTGCAGCAACAGTGTTGCTCCACGGTCCAGGTCCTATGGAGTTGAAGGCCTGTATCTGAACGTGGTATTGGGTCCAGGGATTCAGGCCCTCTACTGTGGCCTCACCGGCCCCCACTGCTCCCTCCATATCCTCGGTCCTGTCCTCTCCTTGCCTGTCTGTCCTCCACACACGCAGCCGGTAGCCCACGGTCTCTGGGCTGCTGTTGTACTCGGACTCAGTAAGAGGCTAGAGAGTGACCAAGAGTGAGAGGTGGGAGAAAAAAGAAGAAATTAGAAAGATGTGTTTTGCTGTTTATCCTTCTTGTTTGACACGTACACATGTGACCACAGAAATAATGACACAACGATACAGTTCTTCAACTTTGCAATATGTCGTTATGGCCATACTTTACAGAGAAACAGTGTATTATTACAGCTATATATATATGTATATATATATATAGTCATACTGTATATGAAGTGTTGTGAACTTTTACATGTTTAAAAAATCTAACAGTTTAAAAACTTTGAAACTCTCTTATGCTATTTCAGGATAATTACCAATGCAGTTTTTTTTTTTAATATTGTGCAGTTTATCCCACAATATCTTAATAAATGAGGGTCAGTGTGCCAATCCTGAACTGCAAGTATCTTATAATGTGTCAGCACTTGGCCACCCTGTGCCGCACTGAAATTAATTAATTTTGACTCTGATTAATGGAAGACGAACTATCCATATAGAGGAAGAGGTGAAGGGAAGATTGAACGGGAAGGAAATTTTGGTAAAATTGTGATTAATAAAATGATGATAATAAAACACACAAAACCTCGAACGCTGTATGAAACAATATGACACAGTTCCTCATAACTAACATGGAGTAGCACCATCAGTGTATTTATTATTATTATGTAGAGGAATGTATTTAACATGACATCAGGCCCTCAGAGGAGATGTATTTGGTACCTATGTATGTACCACTATAACATTAAATATTCATGACTAGATAAGCAACAATCACTCAAACTAATCTGCTTCATTAGGACTAAGTAGGAGTGGATTCATCAGATTTGGCAATCTAACCAAACAGCTCCACAACTGTCAGATTTTAGATTTTGAGCCTGGTGTTGCCAAACTTGGTTTTCTTGGATTGTTTTTCATGGAAATATGTGACATCACCGTGTCTAAATGAGCTCCACCCACTTCAAACCAGTGAGAAAAGCAAGTGCGAAAACACATAAAGAGAAATCTGTCATATGTGCAGTAGACAACACTGTTTTAACTTTAGCAGAAGACTGTGAGCTGGTGCAGGACCCCATCATTCATAATAACAAGATGATTAAGAAAACAAATTTTTGGGGGCTTTAAAATTTCAACATTTTGAACTTTAGTACCCTCCAGTGGTTGTATCAAAAAAAAAAAAAAAAAAAAAAGACCCAGAGTAGAGATGGGTCACACACACACACACACACACACACAAACACTCACTCACTCACTCACTCCATTTCACATTTCACAAGAATATGGTTATTTATGTAACGTGTCAAACTCTAAACTACATCCTAAAAACTTTTCACTGTTTTTTTCCCTTTGACATCGCATCTACTGATCCTTCTCTGTACCACCAGCTTTTTCCTGTCTAACTCACCCGCTGTCATCCTTTCTATCTTGCTTCCACTCTCATTTCCTGTCACCCTTCCTCCTTCTACTGTCTATACTTTTTCTCTCTCACCTCATCTTCTGTACTCTTCCTGTGACCCACCATGTCATAATGCATTACAGCCACAACCACCTAAATTCAGTGCCCTACAGCCGTGTTAGCAGAAAGTTCGGTTTGCTCACAGTGTATAATTCCACTGAAAATCTCACCAACAATGTACAGTGGTTGCTCTGTGCTGCGCAACAGATAAGGAAGTAAGACACCCAGTCATTTTAAATACCCCAGTGATTTAGCTCAGCTTAGCATTTAGGAGCCATAATACAGAATGTCACATTAGCTTTATTACCCTTAATATGCAGCTTAGAATAATAGCCTTAGCTAAAACCATTGTGATGGTTCCACTACAGCAGAAAACCTAGCGTAGCTCAGACTGGGCGCTAAAATGCAGGTAAAATCCCATTAGCATGCCATACAGGTAGCCCATAGCGCCTCAGTGTCTGTGTCTGATTTGACAGGCTCTTTTTCTCATTCCAGCTCTTAAATGGAAAATACTCTGCCCTCCATTTATGTTATAATAGAAGAGGGGAAGGGGGAGTAAAAGAGAGAGGGAGAAAAAGAGAGAGGGACGAAGGGCAGGAACAAGAGCAAAAGAGAAAAGACAGTAAGGAGAAAATTATATTGCAGTTTATGCTGCTAGCGGTCCACATGGTAAATGGGAAATGTGACAGATTAGTTTTAGCACTGATAACCAAGAGAGGCACTGATTATAGGCTGTCAGCCACTCAACCTGTTCAGTCCTGCTGCTGGTGAGCACACATGCATGTGCATATGCACAAGGGGAGAAAATACACAGAGATGCAGAGCAAAGAAACAAAGAAAAATCCCTGTCTGTCCAATTAGCACTGTTTAAATGAGTGTAAATGGGCGGAGCGAAGTTTTACTGTTTCACAGTTAAATTTGTATCTGTGTGTTGTATGTGTGTGTGCGCACGTTTGTGTGTGTGTTTGTGTGTGTGTTTGTGTGTGTACATGTGTGTATGTGTGTGTTTGTGTGTGTGTGTGTGTTTGTGTGTGTGTGTGAGAGGGTGTGTGTGTGTGTGTGTGTGTGTGTGTGAGAGAGTGTGTGTGTGTGTGTGTGTGTGTGTGTGAGAGAGTGTGTGTGTGTGTGTGTGTGTGTGTGTGAGAGAGTGTGTGTGTGTGTGTGTGTGTGTGTGTGAGAGAGTGTGTGTGTGTGTGTGTGTGTGTGTGTGAGAGAGTGTGTGTGTGTGTGTGTGTGTGTGTGTGAGAGAGTGTGTGTGTGTGTGTGTGTGTGTGTGTGAGAGAGTGTGTGTGTGTGTGTGTGTGTGTGTGTGAGAGAGTGTGTGTGTGTGTGTGTGTGTGTGTGTGAGAGAGTGTGTGTGTGTGTGTGTGTGTGTGTGTGAGAGAGTGTGTGTGTGTGTGTGTGTGTGTGTGTGCGTGTGTTTGTGTGTGTTTCAGTACCTTCCAGCTGAAGCGCAGGCTGGTCTGTGTAGCAGACAGCAGGGTGAGGTTAGAGGGGTGTGTGTCAGGGGCTGCCTGTAAGGTTTGAATCAGCCTGGAGGGGGCGCTCATGGGACTGGACCCGACAATGTTCACCTGACGCATCCTGAACCTGGAGAGGAGAGAAAACCAAGTTAAAGTCCAACAGTTCCACCACTGAGAACAGTTGTATAATGTTTATTGTGGCTCTGGAGGGAGCTCCAAAGTCTGAAAATAACCACTTTCATGATCTCATTGTGATTCATCAGGCTTGAAGAGAACTCATTTTTAACTGGAAGAGGAGTTTAAAAGATACCAGTTCACCAGGTAGGGATGACAAACATGATCATAAAATAAATTAGCAAGTAAAGCTATAGCATATATGTAAATTAAAAGGGACACACAAAATCTGGTTCATGTCAAAACACAACTTTGGCTAATTGAGATTGTGATGTTTAGCAGACGTTGGGTATTGACCGTGACTAGAATGTCAGTATTTTCTATGTCAAGATGGCGTTGGCATGAGAAGTTGGAAACTGGGGTAAAGTTTTCAAAGGTGAATAATGGGTTTCTAATATTTTCACTTGATTACACAGTGATTACACAGTGTTACTGTAGAAACGGTGGAATAAAACCTAAGCAATGGAGTTCATCAGTTCAAACTTTATCAGAATACCCTTTGTGATTTACTGGGTGGACCGTTTGCTGTTACATTTGCTTATCATAAAGATATTGTAGAGATCGAACGGGAATGGGTGACAGGTCAACAAGACTACAAGACTTCACATTGAGAGTGAAGAAAAACAATTTTTCGGACCAACTGTGTTTGCTCCTAGTAAGAGCATTTGTGATATTGTTTCACACCAAAAGGTATTTTACTCAGTAGCATCCTTCAGGTAGAACTCTCCACAAGAGGATTTCTGTAAAGGCCACCGACGTAAAGTAGTGTTGAATTGTCTGAGGATTCCACACATTTGTCAGAAAAAAGGAATATAACTATACAGACCTGTTGACACAAATAAACAGCCATGAAAAGAGTGTTACTTTTGTTACTTCTAAATGCATCCAACCTCTAGTGTGGGTGTGGGTGACAAAACGCGTGAGCGTGCAGAGTGAGAGACTACATCTATGAGCTCTCCTCCCTGTATTGGGAGATAGAGAGCAGGGTGTAAAGAGGGACTTAAAGCAGGGGATAAGAAACACAGACAAGTGCATCACTTCATCTAATGTCCCAATGGTGTCGCCTGTGACAACATAATCCCTGTGAGTGTACAATGTGTGCACACACACCGCAATCCCATTACAGATGAAGATGGAGATACGAGGAGCGAGAGGCAGAGATAGACAGATAGACTGATAAATACAGCAGATAGACAGACAGATAGAAAGAGAATGAGAGGGAGAGAATGAGGAGGAAGCTGCTCAGAATGGCGATAGATCAGGTTTACAAACTGCAGGCTCCCCATGGCCCTTGAGTAGGGATTACAGACACCCCTCTCTCCTCCTCTATTTCCTATTCTCATTGTCTCTGTTATCCCTTTGTCTCTCCTCCTCTTTAATGCTCTCTGCTGCCCATTCTGCTTTCTCATCACCCTTCTTCTCCCCCTGCCCTCACCCCGCTCCTCCCCTCTCCTTCCCTTTAGCTAGTTGCGGGAGGGTAATAAGGATCTGCATGCAGCAGCTGTGAAGGTGCTGACAAACAGAAAAGTCTCAGATGGAACTGTCTCTCTGCGTGTCTGTGTGATTTATCTGACTTCACCTGATTCTAGCAATACTGCAGAAACTGGCGGAGAGTAAGATGTGTGTGAATGAGTTTGTGTGTCTGTGTGCATTTTTGAGCACTTGACTATGCTCTTGTGTACGCAGCGTGTGCTTGCTGCTCACCTGTACTGAGTGAACGGAGTGAGGTCGGGGATCTCCAGTGTGTCTGCATCTGGCTGATTGTCTTTCTGGTAGACAGCTCTCCAAGCCTCCTCCTTTCCATCTTCCTTTACTATCTGTTAAGGAGGGATATCGTATTCTGTGTGAGAAAATTGTTTACCTCTAACTGTGTTTCAGGATTAGCAGACACTAACACACGCACCTGTCCTTCTACAATCCATCGAGATATTGCTGTCTTCCCGTCAGGACCAGGGCGGAACCGAAGTGTTGCTGTCCGAGGGCTGATGTTGGAGATGACTAAGTTAGATGGTGCTCCAGGAAGTTCTAAAGACAGAAAACAAATAATACTGCTTTACTCAAAGATACAAAAAGAAACCCTTTGAGAACTTTGCCGGTGCATCTAACACCGGCAGGTCACCATCATATTTTATGAGTATTCTTTCAGGTATATAAAATATTTATTGACCAAAATCTTTGGGAATGTTGCTTGCAATAATGTTATTAATGAAAAGAAAAACCTGCATTATTGATGCTTCATAAGTAAGTTACAAATTCTTTGAAATAAAACACTCTTGCTGCAGCACCAGCAAGCAGAGGCTTTTATTTATAAAGGTGTTTTTTTTTCATGCAGAAAAGAACAGAAGCATCACAGTGTGGTGAATTATTTCAAGAGGATGGATCAAAGAAATGAACAAAACAAATAATACTTTAATAAAGAGACTTTTCTATTAATGAATAAAAATATGTACAATGCCCAAACTGACAAAACTATTGTCAGAAGTGCTACATGGCTCATAATATACTTACAACAACACTAATATCAGGCCAACAATGACTTCAATACATAAAAAGGCTTTAAGTAGTGAGCGAGCCAAGACATTGTGTCCATGTGTCCATGCTTGGCTATAAATGCTTGTCTGTAAAAATAGTAAAATAAAACACTGTTCACAGAAATTTTTTTTAAATTTTACTAAAGCGCAGGCACTGCATGTCTCTCTCTGTCAGAGCAATTTATTTCATATTTCAGAGGTCGACAATAGAATACAGAGAGATAAATCTATACACCAGTGGAGGCGAGAGGTGAATTAAATGCACAGTTCACTAAAGTCCATTTAAGGCCTATAAATGTCTGAGTAGACTGCAAGTCTCATAAATTATGTTGGACCCATTCTTATTCTAACATTGTTCCATCTCTATGGGAAATATGAGTGACAGGAAACGGGCAATGTTGCTGACCAGTTGTGGCAGCCTGAATATCACAACCAAGAGAAGCTGGAAATTTGAGGATTTGGTTTGGGAACTTTCAGTTTCTTTCCTGCCACAAAGAAATTTATGATTAAAATGTCGAACCAGCACCTTTTAAAAAACATTTTGTAAAGATAACTTGGCAAATGGTACACCCTTTGGAAATTAAAATGAGAAAAGGAAAGGAAGTAGAAGAAAAAATAATTGGAAATCAACTGATTCATCTTACAGAATGCTGAAAACTGTCTGATAATAGCATCACTGATGTTGCCCAACTTTCTTTGTTTCTCGCCGTGTGCTGCCTATTTTGCGCAGGTTTTTCTGGCACATTCAAACTGAAAGCTGCACTGAGTTTGGTCAACAACAAGCAACTATTATTATTTTCCCCTGGCAGAGAGTTGTTTTTTTTTTTTTTTTGTTAACCCGCGATAAATCACAGAGGAATAATATCTCTTGTATGCACACTTCAACCAGAATTAAATTTTCCAATGAAAGATTTACAACTCCAACTCTGAACTGCCACACACAATTCATAGCTGGCTCTGAATAGACTTCTTCACTGACAGCTGTTGAATTGAATTGGCGCTGGTCTGGCAGGGCGCACATGTGACAACTGCTCTGAAGATGCTGACTGAAATCCTGTTTTGTTTTTTGATTTTTTTAATCAAGTCCCATCAAATTAAATATATGACAGGTTGTTTCTGTTAATGAAATTTACATAATCAAATATTCGTCACAATCCACTTTGCTCTAAATTGTCTCACTCAATCACAACAAGACCAGGCACTTCAGACCCACTTTTCAACCACTTCTCTTCACTGTGTTTGGTTAATACTTGGTATCTCTGCATGGTGTAAGAGCTCTGGTGTGATCTGCTGTAATCCATCCAGCTCTGCTGCAGCATCACAAGCAACATATTTGCTGAAAGTGGCAGAATACAGATCTGTAAAGCCCATGCGTTAAATCAAACACCGTGTGTTGTAACACATCAGTAGACCAGGGCACTTCAGACAGATTTTGTTGAATATCTGAGTGGATTTTTATTGTAACAGGACTATATAACATGACTGGGTCCAGCTATTATGGAAACAAGGCAATATTTATTCTGGATCCAGCGAAGTACATGTGCGCAACAAAAGACAAATTATAGCTATCAGTACCATTGCTCTGTAAGTGCATGCAGCAAACTTGTAAGGGTTATAATGTGGAAATGTTGATATCAGCTGCCTTGCTCAGATGAATGACAAAATTCTCTCAACTCCATGAATACATGAATAAATAAACAAGACAAGAATCTATGCTCGGTGGATCTCTCTCGTTCCCTCTCTCTCCCACTCTCTCTGCTCATTCTTTAGTTCTTTTTCCTAATCTTCAGTCCTCCATCTTTCCTTCAGTCTTTTGCTTTCATGAATTAATGAATAACCTCTGAATCTAAAAACTGTCTGTATCCATCTTGCCTTCACTTTTTCTGCTTTTATTCATAAATTAGTAATCAGAAAATGTTAGGACAAAAATCCTGCTGGATGAGGCAGGTTTTTCTTCCATTCTCCTCCACTTCCTCTCTGCCTCTCAGTCCATTTCTGAGAGACTTTGGTGTTCTGTTCTTCAGAGATTGCATATTTTTGTGTTCCCTGTTCTTCCCTCATTATGTTTCTCTATCTGTTCTCCCTCCTTCACTACTGTTCTTTGAATGTCTCTCGCCCTCTCTCTCTCCCATCGCTGCATTCCCCCACTCTGCCATTTGCAGTTAATCAGCACTAATAATGATTGCAACTTGGCCTTAGTCCAGTCATACAAACTCATCAAGTCGTCATGCACACACAAGCATGGTGTGCACATGGTATATACACACACAGACAAATAAACTGCACACTAAAGCGCTCTCTAAGATGCTGTAAATGACTAACTATTGTGTGTGGCTGTGTATGTGTGTGTTGGTTGTGGGGGTGATGATTCATGGATGCACAGTAACAGCCACTTATCAGCCTGAGGAAAGACAATGGCATCGTAAGAGCTCATCAGTCATATTTACTCTGCTACAGACACACACGTACACACAAGCGAAAATCTTTTTTTTTTTTTTTTTTTTTAACATCACTGTCACCAGCTCCTCTGTATGTGTGTTGGTGCTTGCTTGTGTGTACTTATTGTACCTGGTGGGACCCCAGTGGAGATGGTGGAGGATGTGACCACGCCCCGTCCTGCAGCAGTGAGCGCTGCCACCTTTAGTGTGTACACAGTGGTGGAGGTGAGGCCGGTCAGCTGGTACTGCAGGGTGGAGTTGGACAGGGAACGTTCCTCACGACTCGCCTCTACGTCAGACACTTCCCACCACAACACATAGCCTGCGGGGAGCAGCGCACACACTGGGTTAACAAACGTGCATATAGACATGAGCAGACATGTATACACACACACACACACACACACAAACACACATGTAAAAGCACACACTTTTACCAATAATGAGGGGTACAGAGCCAAAAAGAAGGGAGAGGGTGCGGGAGGGGTAACTACAGTCAAAATCCCTGTCTGTCCCTTTGCATCTTCATAGTCATGCATCACACTCCAGTACCTTCAAACGTGTGTGTGTGTGTGTGTGTGTGTTTGTGACCACCTGTGTATAAAGCCCTGGAGAGAGTGAATGGTCCCTCATCTGTCTCCCTGCTTACCAGGTGCCGGATGAAAAGCAGGTTGAGGAGAAAGGAGTAAATGTGCAAGGTGACCTTGATTGAATAACCATTCTTCCACTCCTGAGAGTGCGAGCTGACTGTGAAGCCACTGCAGCTTTATGCTGTTAGACTGTGATCTGGTTGTGTAGGTGCCTCATGAACATGTTGCAGCCATGTCAACACACAGACACACACTCATACACACTCACATACGCCAATGTAGGTTAATCGCTTAATTCACAGCAGCTTGTCGTGCTCACCAACAGCGTTTTGTAACAGAGCCATGGAGGAGCTCAGGCAAAATGAATTGGGGGAGGAAGGGGAGGAGTGGGGGAGGATGAGGAGGAGGGGGTGGCGGTGGTGGTGGTGGTGGTGGGGTGCCTTGAGCTCTGTGATGCACCACAGAAACAACGCCCAGAGTGTTGGGAGGCATGGGATGAGGGCATGTTGGAGATAATGTGAGAAGGCAAGCTGCAGAGAAAAGGGATTAGCTGATGATGAATCAGTTGTACACAAACACAGTGTAAGAGACATGGGGACGTCTGTGGAAGCCAGACAGGAAAATGAGTGACTAACTGGAGAATACTGAAGAAACTGTGGGAGTTTTATGGTTCCTCCCTCACTGCTGCTTGCCTCAAGGGGATGCTTTCACTTTTTTTTTTACTTTAATTAGTCACTCTTCACTCTATATTTGTCCACCTGAGAAGAATACATTTTAATTGGAAACAGAGGGTATATTATCTCTATTCATTGTGTGCTTTACTTTCAGGCAAGAACACGCTAAGTCAACCTAATTTAAGATGCTCTCATCACAGCTCTTAATGGGACTGAAAATAACACTGAAGAGCAGAAGTCTCTTGATCATGGAGGGAAGATGGAGGCGGTGGAGGAAATCAGTGGCTGTTTATAGTTTTGGGAAACTCTTGTAGTTATATTGTCAAGCTGTAATGTTTTTACCAGTAATGATGCCATTCCTGTCTTCAGGCTCTGCCCAGCTGACTCTGAGCGATGTATCCAAGATTTCAGTGAAGCTCAGGCGACGAACGGGCCCAGGTGCTGAGAGAGAGAGAGAAAAAAACATACATACATCAGATAATATTGGTTGTATTTTGACTATTTCAACCTTCAGTAGCAATTAAAGCGCGTGGAAAGTGTTCTTCTGTTTTGAAACAGTAATCTTCCTAAAAAAAAAAAAAACATACTCTTCTTGTCTATGCAGCCTTTACACACCACCTGCTAATCACATCTGCACTGACCAAAACACACACACGCACTCAGGTGCATGCATGCCTGTCGTTTCTCATTTCATCCATGGCTCTCTAACCCCTCTCCCTGCAGAGCGATTAAGCTATTCATCTGAGACATTCAATAACGCTCACACACTCACACACACACACACACACACACACACACACATTCCTACCTTACCAACGGTGGACTGACGGCAACCAAGTGTGAACCACCATTTCTAGTCATTTTGAAAAAACAAAAAGGAAATAAAATATCTTCCTTCATAATGAAACTGCAAAACGGCTCCTGTAATTTTCACTTAAAAATTGATGACAGCGACAACGAACATAACACACTAATGATTGCACTGGGAGCTCTTCAGTCTTCACTTTCTGCTGGACTTGAACCCTGAGGATTGGGAGGATTGAACCCACATGCTGTGAACTTCCAAGCATTCTCTAACAAAGGTATTTTGTCAGAAACACCTTTATTTCTTAGAGTCCTTAAGTCTTTCATCTTGATGTTGGACAAAGTTAACCAAGGGCTGAACCCACCACCTCAAAAGCTCCTCAACTTGGTGGTGTGGTGAGTTTGTTCGCGACCTCAAACCTCCGGTGGTGAAGTGTCTGGTTCAAATCCTGCCCCTCGTTGGTATCTAGAGCATCAGAGCCAATCCCACTGCAGCCAGAGTGATTATAACTCTGGTGCTCCCGGAGAGATAGAAGCCGGGGGTTATGTCATGGAAAACCACGAGTGGCTAATAGAGTTTTGAGGGAACAGTAAGATATAGACACAAGTATTATGTAATTATTTAGTATTTGACTATGCACTGGCCATGCAGTAAAGCTGTCAAATGCAGTTTTGTATCGTGTTTACAAAAAGATAACAACAAAAAAGTGTTAAGGATGTAGTTTGTTTGTAGTATGTAGTTTGTTAAATAGCTGTCCTCTAGTCTGAAAGCCTGCCTAGGGCTGCAAACCACTCACGCTGTGAAGGAGTGTGGAGAGAGAATGATTGTGAATGAGTGGTTAAAATCCCTGCTCCAGCCTGCAGAGGCAGTGCTACATAACTGTAACACCTCTTAGCTAAAATCAAAATAAATAAAAAATAGAGTTTGAGGCATAATTATAGCACGATGTGTAGAATGACCAACAGAGGACCTTCAGAATGTCCCCTGCTGGATCACCGGTCCGCTGTTGGTGAGTGTGTAATGACTGGGAAGTCCACCATTGAATATGTACGCATGCATGCACGCGCACGCACGCACGCATGCACGCACGCACGCACACACATACACACACATACACACACACACACACACACACACACACACACACACACACACACACACACAAAAAGCTATCATCAAGCAAGAATTACACCCACCGTTAACCCTGCAACACGCCCAGCACCCAATCAATACCTGTCCATGGCTGTGTGCACATCTGTGAGTGTGTACACATGTGATGTGTGTTTGTGTGTGCCTACACTTGGCTTCTAATATCCCTTTCCCACTCGATAATTGCTGGTTGGTAATAATTGCTTGTCTGTCTGGCTATAGGCTACTGTGTTTATTTGACGGTATGACTGTGTGCATGTGTACTAGCAACTGGGAGTGGCCGGTATTATATTTTACCATGGAAAAGGAGGCTATAAATGCCAGTATGCCTGAAAACATATGAATCAATTCCTTTTAAAAAGACACAGTGGTTGAGAAATAAAGAGCAGGTCTGAGGGGAATCCAAGAACAAAAAGATTAAAAAGGAGAGAAAAGTAAAGTAAGACCCTACGAGAAAACATGGGCTGTTGGAGTGTAGATATTGTGTACACAGCTGTGTATCACTCTGATAGAAACAGCTGGACTGAACACAGAGCAAGTCAATAAACTTTCATTATTATTCATAGGAGAGCCTGATGGAGTGTTCTTTGTGTTTTGTTCTGGCTTTATTCAAACTGAAGTGTGTGCGCGTGTGTGTATGTGTGTGTCTGTGTTTAACTCACTGTCCTCATGTGTCTGCAGCAGGGTGGGCGGGCTGCGGGGGCCGTCTCCAGGTGTTGTGAAGCAGAGGGTGGCGCCGAAGTACCAGGTGAATTTCTTGAGTCCGCTGACTAATCCTGTGTGGCGTGAACCTGGGTAGTCTGGGGTGATGGTGACTACGATAATGTCCTCTGGAGACTGCTCTGGCCAAACCAGCAGCTGTGTTAAATGAGAAAAATGCTCCTTGTTGACATGTAGGTTACAAATAATATCCATCGAATCCAACAGGTCACCACTAAAATATTCATCCCAGTTACTTTGTTTGTTGTATATTTCCCACATTTTTTGACATTAGTTTGACTAAACAGTATTAGCTTCAGGCTACCGAACCCAAACATTGTTATTCAGACTGCATTTATGAGACAAAACCTACTGGTAGAACAGTATGGAATACGGTGAATCTTTTCAAATTAGGCTGATACCCAAGGGCTTTTGTCATTAAAGTTTAAAACCTCCCAATGCTATTTACAAATTTGTTCAAATGGCAAAACAATATTCATGTTTCACTCCGAGGAAAAGTTATCTGCATTCCAAACATATTAAAATTTAAGCATTTATTTACGTATGAATGTCACACTTAACATAAGTTTCTGCCACAAGGCCATTATCAGTCATAACAGCATCTGAGGACAAAAACTAAGTTTGATTATCAGTCCAACTAAACATCTAATGAAAGGTTCGTTTGTCTCTATTGTGAGACTTGATTTGTATTCACAACCACAGTAGTTTGGTTTGTGTTATTGCTTTAACCACAAACACAAACAACGAAGAGCATACACTTACATATTCATAATGAGAGATAAGCCATGGGCAGCTGTGATTTAGTACCCGTATTTATAGTATAAAAAAACTGACTAAAATGTGAACTTTGAGCCAAGTTTTCATCAGAATTAAGCAGTGCAATGGGCTAGTGGTGTGTAAATGCAATAACTTTGTTTACATACCAGCTATATATGGTAATAGAATTCAAAATGTCTCTTTAATGGCATTTTGTTGGTGAGTGTACATCAACATATAGTGCTGCATTGCCAATAGGTGTGCGAAGCAAAGCTGCTATCTGCTTCAGTATTCATCAACTCCAAAAAACTCTGACCTGAATGCCTAATGCCTTACAATGTAAATTTAATGTAATTTAATGTGTTCATTGTCTCACTTGCTGCCTTAAAGCTTCAAAGTATTCTTGGCGCTTTCCACTTTCTTCCAGTTTATACTCTGACCAGTAAATCATCACAGTAACCAACACTGTAGATTAGGCAATACGCCTGTTTTTATGAGCAGTATTACACAGATATCACACAGTGTGCAACCCACACCAGTGTAATTGTCTCCACATTGTCCCTGTATAGTATATGTCCCTATTACTACTGTATAACTTTAAGAGCATCTAATCTTAACCACACCTTCTACATAGTTGCTACTAGTAAATAATGTTGGAGTAAAAATTATCTAAAATTCTGTGAATGTAATCTGGGGTTTGTAGAACTATCCATAACTGTTAGAAAAAACAGTTGTGTGTGTGTGTGTGTGTGTGTGTGTGTGTGTGTGTGTGTGTGTGTGTGTCCAAACTTTTGACTGGTACTGTATATATAAACACACTTTATATACTTTATTTATTATTTATTCTGTCAATATGCTTCATGCTAGATAACCCTGCTGGGTTTTTTTGGGTGTTGTGGGTTGTAGCAGCACAGCTCCCCGACATTCTTTACTATATAGCTCACTTTCAAAACTGTGGGATAAGGGCATTGTCAAATATAAAAGAAATCTTTTGGATTAACAAAGTAAATGCTGTTCCATTATACACACTGTTACATTACCCCCACAATCTGTAATAGGAACCAATCAACCAACCAAAAACACTCACGCCCTGCTATTAGGAAAAAGCTAGTGATACCCAGATACAGTTGAGTGGCTGCTTTTCTCTCTGCCAAAGGGTGCTGCACTGCACCCAGTCTGTCATGGTAAAATAAGGTTTTCTATTGTAATTTATTATCAGCACAGTACAGTTTGGGTGCAGTACAAGAGTGCTGATCTGGCACCCTCAAGCATCTGATGCTAGTCCACTTTTAAAGGGTGCTGGGAAGATTGGTTCTGCTGTTGCTATAGAAACATGTGCATTCTGACCCAGATTGCAATGGAAACCCAACGTATGCTGAAGAACACATATGATACAGCGCTGTCCTTAGAAGACCTGGGCCCAGAGCAAGGACAGTACAACACCACAGCACACTGTGGACAGGTCACAGTTTGATCTCTCTGCTGTCACATGTGTTACCTCAGGTGTTACGTCATAAAGGTTTCTTTATACCGGGCTTCTGCATCTTTGATACGACCTCTTGTATTGAAGATGAGCCCTCAGAATTCAGGCAAAAAGCAATCTGTTTAATAAAAAATTATTGCTCTCTTTTTTGTTAATATGCTCTGAATAAACCTAATTTATGAGAGTCAATAAGCATAGATAGATAGATAACATTGTTAGTTCTGCAATAACTGAAGTCAGTGCCCTCCTATAACTCCTACTTGTACTAATCTCAAGTAAGTCTTAAGATAGTATCAAGGGCATGTAAACGGAAGACATGGAACTCACCAGAAGTGGCTCTCACTCTGGCAATCAGTTTTGAGCTATATTATTAAGGGTATTGTATATAGTCACTGATCTGTGGGGGGATGAAATGAGATGAGGCTTTGCTTCACATCCTCTTTTAATTAATATCATTATCTACTGTCCTCTAACCAGCACAACACACCCAAAGACGCACACCCACATGTGCTGCAGCACTGAAAGGCTCCACTGATTTGGAGTGGTGGAGCCTGGTATACAGAGACAACATCAGACAGCCACATCAAACAGATGGAAAACCATATAGTATTTATCAACCAACAAAGACACCAACATTCACACCCTCCAAAACACATTCACAAACACACACACGGGCCCAGTGACGCACGGCAAGAATGTGATGTGTTTTCTTTGTCATGTTAATCAGTTCCTTAGGGGTTGGTTGCCACAACGAAGTGAAGAATAAATCACATACCAGAACTAGTACATACAGAATAGATGACTCCACTATTCAATCCTTCGCTCTAACCCTGCTCCCCATTATCCTGTTCGCAGCGTCTTTATTATTATCTCTTATTTTGCTCCAGTCCCTAGCTCCTATTTACTCTACACCTTCTATTTTACTTCATATTTAATCCTCTCTTTTTTCTATACCTCACCAGACTTGGCTTGGCTAAATGTATGGGTAAACAGGAGTAAGGCAATGCATCCTGGGACATGACCTTTGAGCTACAAGACCTATGTTAGGTTTGTCCACAAAATTTACTCACACACTTGCACACAGACAAAGTGTGTAAGTGTTAAATTGTTAAATTGACAAATACATTTTTAAGAAAAGTGGATTAATTAATTTACTAAAATTTTTTATTAAATTAAAAAAATAAATGTTTTTTGAGTTGGCTCAAAATGATTCATGTCTTGTAAATCTAGGACTTGAGAGAGAAGTATTATTTCTAATCTTAATATCTTGGCAGGTGTTGTTTTTATAAAAATGTTGATGAAAGATGTTGAGAACAGACATTTTGAAAGACAGTTTCAAATAAAATATAAGCTGTTGTATTAATTTACATTGATCTTTTTTTATATATAGCCTGCACATGTAAAAACTGCTGTAACACTGCACCAGCGTGGAACTAATAAAGGACTGTCTTATCTGATTTTATGTTAAGTAGTCTTACAACATTCACACTCATCCAGAGGCTTACCTTGTATCCCTGGTTGATACCATTAATAAACTGCTGAGGTGGAGGGTTCCATGTGAAGCGGATGGTGGTCGAGTTGATGGCTACAAGTTCCACTTCCTGCGGAGGTGCTGTGGGAACTTAACACAGATAAACATACACATAGTATTTAGCTGCAATGGGTCCACCAAGAGGAGGAAGAGGAAGAGCGCTTAGATACACTGGAAAAACATATACAGTAACAATGCCCCAAGTGCCCCTGGAGCCCTAAGCTGCAGAAATAAACAGCTTTCAGTTACGCCTTTACTTTTTCGAAAGAAGTGGTGGTTTTAAATATCTCACACGGCACCATATTTCAATATTTCACATTGAGATCCAGTTCATTTTTTAATTAAAAAAATCTGCTAAGCTTGCAAAAACTAAATGCCAAACCGACCCTTCTATTCTTTGCTGCAAAATGACCTAATTTCTCAATAAGAGTCATCCCATCTATTGTATTTTGCATTTATGTATTTTGCATATTATCACTTTAGGAATGACTAAGTGAGATTAGGGTACTGACCCATCAGGGACTGATTCTGAAAAATGGTGGTTCATGAAGACGCCTAAAATGATAAATTAATCTATTAAGCCTTTCAGTCAGTGACCTCAGGAGGCCAGACAGTGGCCATAGAAAGTTGGATTCACTCACTGGATTTGTTGGTTCCTGTAGCCACATTATTCTCCTAGCCGAGCAGCACTGTCAACCTTTATTACCAGGTTGATGTCCCTGCATAGTACATCATGATTTATTGATTTAAAAATACAATGTATTACAAGAATGATGACGTTTGAGCTATACTTATGCTTGACTTACTATGCACTCCCATTGAGTTGGAGAACTTAAAAACATTAAACGAAATTAAAGTGGCAGAGACCAGAAAAATCCTGTAAATATGTAAATATGATTGAAAAGCTCCAAAAACGCTGAATCCTACTCTCTCCCACATGAAGATAGTCTTTCATTCGGAACTTGAAACCTTTTTATTACTACTACTTTAATGTAGGCTTTCTGTTCAAAATTTAAGTCTTGAGCCGAAGCCGAAATAACTTTGGTGACGACACTATGACATCATTATGACATATATTTTTTGAGCCGTTGTCTCTTCTGGTGATTTCTCTTATATATCCCCTCTTTCTCTATGTCAGTGTATGAATGTGTCTCCACATGGGAATCTTTGCATGTTTTATGAGCAGTGAAAGAAAGAGGCTCCATGATAACACTAAAGCCATGAAGAGAATTATAAGTGTAATTATAAAATATGTGTGTGTGTGTGTGTGTGTGTGTGTGTGTGTGTGTGTGTGTGTGTTTGTGGGCACACGTTATGGTGATTAAACTGTAAAGGGATTATGCTGATGCTAGAAAGCCACGGAGTGATGATGCACTGTTGCATGATGGGAGTGCCCTTTACATTTTATATTTGAGCCAGAGAGGCCAGATGACACGCAGGGAGAGGAGAGTATGGAGAGTGGAAAGAGAAGAGACCAGAATGAAAACTAGTGAAAAATTTAAGGCAAGAGGTAGTGAGAGAAACTGAACCAATGGATGAGAAGACAGAGAGGGAGAGTGAAGATTAATTGATATTAAAGACACTCTCTCCCCCCCTGCCATGCTGACTGTACTCCTGGGGAACGGCTTCTAACCCCTCTCAGCTCACAGCTACAGATAAAACACTAAACTCTGTCCTCCGGGGGAATCTTAGTATGCACATATGGCTATATGCGAGAGAGCTGGAAAAGAGCAATGTTATCAGAGTCTAATGCTGAGTTCAACCACATACTCTCAGAGATAGTCAGAGAGAGAAAATGTCCAATCCATTGCAGCCACTCCCATTAAACCACATTAGAATAATTAATGAGCCTAACTCCCTCTCCTGAGTCTATAAACCTGTCCTGAACTCTTGTAATAATGACTGTGAGTTTTATGTGCACATGTGCGCACATGCGCGTGTGCGTAGCTCAGCCCATCTGTAATAATGATAATTTACTGTTGGAATAAAAGTCAGGAAGAAAAGAGCACATGTTTAAAGGAGATTTACCCCTACGACCACTTCCTTTCGTCTACGTTTACAATCTTCTCTTACATTCTTCCCTCTTTCACAACCACTGATTTACGTTTGAAGAGTTGAAAGTGTGTTCCTCTGTGCAGCCATGTTTATTACAATCAACACACAATTATATATCATACAATATATTTATAGCGCAGTACAGACACTCTTTCCCCATGAACTCCCTCCAGCTCATCCTGCAGCAACCCAAGGTGCTCCTTGGCCAGATGGGAGATGTAGTCTCTCCAGCATGTCTTGGGTTGCCCCTAGGGTCTCCTCCCAGATGGCTGAAGCTGATATGCCTTCGAGGAGATGCCTCAGGGATGACTTTAACACAAGTCTGACTGCACTGACTAGCTCCTGTCAAAGATGAGCTCCTCATCCTATCTCTGAGAGTGAAGTCTGCCAGCCTGGTCTCATTATGGCTGCTGGTAACTGTGATGTCAGTCGTTTGAACACTAAAAACAGGTAAAAATAAGTGAAGATGGTCTACCTAGTTAACAATACAAGCCCTGTGCTATGAGAGAAAGGTCTCTGAGTTCTGTGTCCTTGTATCTAATTTTAATAAGAAATAATAAGAAGTAAAACTTCCCCCGACAGTCTGGTATTTTCGCTTAAAGAACTGTCAACAAGCAGGAGTATGAGAAACTACTTTAATAATTATAAATCTTTTCCTAGCTTTCATTTGATCACCACAAAACTCTTCCAGCTACAAATTTCTCCCACACATCCCCCTGTATAACATAACAACAAAGTAGGAACACATGTGCACATAATGGGAGATTGTCTTTTTTGGTCCAGGATTTAAGGACTGCAGCAGCACAGACAAGCTCCTTTTGGGCAGTTAATTACTGCAGTGATGTACATGGAAAGATAATGCTACTAAAACATTCATGTAAGACGACCAGTGTTCGGTAATATGTGTGTATGCATGGACTGATGATTGACACAACGTCCAAGAATATCTTGGTGCATTTGCTTTGGCCTCCATGAATGAGAAATAAAAGAGAAAGTGTGTGTCACTTTCACTCACCTCCCTGCAGAGTGTACTCAGTGACAGGGCTGCTGTAGACGCCCAGGCCGGCTCCAGTGAAGGCAGCCACCTGGATCTGGTATTGTGTCCAGATGATCAGATCTTTCAGCAGACAGTAGTTGGTCTCTGGGCTGCTGATGTTCTTCTCCTGATAGTCCCCTGGCAGCCCAGCCAGACGGTACCTACAAACACACACAGACACACTTGTAAACGGGTTGATTTGTAGGAAAGCTCAGTAAATCGGCCAGTAGTTGTAGGGGTTGTTGGTTCAATCGCTGGATAATCCTACCCACATTGAAAGAGCGCTTGGCAAGAAAATAAACCCAGAATTTCTCCTGATATCTGTACATGCATGGGCAAAAAAAAAAAAAGAAAAAAAAAAAGTCACTTTAGACAACACCATGTAAGAAATAAATGTAATATAACCAAATAGAGAAATTTGAAAATTTAAATCCAAATAGAAATACAACCCCAGGCTATAACTACTTTGTACATAGCTTAGTAATATAATAATGAACATACCAATGTGCTGACTGTAGATGCCTGTAATACACATTTTGAAATAAACAAAGATGTAACTTTCACTTTATGTTGACCTTCTGAGAGACAAAAAAACTCTGCCAAAAGATTTTCTGTAAAGGTGTAAAGTCACTTGAATTACATCAGAATAAAAACCTTCAATGCCTCCGAATAGTGCACCTTTAAGGCCTTCGCTTCAGTGCACGTGATATAAGGGCCACTTAAAGGGATATATTACCCGACTCGATGGGAAAGTGTAAGACCACTTAGCTATTGTACATATCTGATGGAGCTGAATGGAATAATAATCCACATGTTGGCGTTTTAATATGGACCCTATTCACGGAAACAGGATATTTCAATGTTATCTATCACACATGCATGCTGTATACACACACACACACACACACACACACACACACACGCACACACACGACACAGAGGAACACACTCGTACACCAAAACACAAATACACAAAGCAGAAGGGCGTCGCAGGCTGACAGGGGATCTCTGTAGTGGAGAGGAAATAACCCCTCTCTCTCTCTCTCTCTCTCTCTCTCTCTCTCTCTCCACCCGACACACTGACACTGAAACTGGGGGAGGAAGAGGAGGGGTGCAGTGATGGAGGAGAGAAGGTGGGAGAAAATAGGAGAAAAAGAGAGAGGATCTGCCAGCTGATACGAGAAGGAGAAAGGAGAATCCAAAGGGCTGTACAGGAGGAGGTGGACGCTCTGTACTATAGTGACACGGTGGAGCTGCACGAGTGTGCGTTTCTATTGCCAACTGATTTCTGAAGTGGAGGCAGATAACACGGTAAATGAGGATAAAGACCTGATAACTTCTACTGCAATTATATGCAAATTCGTGTGAGACAGCTGATGACAGTTTGATTACACACAGTGTGTCACACTTTAGGCAGACATCAAAATGAAGGACAGCGGACCAAGGGCAGCCAGAGCATCTGTAAAGAGTACTTGTGTCTGTGTGTGGTAGGGCCAGAGAGGGGGAAAGACAACAAAGAAAGAGTATTCCTGCATGTGGTGACTCAACAGTAGATCACATTTATATGGGTTGTCAAAATACTAGGACTGCAACTAATGATTCTTTTAATTAAGATAATAAAATCTTAAATAAAATGATGTATCAATGAACAAAGACATGAAAAAGAAAAAAGAAGCAAATAATTGCATTTGAGAAGCTGGTACCAGTGTATATATCTGGCAAAGTCCTTGGGAAATAACTTAAATGAATAACTGATTATCAGTGTTGTTGACAATATCTACTCCTGAATAATAATTTCATTTTTTTCTTATCTTGTGCATTATGTTAATCTTACACGGATACAGAAATACATCTTTAACATTTATATAATTCTAAACTAAACTGAATCTTTCTGAACAACATTACAGTAGATGTTTTTATCATATAATTTCCCTATAGATTAGATTTTTGTTCCATACACTGCATAGAGGCCTTGTTGTATTTCCCCCAACATGGTCACCACCATCCCTACTAAAATACCAACGTTCTGCATCGTGACAAAACAGGTATATTGTGACTGTGACTTGTTTAAAACATCCATCCATCAGTATGTTATTTCTCACATATGAACACACGGCAGTCGTGATTTTGCACATAACAACTGTCCAGAGGAATAAGCAGCCTTGAGCATTTTGTGAAAAGCCTTCATAATACCTGACATACCATTTTTTTTCCATGATTGTAGGGATGCTATTCGTCCATTCCTCACACATGGAGACATAATGTAGCAGGCAATGATTTGCACAGAACGACTGCTGTCCTCTTCTGACAAAAAAAATAGGCAATCTAGAACATTCTGTAAAAAGCTTTTAAGTAGGACATAATACCTGAGGTAGTTTACGTTATGTAAGAGATAATACCAGGCAGGTTGTAATGTTATTTCTAATACCCTCTTTTCTCCATTCCATTAGCTGATTTCAATGCCCATATTCATGCAAATTTCAATCACATTTGAAATTGAATTTGTGTGGAGAACTTTGGTTACAGAAATAAAACGAGTTCAAAGCTCTTTGACTGTTGTTACGATTTAAAACTGTTGCATTAATTTAGAACATAGGGTTGGGCGATGTTACCCACACTCAGATCGTCCTATTGTCATTCCGTGAAAGTGCCAATACCTGACACTCTCTCTGTCGCTCTTTCTCAGTGTGAACACAACCACAGTACCGTGATAAATACATCAATCAAAATCAGCAGGGGGAAGTGCTTAGAAACAGCTTTTTATGGCTTTTAGTTCTCTCTCTCTCGCTCTCTCTCTCTCTCTCTTGTTGACTGTCCTTCATGTCCTGTTAGGGCCAAAAGTTCTATTCACAACCATGAAAAGCAGCTGCTAAGAAACTGAACTAAGTCATGTGTTCTGTTTGTCTGTCTGTCGATCTCCTCCATTCTGTTTAATCACAATGCAGCACCTACACACAGCAAACAGCCCTTAAACGACAGTCAGTAGTTCGGTGTGTGTGTGTGTGTGTGTGTGTCAGTGTTGCAAGCATCGGTTATATGAGAGCGATGTTGAAATTAAACTATGGCAGGGCAAATTAAATTTAATATTAATATAATATTACTAATAATAATAATAATATGTTAATAAATTAATGGGTACACAAGCTAACTTTTGTCGCGACACTGGCAAAGGAACAAGCTACTGAAGCTCGCTCTCAACATGGTCAATCACCCAGAGCATCGTCTATCGGCACAACCCTACTAGAACGGCAGGAATACTCTCACTGTTACTAGAAATGAATCCATAACTTCCAGCCAGGAGAGAATTATTAACTATTATAATAACTCTGCTGAGTCTCTGAAGCCTCAGTACTGTTATGGACTGCACTTATTTAGTGCTTTTCTAGTCTTATTGACCACTCATGGGGTTTATAATGGAAGCCACATCCACTCATTCACACACACACTGATACAACACCTTTTCCCAATGAATATGTACTATTTTTTTTTTTCTACGCACATTCACACACTGATGATGCAGTATCTTGCCGAAGGACACTTTGAAATGCGGACTGCAGGAGCCGGGAATCAAACCACCGACGTTCCGATTAGTGGACAACCAGCTCTACTTCCTGAGCCACAACCAATCTTGAGTACCTTGATTGAAATAATGTCACAAAATTTACTTGAACTACAGCGATTACACAAACTGTTTGTGTTGAGTTCAACTCGGGTTCATTTGATCAGCTGTTTTGACAGCACTGACCTCTGAGGCAACAAAGAGCCAGAGAGTCCAAATTGGACAAAGCTATTTCAGCTTATTAGTTGTGTGGCACCATTCACTTTTGTTTAACTTCCTCTGTTGACGTTTAAACTGCTCCACAAAAGAGGCATGCTAACAAGGTTTTCTAAATGACCATCAGCAAGCTCATTAGTTCAGAGAGCTGTATTTACCTTTGTCAATAACTCTTCACTGGATGAAATGATGCACAATCCTGAGGACAAAATGCTTGGGAGAGTAAAGCACGGAGAAACTAGAAAGCTTGGATAGCTCTTGTGACTGACTAGCACTAGCCTGGCTGGCTAATGTGTTTGCAGTCGCCAATTATCCTAGCAAGTGGTCACCGAACCTCTCGAGCCAAATATTTTCCAAAGACACTTTCTGCAATACTAAAAAACAACTGGACACCTACCGGCCAATCAACGTCAAGAATTCTCACTGGCAATACTATGAAGCCAAATACGTCTGTGTATGTGTTAGTGTGTCTGTATACCTGAGTACATATCCTCGGAGGACTCCGTTGAGTTGGGGTTCTGGTGGAGGCTGCCACTGGACCATGATGGACTGGTTTGTCCGCCCACTGGCCACAATATTCTTCGGAGGAGCACTGGGTGCCTCCTCTCGTAGCATTAATCTAGCACACACACACAAACACACACACACACACACACACACACACACACACAAACACACAGAGAAAGAGGAAGAGAGAACAAGAGAGAAAAATGATTTTGATTAAGCTTATTAGTAGTCATGTAATGAGAATATCAGTGTTGCTGAAGAAGCATGAGCACTGAATTAGTCATTTTCACCTGGCATCCAACATCACTTACATGGACAGTTTGCACAGGAGCAGTATATTAGGTAACTCAGCTAAAAAGGAATTTTATAGCAATTCTGCTCCCGAAGTCACTGGAGAGATTCATGGGACAGAGCTGCAACTTATTATAGAGAATCATCTCAAAGCTTAAGCAGCTCTGATGAATTCTTACTGAATTCTGTGCTCATCTCTCTCATCCCTTGTTCTCCCGGTGCATCATGCAATTTCATTTAAAACATTTGCGTTTCATCTCTGGCTATATTGTTCATTTATTTCAAACAAACCAATGCTGCTGCTGCTGCTGCTGCTGCTGCTGATGGAGACGTTTAACGCATCACTTCCAGTGCACCAGAGGATTTCTCCTGGGAATGACGGAGCTGAGACTGGGTGGTTAAAACAACAAATGTAGAAGCGTTTGTGAACTCTGTGCGATTTGGATCACTATTGTGTTTGACTCACTGGCAGCAGAGAACAAGAAAAGTGTATTTACTGTCTCTACGTCGCAGATAACTTTTTATATTCAGTTTTATTTCTGCTACTTTAAAGTTGGTGTTTTCTTACTTATGTTTCATTTCTTCTCCAGCAATCTTTTGTCTGGACAGTTTCTATTTCAACGTCAACCCTCCCACAATCGCCCCAGTAGAGTAGTCCAGCTACACAATTTGACAGCAGTAGTTTAATCACTATTAGAATGTAGTAGAAGTAGAGAATGAGCAAAGAGCTCGTCTTTTATTTCCAGTGGGACAGTACGATCCGTCACCCTCTCTGCCCTCTTCCCATCGTCTTCTGTCTCTCCGAACCTTTTCCCCATCTTTCCTTTGACATTTTGAACTACCTCTTAATTTTTTTTCTCTCCCATCTGCAAACTTTCACCTTTCATCCATCTTACCCTTTTGGCCTCAATTATTTCATCCTTCTATCATTTACTCATCTGCTTCCCCCTTCCTCTACTTTCTAACCCCCACCGCACCCCCCACCCACCCGTGATTAAAGCTCAAAGCCCTCTCATGGTTGGTAAAGCACACAGGCTGAGCTGGTCAGCCTCTGGCTTTACTGTAAGCAGCTCAACTAATGTAATCAGAGCCATATGTGCTCTCACACACACACACACACACACACACACACACACACACACACACACACACACACACACACACACACACACACACACACACACAAAAAACACAACAAACAAATTTCTCCCAGCTTAAGACAGACTGCTACATCCGATGGTCTTTTCCCTTCCATGGATTATGTCTGGAGATTTACATTACCTTTCTCTCCGACCCCCCTCACTTCCCCTCTGCGCCACATCTCTTCCTGAATGATTCTCTATAAGCTATTGAGCCATTAGCCGTGGTATGGCTCTCTGTATTTGTGCGTCTGAATCTGTATGTGCCTATAAATGTGTAGGCACATCTATATGCGTGTGTTTGTGTGAAAGTAGGGGTGTGAAAGCTGTTAGCTACAGACTTGTGCAGGCGGATGTACAGCACAGGCCAGTGGTTTTACAGCTATGCTTTACTTCCATTAGGTTAGGCACTGTCAGACAGCAGCCGGTGCTGCAGTCGTAGACATCTACACACATTCACACATACATAGGCTAATGGGCTTTGTGTGAATGAGATGGACATTACTGTAGCCGTCTGGAAATGGGGTATATATAATCCTCAACTATGCCACTGCTACTGACAGAAACTGATGATGCACATTAATGCACGTACACAAACTCACGCTACACAAACGGCCACAAACACATACAGTACATACAGTACAGAGGCAGTCAGTCACTGTTTGACTGCAAATAAAACACACACACAAATGCACACTGACACACTTTTACTCGACAGCGGAAACTCCTTGTGAATTGCCTTAATTCCCCTCCCAACCATTTATGAGTAAATATTTCATACAGTGGGTTCAGCACGAGGACATCAACTTCACACAGGAGATTAAATATACAAACCCCAAACCCACCCACCCACTTACACACCACTTCACATCCAGCTACAAAAATTCATACTTACAGCCATACATGTACTATACAATAACATTGTCTGAACACTGCGACACACTTTCTCTGTCCCTTGTTATCAAGCAAAAGAGGACATTTTCTACAGGAGATGTACATGTTTGAGAGTGTCAGTGCAAGTGTGTACATGTGTGTGCGTGTGTGGTGGTTTTGTGAGTCCCTGTGCTGTGGGAATTAGTAAAAGTTTCTATCTGTGTCATTCTCCACAGTTTAGTGCCCACTGGCTTTCTCACTAAATCCACGTACACACCGACTCTTAAATTTAACGGTGTTACCGGGATGCTAAGTCTGCATGTATTCAAACAGGATGGTAAAAATTTAGGTCCAGCAGGAGTGAAAAATAGAGCGATATGAAGAGAGTGCAATGGAAAGAAAAAAGGAAGAGAGAGAGAGAGAGAGAAACCAGATGTGATGTGACTGGTTACAACCAGCTGGATAGATGAGCTTATTTTCCTCTTGTCTGACACTTTAAGTCTTGTCTCCTTTAAATGTTGTGCTGTTTTGCCGGAGGTTAAAAGCTGCACAAATGGAGGAGGCTGACACACTAAAGAGACTCTGTCTGGGAAATAGAGAAACTTTGTGCATATTCTCAAAATGACTCAAAAGCAGCTGCAGCACACATTTGCTATTGTATATCTGCTTCAATAAAGAATATATTTGTTGTCACATTACCTGATCAGTCACTGATATTTAACTTTACTGCATACCAGCACAAACGCTTCAAAACAACTCAAATCTGACACTAGATAGGCTGTCATTACTGTCGTAGACTGGTGTGCAGATACATTCAAAATTGCAGGTTTAAAAAAAAATTTTATTTTTCATGTAAAAATATAAATCACACAGTTTTTGACAACAGTGGCTGACTGCAATAATTCGCTTATAATGGTTTTTACCATATTTACTGTACGTCCTCTCCTGCCTGCTCCCAAAGCAAACGATACAATAGCAGCTTTACCTGCTCCCATCTGTGTATGCACATGATTATATGTCCGGTGTGCGGAGTCACCAATGACCTGCATCAAAACAAGAGGTCTATCAGTTTATCGGTTTGGCTTTCACAAACAATGAGTAATCGATGGATATGAGTGCCAGTTACAGCTGATTACCCTCTGTGTTGCTGATAATAAACAACAATATTCTTGCCTGAAGTTGGCTCTCTGTGATTCCTAGTTGGTCTTTTCTTGTATAAGCTTAACGTGGAGGTGTCGCCCCGGAAAGTGTCCATGCATCAACATTGCCACCATCATGTAGACATTTCACAGTGGTAAGCCATTACTTTTTTGTTAAAAATCAGTGGATATCTAACATACTTATGTTTCACGTCACCTAACGTTGTCTGATGACTGTTAGCAGTGTAGATGGCAAGTTGCTCCACCACAAGACTCAAATGTTCCCGGAGTTATTAGATGGACTGCCATGAAATTTTGTTCAGACATTCACGGCCCGTACAGGGTGAATCCTAACAACACTGGTGATCCCCTTACATTTCTACTAGCGCCGCCATGTAATTTTTTTGTGAAAAGTCTCAACAAATATTATATATTATATATAATAATCATGAAGTTTGGTACAGATATCTGTGTCTCCCTCAGGATGAACTGTAAGATCTTTGGGGATCTTTTACTTTTCATCTAGTGCCATAATTAGGTCAAATACTGAATTCGTCCGGTGCTTTAGTTCATGACTAAAACTTTTTTTACTTTTGGGTTCTGTAAAGCTATCATATTGACCTCCAATAACCTTACTCCATCATTATAAAAAGCTAAACCTAATGTGTGTTAGAAATCATCATATTGGTCTTATTCTTGTATTATTTTGACACAGGTTTTTGTTCTATGATGTTTGTAGGTTTTTTTATATCTAAAAATGTAATAGTAATGTCCTGTAAGTTTTACAGCTTTTGCTTCTCTGCAGGCCAACTAACAGTGAAAAGATTACACTTACATATTTTATTTAAAGCATTTGTAAATGTCAAATTTATATTTATGTGTCAGTGCTTGTAGGTACATTGTAGGTTATCTGTGGGATCTGCCCAGGTACAAGTGGGACTGAGCTGATGTCCTCCTCTGCAAAAATGTTTGTAGTGGCTACACAGCATATGTGGACACAAGAAATGACTGAGCCTTTATTGCATTGTGTCTGCCACATTCTCTGTGAGTTTCAAAAGCAAATACAACATTTTTGCAAACAATGATCTTTTCCTTATGTGGCAGAGCCTTTCTCTGTGTTCTCGGTGTCTTGATGTTTCTGCTCTATAGTCTTAAGTAAATAAATCACTCAATATGCTATAAGCAAATTTAGCATAGCTGGAGCCACAGTTAAACACAGATATACAAATTACATGTTGGAAAGCAAAGGCCAAATCTCCTGTAAATCTTAAATCCACTAAGGCATTAATTGTTACACTTACATGCACATTAGATGTGTTTATGCTTCTTCAGTATGTGTGCATGACAGTATTTTATCTTACACCTCGAGTTATATTTTGATGTGTTCTGGTTCTGGGCCCAGAGTTCAAGCCATTAATGCATAATCTGTCTTTCCTCTGTTAATGCTTCCTCTTTAAAGATGGTAATGCTGTGAGTGTAGGTTATGCATGAGTAAATCTCTGTGTGTGTGACACTCCAGATGGTATAATTAGATAAATGGAAAGAGTTTCTGCATTTAGAGATAATGTTTTTCAGCTGTGATCACATTCATATACTCTAAGTGGATGTCCATCTCTCAGGACACTTTTTCCTCGCAATGCAGCGCCCATTTGAATTCCATTGAATAAAGGGCAGCGGGAAAGGAAAGGCTGGGGGGCAAAGCGAACAAGAAATAAATGTATGCATTAATGCTGTTATGATAAAGATCCTAATCAGGACAAGAACAGAAAGGGAGCGTGCAGAAGCAGCTGGACGTTCAAACTTTAATAAGGGCTTTTTGTCATCAATATTACAAGCTTCTTCTTCACTCGCTGTTCCCTTCCCTCACTCTGTCCACATTACTGCATTTTGTCATCCTTCTGATTTGGCACTCCAAACTTCTGCAGGACATTTTTACCCTGCCTCGCTCTCTCTCCCTTGGCATCTGCAACTAATCATGTGCGTGTCTTATCCAGGCAAACGTCCAGCAGATGAGAAGCAAAGTGCGCGCGGTTACGTACGAAACAAACACCGAAAAAGAAAGGCATCCATCTGGTGTGATACACTGACCAGTGATGACTTGTCTTACTGCCAGTCATTCATTTGGAGAGGATCAATCCAATCTATTCTCCAGGGCCTCTAACAACCAACCTTGGACTGGAGACTAGGTGGCAGAATGGCTATTGGACACAAACAATACACTGGTGCATGCAGAGGAAGAGTAATGACAGAAAATAAGAAGCATTCAAACACTTTGAATATGAGGAGAACAGAGGAGAGAAAGATAGAGTGCAGGGAAAACTAGGGTAGAGAACAGAAGAACTGCAATGTGAGGAGACGGAAACTGAAAGGAGACTGTAATCTGAGGTGTGTGTGTGTATGTGTGATGGCAGCGTCCACAGCTGCTGTTGTTGCTGAGAGTCTATTTGGCAGAACTACAACTGGCATCTGCTTATGGTCAGTCTCTTCAGCCAGACAAAACCATGTTTTGTGTGTGTGTGTGTGTGTGTGTGTGTGTGGGTGACAACTTTACAATGCATCGCCACATCTGTTGTATTGTGCATGAGTGTCAGAGATTTGGTGTATGTGTGTATTCAGGGGCAAACTTGTTAAGAGGCCTGCCACACCTCCTCCAACCCTCTTTCACTCTATCCAGTTCCATCAGTGCTAAGGCATCATAATTACCCCCATTAGTGTTTTCTCTTGGGATAAACATGCAACCAGACTCACTCACAAACACACACACACACTCACACTCACACACACAAACATAAAACATCTGCACAGCAATTTATTTACTTTTCAGGCCAAATCACACTCCCTTTTACACACACACTTGCGCATACAGACACGCAGAACCGTTAATTTCATCATTTTTGCTGCTTAGTTCACTATGTGCAATGAAAGGAGACTGGCAGAGAATTACACACAAACACACACACACACACACACATACACACACACACACACACACACACAGACATATACACACACAAACACATAGACATCTACAGCATGGATGTGATGAATATAAATTGCTCATTGAAAAGGAAATGGATTCTAAACAAAAAGGACTGCTCCCTTCATCCTCGCCTTGTTAGAATCCATCCCTGTTTCATCCCCATTCTGAATCCCATATTCCTATTCATCCTCATGATAACATATCACAAACACACATACACTATCACACACACACACATACACACACACACATTCACACTTAGATTCACAAATTAGAGTGTGTGCGGGTGCATACACTATGCCTTTTGACTGTAGAAAGGTTTCAGTTTATTCATTCCCAGTTTGTGTAAGGCAGTGTGACCAAGTCTATTACACAGAGATGGAACAGGGTAAAAAAAACTCTATTTCACACAAATCATAGCATGTTCTTCATAAAAAATGGGTTTCATGCTCTTTTAGAAAACATCAGTGAAACAGTAGTGTGGCCTCACAAGAAGTATTGTGAAGTATGAGTTTAACAAAGCTGGCAGTGATGCCTTTAAGTGACTGATTCGTGTCAGAGAATGCGCGCTTACCTCTGCGTCTCGGCGCTGTACTGACCCCTGCCCACTTGATTGACAGCGCAAAGTCTGAACTGATAGGTCCTGGCAGGTGTGAGCCCGCCCACTGATACCTCAGTCACCGCAGGATCGACCTCTGATAGGTAAACCTTCCATGGAGAGTCTAGACAGAAGACACAAAGATTAGGGGCTGATAATATCTAGCTGAGGCAGGACAAGCAGAAAGAGTCAGGACCCATGAATCAAAAGTAAAGAGCAGGAGGAACAGATAAAAGAAGCAAGGAAGGACGGTAGAAATGAAGGGTGGTGAGCTGAAGGGAATTAAATAGCATAGGATGCAACATGAAAGAAAGTTTAGGGGGAAGAGGGGGATTAATAAAGAAGCACAGATGCTGCTCTATACCGTTGCCAGCTTATCTTTCTCCTCAAGATACCACAGACAGTTACACTATTATCACTGCACCAGCCACATGTCTATGTGTGTAATAGGGAGGGATACTGTGTGTGTGCCATTTTAAGCGAGCTCACCGAGTGTATTAGAGCTATTGTCAGATATGAAAATACACTGCATTTATAGCGGGCCAAAAAGAAATATCTAATACACAACATGCACACACACAAAATGGGTAATCAGTGTGCACAAAACTCTCATCCATTCCTCACTGTCTGGGTTCAGACTTTGCTGAAATCAATGTTTAGGCTCTCAGTATTCCTCGTCTTCCTCTTTATCTCGCCCCTGTTTTGTCCCTCGCCACATTTACTCTCGTCTGTCTCATGATAATGCATCATTTTTTCCACCATTTTGGCATATTTCTGTAGATGCTACAGGAACAGCTGTTGGAATGGCGACAGCAGAATACTTGAAGCCACATTCATGCTGCCTCCATAAAAGTTATCAGAATGAAGATTATTTAAAATGTCAAACTACATTAACATTTGACATTTGTCCATCAGTCCAGCTCCAAAAGTCATGTTCCAAGTGCTTGGCTCTGCATGTAATGTTCACCAAACCGTCCACCCCCTTAGCTCAGAGCAGGAGTAAGAGCGGCTCTACAGCCATCTCCCTCCAGTCTGTTTCTCCTGTCACTCTATCCCTCAGTCCCTCTCTCATCTTTCTCTCTCTCCCTGGGTTTCTCTTTTGACAGAGAGCCAGCCTGCTGTTAAAACATCTGTGGTAAAGAGAGGGAGAGACAGAGAGAAATAACAGAGAGAGAGAAAGAGAGTAAGGGAGGGAGGGAAAGTAAGAGTTTATTTATAGGGAACCTGGATGAACATTTAATTTACGCAGCAACACCATTCTCCATATGTCGGCCTCTTGTAAATGAGTGTGTGTCAGAGCCTGGTAGACAGCAAGTGAACAGCTGTTTGCCACTCAGGGACTATAAAGAATGCCTGGACACACACACACGCACACACGCACACACACGTACTGTTCTCGGATAGCTCCAGCAGGTAGTAGAGCAGAGGGGAGTTCCCATCAAAGGGGCGTAGCCAGGACAGGAGGACGGAGCGGGAGTCAGAGTCGTTGAGACGAGCTGTCAGGGAGCGAGGAGAGTGCGGCAGCTCACTGAACATAACAAAGACAAGAAAACATCACATATACTGTGAATTTAACAGATATTAGTCTGCTGATTTAATTAAACCCAGTCTTCAGAGGAATAGATCAGCATTTTGGGAAACTGGATATGAAGCTCTAGCCTGCTGTTGGTTGGCTAAACTTAGCACTAACACAGGAAATAGGGGAAAACAGCTGGGTTAGCTATGTCCACTCAAAAGTAACAAAATCTGCCTCCCAGAGTCTCTAAAGCTCATTAAGTGACAAGTTGTGTTGCTGTTGTCGACTTCACATCATACAGGATGGATGGTAAAAATAGATTCCCATGGTTACATCTTGCAGTCGTTAAATTTATTGGACAACTGAAGACGACTGTATGATTACAGAGCTGGTTGTATGAAAGTTAAAAATACGATGTGTTCACAGAATAACACAATATCCATTAAATTTGGGTTTTGGGATTACACTCAACGACGGACATAGTCTCGGTTATAATCATGACTCATAATTACGATATCCTCAATAATCCACATAACCCACAACTTGTCATTTTTTCACTCTGAATTTTTTATGGATTAAATAAACAAGATAAACATCTACTTTTAGAAGTGCTGGTAAGTGGATTTTGTTGCCTTAAACTGTTTCCCTGGCTGTTTTCAGTCTTCTTGCTAAGCTGTGCAAAGTGACAGCTTGCAGTAGCTATACATTTACTGTGCAGACATGACGCAAGAGAGTGAATGAACATATTTCCCAACATGTGAAACAATTTCTTCAACATCATTTATGGATTTGTGTCTCATTAACAAGTCTGTGACACAGTGCCAAGACTTCTCATTAGACAAATATTTGTTTCCTGTGTTTTGCTTTTCTGTCAGATATGTGTGGTAGAATAATGTTGGCTCCGACACCCAGGTTGGCCCTTGGGTCTCGTACAGAATCAGTCCCTGTGGGCTGTATCTTTTAATTATGGCTGTGGTTTGCATGTTTTTATGGTGATATGTTTTTTTCTGTACATGCGCTGCACCAATACAAATGTATCATGATGACATCAATTAGAAAGAAAGTCTCCAGACATTTGTCCATCCCCTCTGGATGTTTGTGTGTCCCTGCCATGATTATAGCAAAGAAAGCAACACAGATATATTAATGAAGGCATAAAAGCGCATCCAAATTATTTGATAATACTGATTTTATTATCATCATAATTCTCTTTAAAAACAGTTGGTTTGAAGGAGAAGGAAGGGGAAGCAGATCTCAGTGTCCCTCTGTGTAAAGTCTATAACAGGAGTAAGTATATCAACAGAGCACGTAAAAGAACAAAATAAATATATTTACACTGAAAGCATGATGAAAGACATGGTCCCATACGCGCAAACCAGAGGCATCACATATTCATAATTCCATTAATTATTACTAAACAATCATGGACGTGTGAATACCCTGTCCAAGGGGTCTCCTCTGACAGACTCCAGGCTTTAATTAATTTCAGTCAAAAGAGTTAAAAATGTTTCGGTTTTTGTTTCTGCTTGTGAATTGCTTTACGTTTTAATATTCAAGTGGGTATCAAGTTAGAAAATGAGGGAAACACAGAGGGAGAGTGAGAGAGTTGAATGAGGAGTAAGACATAATGTTAGATCAGGAAGGGAGAGCAGCACACACAAGGGGAAGAAGCAAAGGATGGCGGTGAATGAGGCACAGAGAGAGAGAGAGAGAGAGAGAGAGAGAGAGAGAGAGAGAGAGAGAGAGTGAGAGAGAGTGAGCAAGTGGAAATGAGAATGATGTTTTCTTTTCTGAGCTGACATGATCGTATTAATTAATGGATGAGCTTAGAGAATGTTAGAGCAACTACCTTCACACAGCCCACACACATAACACACACACACACACACACACACACACACACACACACACACACACACACACACACGCACGCACACACTCACAAACACATGAATCGGTCTTGCGGGAGTTGAACCAATAACCTGCTGGTAATTAGTCTGTCTCCTCAGCCGCCAGCGTCTGTTAGCCTTTATGACCCATTGATACTGAGCTAACGAGAATGTCAGTCACACGCATACACACACGCATACACACCCACACACACAGTTGTACAGAAATCCCTGCGTTCCCTACATGTTTTCACAGAGCCATAAACAGAGATCCTCTCCCCTCCCTCTGAGTTTGACACGTGTAACCTCTTGTCTTTCTATAATTCAGAAGGATGTGGACTCATGTTTTATCTCTCTCCTACCCTGCAATTGTATTAATATATCATAAGTGCCTTTTATAAATATATTATACAAGTGCCTATTAATATATAAAGGCCGCTACCTGACAGCCTTCTCTCATAGTGGCTCTAATGAGGCTGTGTTGGTCGGAGAGTGGAACAGGCTTGAAATATGTGTGGCATGTTTTAATCTGAGCTTCAGGAATGCATGCTCACACCAGACACATGAAACGATACACGTTTTTGTATGTGTTCACACAAAACCATATGAATGGACACATGCATACAAACACACTGTACGCACAAATTTCACACTCGAAGGCTAATACAGTGCAGAGTGTAGTACATGTACAGGGTAGCTGATAGCATCCTCATACCGTACAGTTTTAATGGGTTTGACATATACTGGGTTTAGGAAGTGTCTGGCCCCTTACAGATCACGGTTATTATTAGAAACATGCAATCATATCATTAGGCAACACTGAAATAAGATGACAGCAATACTTTCTTCATGTGTGCTACTTTTCCTAAATTGTGTTCCGTGAAGCCAATCATGTTTCCTGTTTTTTCTATGCTCGGCTCCGAAGCGTCCTCCCTGCCAATCATATCTGCAATTTGAATCACCCAGATTGCTAGTTAAGGATCAACTGTTTTCCCACTTGATTGCTGCACAAAAAGTCAAAGTCGTTGTTTGTGTCTAATCACGAGGAAGAAAGCAATTCATGCTTTGTTTATTTGGATTAACGCCTGTTCTGTATTTCACCATATACTTACGTAACTACCATATAAATACTGTGAAAATCTAAAATGAGCCAATTTTCTGAAAAAAAAAAAATAATAATCCTAAAAAACTGGATTATGTATAGGAGATCATGCTCTTTTTTTCTCTTCATTTTCTGCTTTTTCTTTGCATTTTTTGCTGCTGAAAGTTATATGAGAATATTTGACATCACTTGTTAAATACAATAGGAGACTCCACTGTATGTTTGTTAAATATGAAGCTAGGCAGCCGGTAGCTGGTTATCTTAGCTTAGCATAAAGACTGGAAACAGGGGTAAACAGCTAGCGTGGCTCTGTCCAAAGGTAACAAAATCCAGAATCAATTAACATCTCGTTAGTTTAATCTGTACAACTGAAGACTAAAAATCACAAATTGTGTTGTGTTTTTTTGCATATGTGTCAAAGTGAAACAACACAGCCAGAAATTACAGTGGGTGGCATGATTCTTTGAACTCACATGACTTCGAGGCGTGCAGAGCGAGAATCGTTGCCAGCCTGTGATGTCACAGTGCAGGTGTAATCCCCAATGTCACCTGACCATGTCTGGCCAATAGTGAGAGAGCCCTGGCGCACAGAAACACGGCCCCCACTGGTTGGAAAGACCGGCACACCACCACGATCCCATTTAAAGCTGCAACAGAGAGAGTATACATGCACTCTATACTGTATGTATTTATACCGTATGAAAAATAAAGAATCAGGTGTGATGTAATAATCACAACAAACTAATAAACAGGTACCTGATGTTGACTCTGGGGTCATGTGTAGCGTTACAGTCCAGAATAGCAGTGGTTCCTTTGATAACACGCTGGTCTGTTGGAGGCACAGAAATGACTGTACGACCTGCAAAACACCAAAGAGAGAGAGAGAAGGATAGAGAGAGTGAAGCGGAGGAGGTGCAGTGACACAGGTGGGATGAGTCCAGAGGTTGAAATTAAATTCGCTTAGTATTCTCCTCTTGTATTAACACGACACACAGACTTAATCATAATGTGTTTAAAAGTATGCTGCAGAATAATTCAACAGTATTTACTAAGGTACATATATGTCAAAAAAAAAAAAAAAAAAAAAAGAATCAGCCAATCAATACGTTTACCGGCTAATCAATCATCCTCTTACTTGGCCAATCACTGTTGCACCAGCCCACTGCATCAATAACCAATCACACTGCCGTTCACAAGTCTGAGCTAATGCGATTGGACGGCTACGGACAAATTAGTGTTCCATGTCTGTTTTAGTCTGTTTGGCAAATGTCTATTGAGCAGTTTAATGTATTTTTGTTTGTGACTGTAGTGTGTACGCATAGCTGTCTTACTCCACACAGTGAGCGTGGCAGTGGCATTGATGGCTCCCTCTGAGTTGGAGGCGATGCAGGTGTATTCTCCTGAATCCTGGAAGCTGACTGGTTGAATCTGCAAACCGCCTGACTGCAGCAGTGTGAACCTGGGAACCTGGACAGAGCCGCTGGCTAAGACCTGCAATCCTACAGAGAGAGAGAGAGAGAGAGAAAACAATAAAATAGCCCTGAGGGGAGGGGAAATAATTAAGTCATTAAGCACATTTTTAATTACAAACACATTATGTGAGCGTGTCTGGGTATATGTCAGTGTGTATGCTCAATGAGTAACAGAGTGTGTGTGGTTTGTTACCTTTCCTCCAGGTGATGGCTGGTTTTGGAGCTCCGCTCGTCTGGCAGGTAAATGAGGCTGTGTTGCCATCAGTTACAGTTCGGTCGGATGGGGGGAATGTAAATGTGGGGGCCACACCTGAAACACAGAATGAGAGCATGAGAGGAAAGAAGACAGGGAGGTGGCTGCTGAGAGCAGAATGGTGGGAAAAGAGTGGACTATGAGTGAAGCTTAATGTCAAAGAGAAAACAGAAGAATGGAAAGGGAAAGGATGACAGTGTTGATCTAAACACGAATGCTTTCTCTGTGATCAATAGAGGCTTTATTCATTACCTGGGGCTCCGTGCGTGTGCATTAATGTGGAAGGTGGTGGTGGGGAATCTCCAGGGGGACATTTAATTATAATCAAACGCTCACTAAACAGAACCTAACTCTGCAGAGACAAATATAACTATACATACAGACTGACACCAGCTGCAAACCATCAAATCAAGGCAGAACATTTAACTGACATTGACTTTCACTTGAATTCAAAAGGCAACCTGATATTTTGTTTTAGGTTGAGCTATGATTGGCTGTTACTTTAATACCAAGAAGAACTAAACAGCACAACAGGCTCCAGATTTTCAAATGAAAGCAAATGACTGCTGACACTTTGACATGGTCTGCAATGCATATCAGCAGCAAATGCCTGCATGTACCTGTATGGTAGGTAAATAAAGTGGAGTGGAAAGAACAATAAAGCTGACACGACTTGGTGTTTATTCAGTTAGTCAGTCTAGCTACTTTGGTAATTCATACTTGAAAAACTGTTTTAAGTTGTCAAAGCAAAAGGCCAACAAGGTTAAGGAAAAACACTTTAAGTATTTCCTGCTTATCTTTGTCTTATTTGAAAGGCAACTGGATATTTTGAGACTATTTCTGACTTTTTAGATACTACAAGATCAATTGAAATTATAAATTAGAGACTATTTGATAACAATTTTGAGCTGCAGCCCTAAATAAACAATTACAGCATATATAAACTAATATGAAAGAAAATGGCACAGACAAATAAACGAGGTGAATAAGGAGTTAAGATAAGTGAGAAACAAAGTAAAGGGCAAAGGTAATAGTGGCATCTGACGGGGAAGAAATCAGCGAAAATAAGAAGGGATTTAAGAGCATAAGCAATGCTACTGTAGGTGTGTGTATACAAGATTGCATGTTTGTCAGAAAAACTCACTGGAGACAAGAAGCTGTGTGTGCGTCTGGCTTTCTCCTGCAGCGTTGCGAGCAAAGCACTGGAATATTCCTCCGTCTCCTGGCTGCACCCTGCGCACCGTCAGCCCGGTTGCTGTGGTGACCTTGTAGCGAGGGTTGGCCAGTTTGGAAAGAGGCACTGTGTCCTTATACCACTCTATCCTGGGCTGGGGCACGCCTACACATGTGCGCACGGAAAACAAACACACAGAAGGACAAAATTTTCAATTTCCTTAATAACAAGCCACTCTGCTCTGACCTCACTGCTGAGCAAATTGCTCCAACTCCCACTAAAACAGCCACACACACTCTTTTTGCCAATCTTTCTTCACTGTTATCCACTCTCTCCCTATAAATATGCATGCAGGCATAATGACTGCTAATAATATATTGATCGGAGGGTGTGGGTGGCGGCGTAAGGGTGGCAGAAGGGGCCAAAAAACATTCTGAATAAAATATGTGATAAATATGTGGTAAAGAGCAGCACACCTACAGTATCAGCACCCACCTGTCTGACGGACATGCCAGATATGACAGGCAGGGGGCTCATGCAATTACTCCGTTTCGACACTCCACGCTGGTGTGTGTGTGTGTGTGTGTGTGTGTGAGATGAATTCCACAGTTTTTCTCAATCTGTTGGTGTCAAGCTTTCACAGACATGCGTGAAGTATTTTTCACCCCCCCCCATGTCTTGCTCACTGTCACTCTACACTCTATCTATCTTTCCTCCTTCCCTTGTTCCTCCTCCCTGCCTCCATCCCTCTCTCCATACCCTCAGGCCTCTGCTATTTAATTACACTGCCACTGTATCAGATTACTGAGGAGGGACATAAACTTGCTCAGCGTGTGTGAGAGAGGGAGAATGTTGCAGTTTTTTGTGCTATGTCCAGCTGTGCTCAAATAAGGGTTTTCATGTAATCCATTTAAAAACAAGAGTCGTGAACAAGTGCAATTTTCAGGCTTGGTCTCAACATGTTAATCTGCTCATGCTGCCAAAAGTAAAGGGTCACTGTTCAAGAAGCCTTGAAACTAACTCATACACATACTGAATGACGTCAGACCTCAGCATAATGCGATTTGGACAGAGTCACCTTGACACACCGTGCAGCAGATAGTTCTACAAAGAGCAGGACCAACTCCTACGACAAAGCGACTCTGACATTCGCTGCAGACGCAGCATTAAGATATGAAACTGTCATATGAGGATTCACCACAATCACTTCTGTGACCCATCTGGAAGCAAACATCAGCAGAGTACGGGTGATGGACTAATGAATGCCACTAATTCTCCAGTTAGGTATGATTAAACCATTGCAGAAGAAGAGTGTGCAGCAAGATGATGCAATTAAAATCTCAAACAACAGAAACCCATCTGATGTTTTCGTCTCTTTAGTGGAGCAGAAGTTTGACTTGATGTTTAAGACACCTGCTTCTTGTACCTCATGATTTATTCCCTAAGTCTGTTTCATTTGCACTTTGCTTTTATTGATACACCAACTTTTCCACCTCAGCGAAGCATTAAAACTTTTTTAATTTGCAACATTCAGACTTTTTTTCCCCCAAATTTCCCTGTATTTACACAAATGTGTTTTATGCGCAAATTGAAAATGGTTATTAAAACCAGCGGATGGAAGCACCAGATTTTTAGCATACTGAGACCTGAATCTTACACTTATGCTCACACACACACACACACACACACACACACACACACATACACACACACACACACACAAACACACATGCGGTGTACCTGTAGCAAGGCAGGGGATGTCTACATTCCTGTCGAGATCAGCGAAGATCTTCCTCTTGGGCTGAGCAGTCAGAGAGGGTGGTTCTGCAGGAAAAGAAAGTTAGCATTCTGTATCAATATATCCATAAATCTCTGGAAAAAAAAAAATTATATACCTGAAAAAAAAAAAAAGAAAATAAAGAAGAAGTGAGAGTTTGCCTCTCCAAGTATTTAGTCATTAGTAGAGTCTTGGAGAAGAGCACTTGGCACTGCAGAATAAAAATGGGTCCTTCTTTTGGCCCTGAGTATCTTGAGTGTCATTGCAAAGCAGGTTTTCTGTCTCTACACCCTGTGAAATGACTTCCACATAGTTGCAGAAAAACACATTCTCCTAGTTTCCCAAGGGAAACAATCACCTTTTTAAACTACTCCATTTTGCTGCCAATAACCGTTCCCTCTAAACATCTTCACCAGCGTCTCTCTAAATTCTCACAGAAGCTCAGAGAAAAAAAAATAAAAAATTCTCTCTATTTGAATTTGAATATATGCCTTTTGGTGTATTACTGTAATGCTACATTTTATATAAAAAAAAAAAAAAAAACACCTACTCCTACATACGCTCCATTTCTTTCAAAAACATTTGTTAATATTTAGCGGGAGATATTGACACAGCAAGCAGAGAGAGGGGGGAGAGGGGGGAGAGGGGGAGTGAGACAGGCTGGCTAATTCATTCTCAGTTTCTGGCATCTTTGGAAAAGTGGCTCCACACAGTTGTGGCACCAGGTTGTGGCACCTGTTCACTGAAAAATGACTTTGAGGAAAATGAAATGTCCAGTGTATGCATTAATAATGAATGTGCACGCTGGTTGTCACAAAGATATAATTCTTATGGAATGAAGAGAAGGTATTTTAATATAAGTTTTAGTTCTGTACTTTTTTCTCAAGCGCCTTGTACAATAATAATGTGCTGTCATTCTAATGCTATTGTACTTTAAAGAAAAAGAAATCCTTCTCCTCCTGAGTTTCTTTCTCTCAATTTCTCTGTCATTCCTTCGCACAGTGGAGGGTAAACTGAAGTGGCAATAAAAAAAGTGACAAACTATAAGTTTGATAAGCCTGTGTGTGTGTGTGTGTGTGTGTGTGTGCGCGCGCTACACTGTAGACTCCCATGTTTGTGCTACATTTATGCTACTTGTCTACACCGACTTTAAAGTTCTTTACTACTTCGTGGTAACTTTTAAACCCACACGTATGCGCATCTCCTATCTTTATCGTGCACGTTGGAATTTTTTTTTTGACAAGAGAACGCGGGGAGCGTGCAGCGAGGGGAGAACAGGAAAACAAGAGATGAATAACAGCCTTGTGGCGTGACACCGATAACACAGACGCGTTAATCCCCTTCAGTCAGGTGAGTGCAAGGACCTAGACGCACAAATACAACAAAACACATTTTGGAGTGTTTGGGTGGCTGGATTTAGAGATTTGAGCTTTCGCGGATTCCCTGCTGTCTGCCTGCAAAACAAAGATGGAGAACAACAACAGAAATATTGTTGTTTGCAACAGTAGCCGTCTGTACAGCGTACAGCACGATGCACGCAGTGTCATACATATTCCGATTCGTGGATCGGGGCAGAAAAGAAATGAGATTGAATAATGAATACCTTTGAGGCTGTCTCCTTCTCTCACACAGACACATACACTATTCTGTTTAGGAATCCCTTTCATTGCATCAAGGTCTGTTGAGCTCATAGCAGAAAGGGGATCAGTACCAATGTATTCATTAGTCTCTTCTCCTCTGATACATATGAATGCATGCAGACTTTGCCCCTGCCAGGCAGACCTTAACAGTCCTCTTGGCCTAATGAAGGATGATAACGTCGAGAGAAGGGAGGGCTGAGAGAAGAGGGTACAATACTAAAAGTGGTGGTAGAGATTGAGGGGGGCACAGACAGAGAACGAGTGGGGGTATAAATATTCAGGCAGGTCTTTTCTAACTAGTGAGTATTCTGTAGGCGTGGGTAGTTTGCTCTCCGTGTTACGTGCTCCCTCGCTTCGATAATCACAGCAGATCAAAAAGACGCTGACGAACTGGGTGAGAAAAAGTTTTGCTTCATCAATCACACGCTCCCTGCCTGCGTGTATGTTGTTTTCTATTTACGCACACATATCGAGGACAGGAGAGGATTGTGACGAGAGCGCTCTTGTTTGAGTGCTTTCAGTGTTCTCGTATTGACTGGCGACTCCAGGGAACAAAACTAATTTAGCTGCCGGGTGAACGGGCATGTGTGTCTGTGGTGCCGTTTTGTGACTCTGTGCGAGCGTTGAGTATACGCATGCATGTGTTTGCGATCACACGTGGATGAATTTGTGCGTACATGAATCAGCTGTTTGTGACTACAATGGACAGTTTATTGGTGGGTGTGCACTACACATTCAGCTCGAGTAGCCCTGTAGTTGACAGTCACTGCCTGGGGTTTTTTCACAGTCACGCTTGCAGGAGAAAAGTAAGAATAAATGGAGGAATAAACTGAATGAAAAAGCACCTGGAGCAAAAAAAATGTAGAAGAAAAGACAAGAGCAAGGTTAAAACAGGTATTAATGGTACATGTTGCGGCCATTAGTCCTGATGGTCAGGCCTACTAGGATAATCATGGATAATCATGTTAGGCAGAGTGTGTGTGTGTGTGTGTGTGTGTGTGTGTGTGTGTGTGTGTGTGTGTGTGTGTGTGTGTGAGAGAGAGAGAACGAGCGACTGTCTTTTTTCTTACCCATTACAGTGAGGTGTGCCCTTGCTTCCACAGGTTTGGCGGTGCTGTTGCTAAGCAACGCTTCACAAACATATAACCCAGTGTCTGAAGAGGTGGGGGCAGGAATAATGAGCCGACGCCCACTGGCCAGCCGACGCCCATCCCGTTTCCATGACACCATGAGGTTGTCCACCGGTCTGAGAGAAGAAGAAGAAGAAGAAGAAGGAGAAGAGGAGAGAAGAGAAGAGAAGAGAAGAGAAGAGAAGAGAAGAGGTGTGGAGAATCAGAGAAAAAGCAAAAGAGTGACAGAAGGCAATTACAACATATTAAATCCATCAGTTTATGTGTCAATGAGGCAGGAAATGAATGATGACAGTCTGTATATCAGAGCAGTCAGCTCTACTCAGCATGAAGAAGCTTCAGTCAGCTACTCTGGATGTTGGGAAAGGGAATAGGCTTTCAGGGAAAAAGAGATTTTGTTTTGAATAAACAACATCAAAACACCATTCTTTACTGTGTGTGTGTGTGTTTGAACGTTTGAGTAAGACAGCATTAATACAGCATCATAACAACTCACGAAAGTGCAACTCAATTTTTTTTTGCTGCGTTTTCATGCAACAGTTCGATTTTGACAAGCACTCTGCATTAAACTTGAAGTGAAATACTGGAAAACAGCTAATTATGTAATCATCAGATGTATTTGGTTAAGGACAGCTTTAAAGTCACAGTTCAGTCATGGGATTTGTCTACAAATGCTAAACTGTGAAAATCAATCAAGATGTGATGAAGCAAACATAAATGGTCATTAGTGTAATAAGATGCTATGATCATAATTAAACATCAACAGCGCTGATGAAGTGTGTACTTATATGATTATAATAATAATTAGGTTTATGTTAGAAAGGTTTGTAAACCAACCAACCAAACAACCTCAACCAAAACTACGACATAAAACAATGACATAAAAAAAGGCTGCCTGTGAAATAGATAGATGGATAGATAGATAGATGGATAGATAAATACTTTATTAGGATAGGATCATATATGATGATATATCCTATATCATCATATATGATATAGGATCATAAAATGGCATTGGTAATGACATTATCTTCAGATATTCATACATTCATATTCAGAGATGTGCAGTAGGTGAAGACAAGCTGCTAATTCAGCCACGTTAAGATGAATGAGATGATGCTTTTGTATGTGATGAATGAAAATTCAGAGACATATTCTCGGTTGCTGCTGTTTTGGATGTAAATCAGGTCAATTTAAAAAAAATAAATAAAAAATCAAGACACTAAGAACAAGTATGTGTAAGAAGGCATATATTACTGAAGTTTCTTAGAAGTAGGTAGCTTAGATGTATTTGCAACCAAGTCCACTTAATATGCAGTCCAACTGTAAACAATATAATGTCAGACAGAAAATCTATTTTGCCTTTTATTAGGATACAGTTGAGAGTATGCTGCTTCCTCTCTCAGATATATACACCTTGAGGTAAAGACAAAGTTGGATGGAAAACTAATTAAATTACTGCCAGGCAGATATGTCAAAATTTGAATATGCTTAGTCAGTGGATCCTGTCTACAACAAAAGAATTGGAAATTCACCCAAAGACAAAAAAGCTGATTTTACAGCTCTTAATATTAGGCCTACTGGCACTGCTTGTTTTCAGTCAAACTCCTAATTATTTAATTGCTCTACCTAGACTGCACCGGTGCATATGACTGATTAATGGTCAACGGATCTGGATAGCAGATGCTTTCAGACTTGAGCACTGCATTTTATTTCACCTATCGTACTCTTGTTTCTCCCAAACTGCAATGGTATAGTTTGTCTTTCTAAGTTGTTCCCTGGCTAGAGAATTATCTCTCTGGAGTGAGTATCTTTCAGTGGCTGCTTCTCTGATATCAAAAATAGTCCCTGTGGAAAGGATTGTTCCTGGCAGAAGAAATGCAAGAGACTCTGTGCTGATTTGTCTGCAGTTGTAATACCAGTGTAGCAGGATACAGAGACCAAATTACTTGGCAATAAATGAAAAAAAAAAATCTATCTAGTCTGACCACACTTCTCATTATTTGCATGATGGAAATGCATCCTGCTGTTGCTAGGATTTTTTTTTTTTTTTTTTTTACACCTAGGTGGTTTAGTGCTGGTTAATGAGAGAGAAACATTTAAAAGGGACTTCAGCTCTCACCAAACAAAGCAGCCTGACTAACCCAGACTAAAGAGCATAATCCAACCAAAAAAACTTGTCCACAGTGAAACTGAAAACAGCATTGTGAACAAGAAGAGCGCAGGATATCACTTGTTAAGTCCAGACAACTCAGAGCTGTTATCATCCTGGCTGGCAGTGCTTCTGTTCAAAGCAAACTAAGTGTCTCTTTTTTGCATCAATCAATGTTACTTTCAACGTGAGAGCACGTCTATGGGAGTATGTTACAAAAGGTAAGAGTATTGGTAACGTTCTCCTTGAGTATGTTCTGAAAGGCAGCTGCAGCCACTCAAAAAGTTTCCACCATCCTTATGGCTTCAGAATTAGTGAATTCACTGTGTGATACAGAAAACATTAGCAAGTACTGCATAAGTAGCTCTGCTGTGCTAATGCCTTGACTAATACATAGAAATAAGGCTGAAAATTGGTGCTCCTCTAAAGTCTATCCACGCTGCATTCAAAACAAACACTGAATTGTTTTACATTAAGTACATTTAAGCCAGAGCTCAGTTACATTCCCAGCCTTATGGGACACAGAGAGGTTGGACAGTGTGAATCTGAAGGATGAGTGGAAACTGATTACGATTGAGTTTCTGGCAATTCGTGAACTGAAGCAGAATTTGCAGTTGCTCTGAAAAACATCTGTTGAGTCAGACTAGACTGCACCTCCTCTGTGTGTGTGTGTGTGTGTGTGTGTGTGTGTGTGTGTGTGTGTGTGTGAACAGTACTTGGCATGGGGCAGTGTAAATTTGTGGGTGTGTTTGGCTTCTCTGCTGATGTCAGATGGGACTTTCATCCAACTTCTGTTTAAGTTAACTTGGTACTGTTGTGTGTGTGTGTGTGTGTGTGTGTGTGTGTGTGTGTGTGTGTGTGTGTGTGTGTGTGTGTGTGTGTGTGTGTTGAGAGTGTGTGTGTGTGTGTGTGTGTGTGTATGTGTGTGTGTCTATAAACTAATACTGGGGGGGAAGACACTTGCTGAGCTATGGATTTTATGGTGTCCTCTAATTGCTGTGGAAGAAAACAAGGAAGGAATTGTTCATGTGTGTGTGTGTGTGTGTGTGTGTGTGTGTGTGTGTGTGTGTGTGTGCGTGTGTGTGTGTGCAAGTACATAAAAGAAATTTACCTGGCATTAGCGATGCACTCCAGTGTTGCCTCGCTCCCAGCCACCACTGTTGTGTCTTTAGGTCCAATCACAATCGCTGGAGCCACAAGCTCTGACTCAGGATCTGTGACAGAGGGAGAAAATATGAGCGGCAGTTTAGCTCATAAATCACACTCCCGCACACACAGCAGCATAATCACAAGCATGGATCACAATAGTTTCTCACACGCGCTGTTATACTCATTTACACGTGCACCATCTTACTCTCCTCTACTTGCTATAATAATTTTTCTAACACACACAGCTATATGCACCATCACACTGTCTACTGTGTTACACAGCCTCACTCTATACATTTAGCCTTCTAACCATCTAACCCCAAACAGTCCGGCTTTTGGATGAAGGGGTAGATTTCTGCTGTTCCAAAGGGGCTGCTGTCAAATGATCCGACATACACTGCAGTGATTTTAAAATCATTGGTGTAGCATTGTACATGTTGCTAAAACCGTAGACATGACTGAGACTGTGATGCGACGCAGATAAACTGAACTTTGCAGCAAAACAGATGAGACGGACCAAACTGTCTGCATCTTCCTGGCGTTTTTACAAGGGCTGGGACGATATGTTTATCTCCCGGTTCGATACTATCACGATGCTTGGGTGCCAATTCAATATGCTTTGCTATTTTAAAGTATCGCGATTCGATATTGCGATTGTTTATTACGATTTTTGACTAGACCATGGTAAAAACATGAATCATACACTTCTATTGAGTATATATATCATGAGTCATATTTCCAAAAGCAATGCAGATCACATGTCAGTCAGTCTTCCTAAGTCTTATTTCAGCAGCATCATTGGTATAAACCCCCTTGGCTCCGTCTTATCGCCATGCCAACAAAAAATGTGTCACTAGGAATAACACTTAAGAAGTCAGTAGGCCATATATTAGTCTGCAATCTGTTCGTGAGATAAAGCACTGTTGTAACCGCTGGAGACAATCCCAGCTGACATTGGGCGAGAGGCGGGTACACTCTGGATAGGTCGCCAGTTTATCACAGGGTGTCACACATAGACACAGACAACCGTTCATGCTCACACCTACGGGCGATTTAGAGACACCAATTAACCTAACCTGCGTGTCTTTGGACCGTGGGAGGAAACCCACACAGGGACGAGGAGAACATGCAAACTCGCCGCAGAGAAGCCTTGGGAGGGATTCCAACCCAGAACCTTCTTGCTGTGAAACATCGGTGCCAATCACTGCACCACACACGCACCACAGTTCTCACTTATAAACAGTCTCATTCTCTGTCAAACACACCTCTGTTCTGTCTGAGACACACTACCAAACAGGCTTTAGTGATGTATTGGAGACGGTATGATGGCGTGTGTGAGTCACATTAATAGTGCTTAGAAAACGAGTACAGCGGTGTGAGTGTGTGAAGAATGATTTACGACCTAAAAGGTGTGTGGGAGGTTATGGGGGTATCTGTGCAATATTATGATTGTGTGCTTGAGTATGACTTATGGTGTGTGAATGGCCTCTCATGAGAGGAGGACACACTTGTACTGACATCAGTTTGAAATGTGAAACAAAAATTACTATTAAGAAAGTATAAATATTTTACAGAATGTGTGAAGCCTTCATATTATTGTTATAGGTACGTGTGTGCATGTGCAGGTACGTGTGTATGAACATCATTGGGTTTCTCATGGCTACACTGTATAACATGAATATGTAGATTTCCAATAAAGGAGGAGTAGGGAGTACAAATTAACAGGCTAGCTCTGATAGCGGTTGGAGGAAGGCGGGTTTGCAGGGGAGGCAGGGGGAGGCGGGGAGCAGCTTTGATCTCCCTTTTGAAGGGAAGGAGGAAAAGGTGGTAATTGACTCTGCTCTTTACTCCTCTTTCTCTTTCTCCCTCTCTACTCTTTCTTTTTTTTTTTTAATCGGAGGGAAAGAACCGAAAAGTCATATCCCACTGCCACGTGGAATATTAGATGCAGGTACAGGAAGACACAGAAACGCCTGTGCACACGCACGCACGCACGCACACACACTCATGACACTCATTCTACTGTGCAATCACCTGTGGAATCACCTCACTAACTCCTTCATGTATATACTGGTCCGTTCCCACTTACTCTCTGCTGGACTGTCTTAGTGTCACGTGCCGTAGCCTTCCAGTGCTCTGTTCTTCGAATGCCTGTTTTGATTGTTTTGATCGTGGTTTTGTTTTTGACCTTGCCTGTGTTGTTTGGATTTCGCCTCAACTCGACCCTTTGTACTTTGTTTGCCAGCTCGGATTTTAGTATCAATAATTGTTTTGTTTTTTCCCTAAGTAAAGACTTTTTACTTTTATATCTGCGTGCTGAGTTGGGCTTTTGGGTTCCTTTTGTGAGAAACCTCTCACACACACACAAATAACACACCAAACAAATTTCTCCCAGCTTAACCGAACCTTAAGCATCACTCTCAGCTTCTCCCTGTTTCTCCATGACACACACACATACATATTTACATATGTTTATACACACACACGACTGCTTTGCCTTTAAAACTGCTTTGTCTTTAATTTCATTGTGCAGACAGTAAAATCTTATACGATGTGTTACAATACGAAAACTAAGAAGTGAAGATGGGAGTGGGTGGAAGACAGATAGACTCAGGAAGGCGACCGACGGGCAGAGGTAGAAGTAGAGAGAGCGAGAGTAGAGTGTCCATTAGCCGTCCACTGTGGGAGGCAGAGGTCAGGCGGGGACTAGTAGCCATCAGTGCAGCTTTAATGGCAGCAGCGGCCGCAGATAATGAGCGGAGGGGGGATGTGAACACAACCTGTTAACTTGGGCTGTGTGTCTGAGGGGAGCAGACAGAAAGATCAGGACAGCAGGAACACCGGTATGACAAGGGAGAACACGGGGGAAAGAGAAAAGGGCTCGGAGGACAGAGAGAGAGAGAGAGAGAGAGAGAAAGTATATATGTGGCTGGGAAAAGCGAGGGGGGGACTGTGCAGATGGTCTTCTTCCTAGAGTGACAGACATGATGGTAGAAGTAGAGGGGGAAGCAAAATGCCATATGGTTGTGTGATCTGCGCTCTTCTTTTCTCTCTGTCAGCGTGTCTAACATCCTTTTTCTCTGAGGGAATCTCTATCAATTCATCTCATCTGTATCTCTCATTCCCTGCTGCCTACCCTCCATCCCTTATTCACTATCATCCTCTTATCTCCTCCTTTTTGTTGCTTAAACAGGGATTATTAAATTAATCTTCCTCAACTTAAACAAGGAGAAATATTCAAACTGGCAGGCAGTGTTACCGTGTGTGTGTGTGTGTGTGTGTGCAAGCTGTGGCAGCTAAAAGGCTCCCTGTAAAGATTTCACAAAGATAGTCCAGCAGTTTAATCTAACTCTAGTGGATTCCTCATTTACCAAATGAGAAACATCATGTGGCAAAGAGAGGGAGAGTGAAAGTGATGGAGGGAAGGAAGGCAGAAAAAATTGCAGGGTTGTAGTATAACGAAGCAATATCACAACAACAACTTGGGGCTGAAGGGATTCATTAAAGAGAGAGGGATGATAAAAAAAGAGGAGCTGTTAAAGCAGTTTAAAAATAAATCAAAACTGATGATAGGGGAGGAGGGAAAAAAAAGCATAAATTCTGTGAGTTTATGTGTGTGTGTGTGTGTGTGTGTGCACTTGGATGTGGATATAATTTAGCACCAAAGAGGCATTGATGCATTGCAACGTTACAATGGTCTCGTCAGTGCAATCATAGCTGATTGACAGAAAAGTGCTGCTGAGGTGACACAGCTGTGTGAAACTGTGCATGTACTGTAAATGTGAGGGTGTGTGTGTGTGTGTGTGTGTGTGTAACGCTCACATGGAAACAGAAAAATCCCAAATTAAATCAAGGATGGGAACGATAAAAAAAAAACAAAACAGGGTTGGTAAAAGGATTGGTGCAGCTTTAGGGCAGGAAAGAGATAGAGATGGATAAATAGAGAATGAGAGAGATAGACAGAGACAGAGAGAGAGGGAGGGAGAAAGAGATGAAAGGCTATTCCATCCACAGATTAGAATGTAATCCCTCTTTGAACGGATTCTCTCAGATTACAGCTTGTTCTCCTATTAAATCTGTCAGTCACTCCACACTCCCTATAGTGTCGGTGAGTAGGCCAGTGTGTGTGTGTGTGTGTGTGTGTGTGTGTATGATCTTTCTATGACTGTAAATCTTTTGAGACAAATCTCTGCAGAGACCTCGAGAGCAGAGGGATTGGCTGAGAGGTGAGGGTACACACATCTCCCGCTCTTTGCATGCACATGTCCATGCATGCACACGCGCGTGCACACACACACACACGCACGCACACACACACCCGCACGCGCGCACACACACACACACACACATACACAAATGCTCACAGGGGGAGGCGGGTGTTAGCTGACTGTGTATTAATAGAGTTGTCAGATATGTGTCTGCAGGGTTCACAGCCAACTAACACATATCACACTGAGACCATACACACAACAGAGAGAGAAAGAGTTTGAGAGAGAGGAAGAGAGCGAGAATTTGAGGGAGAAAGCAACGAAGTGGAAAGAATGACGGGAAGGAAGGGCACTGGAAATGAGAGGTTTAAGAAAACGGAGAGCTTTTCTAAATATTTTAAAGAGTTTTTTTTCTGGAGGGTATACAAAAATAAATGGAAAGGAGAAGGTGATCATTTGCTGATCTCTCGAGAGAAAGTACTGCATGTGTGTGAGAGTGGGGTGAGTGTTTGTGTGTGTCACTGCACTCATTAATGCTGCATGCTGACAGCTAAGTGTCATCGTCTGACTACACTTGCCTTAGAATGCCAATATAAAACCACAAGCCAAGACATGCCACACACACACACACACACACACACACACACACACACACACACACACACACACACACACCAAGAGTGGAAGATCCAAGCCCCAAGGGGCGACAGACACAGACAATGGGAAGCAGTGAGAGGACCGAGAGAGATGCCCGATGTTAAATATTCATCTCTTCCTTCATCTGCCAAACCTTCTATCTATCTCTGTCATTGCACCACACAAGCGATGGAGGGAGGAGATGGAGAGATGGTAAAGAGAGAGAAAAGAGAGAAAGTATTATAAGTAACACAACACATGTAGCAGTAATGGAAAGGCAGAGCAGGATTTAAGCTCTTGAGAGTGCTCAATGATTATTTGATTAATTTTGAGTATCATATTAGTTGCAGTTTTTTGGCTGCTTGACAAAACCCACACTGACATAATGAGGTAACATTTCATCATCACCATGCTGAAATATGGGCGTGTGCAATTGCTTCATGCCTGCAAACTTTTTGGTACAGTGGGGAAAATTAAGATAAAACATTTTTCCCCCATTAATTCTGAAAATCATCAACATTTGTCAATGACTCATAAGATTAAATTCTTCTAAAAAAATGTAGGAACTCGCACATTCTCATATGGTTAGTGCTCTAAAAGGACAAAAAGACTTTATATTCATAAGTGTGTGTTCCTATATTAAGCAACAAATCCATTACTTTATGTTTTAAATATCTGGAGGTGTACACATGGCTCTCCACTGGGCGTGCACACCTGCAGCTGCTGCAGAGACAGCGTCACGTGGCTCGCAGGTGACACGGGGGAAGGCGCTCCTTTCGCCGGCGGCCAGCCACAAGATTATGAATTTGATAGCGATATTCAGCATGACATGCCCGCACTTGAGTGTGCAGCGGTAAATTACAGTGTTTGCACACTATGACATCACCGCCAGCAGCTTGCAGACACAGATAAATTATGTTATCAGAAAGCTAAAGCATCAAGTCATGCTTTTAATGTCATTTCAAACATTCTATTCTCATTCGGCCACACCTCTTTACAGCTATTGTTGATTTCATATCACTCAGATTTCAGTCAAAATCTTGTTAAATGTGTTGAAATTAGGATAACACTCTACCAGCTATAATTTCAAAATGACTAACTGGTGGAGACATCAGTGGAACCACACACCTGCCTTGTGTGGCAAACTTTGATGGCAGTAGGGAGGCTGGTCTGTAACTACACCTAAACCTGCTATGATCCTAATTATCCATAATGCTCTTATTGTTGTGAACTGCACACCTGAGTCATTTCCCCGCACAATGCCACTGACAGAGTCCCAAAACAGATGTACTGATGTCAAGTAGACGGAGTCTAGGTTTTGAAACGCTCTCTGCCTGATTGACTGCAGGAGGTCTCCGGCTGTGTACTGGTCTGTCTATCCCTCCCTTTTCCCTGCGAGTTGAACATTGTATCGGTCGCACCTGGCTGCAGTCGATCCCCCTTGTTACACAATGTCACCTTTGATCGGACTGAAATTTAAATATTCTTCCCGTTTGATGTTTGTCTGCTTTATTTTACCTAATGTCTTAGAGTGGATGTGAACGACTGAAATGAGTTTACAGTGATCCACGACTCTAAAAGACTGTGGGACAGGGACATAAACCTCTGACGTCCTTGCTCTGCAGAGACAGGCGGAGGGAGAAGGACTCACACCTGAGTGTTTTAGCCGAGCTCAGGTAATAGGCACACTCAGGCGATGCTGATGTCAGTTAGCATGTCTGATGTAGCAGGCAGGCAAAATGCTGCGCAAATGAAGTGAAGCCTGCGGGCTTGTTCAGGCAGTCGACTAATGTCTGCCACCGCACTCACATGGCATACTCCTCTCACTGCAACATAGAACCTATACAGCCTTTTCATTATGGAGGTGTACATAAGCCCTCGGTGCTCATGCTCACTCTCTGCACACCTGAAAGCTGTGCTGTCACTTGCTGCCACTGCTGCTGTTCATGTAGCTTTTCAAAAGCCCCACCTCCACCCTGGCATCCCCTTGTAGGCTGTGAGTCAAGGTTCCCCTTGGTAGGAAGTTATTATCATCACTCCACATTCCCTGCTGTGCAGAACTAACTGTTTTATTGTAGGGAGTGACGAGGTCAGAGCTTAGACGCCACATATCAACACTGCCATAATAATTAGTTCCACATGAGTTTGCTGACTCAACCCGAATTAAACAACGCAAATGTATTCCTTTGTCACTGTTACTATAATTTACAGGGGAAACATATTTACAAACTACTTCCAAACAGGGATTTAAAAGGACTCTAGTTCTTGCTTCTCATTTGTGGTTGACAAACTGATGATGCTGGCCAGCTACAGGCAACTGACACTAAACTAAACTAAAGCTGTCATTGTAGAACTCACACTTTTGAATATATGTAACTGTAACTAGACTATTTCAGACAGATGTTAGAACTAGATATCCTGTGCTGACTAGATCATGACAAATATGTGTACAGCGATTCTTAAAGTGGATGACATGGCACCCTGGGGTGTCTAAAGGACAGGCAAAGGGTTCTGCAAGGTTTTTTTTTTTTTTTTTTTTAAATCTTCTGCTGCACATTTACTGTAGACCTCATTTTTAACATTTCGCCAAATTAGAAAAAGGAACAGACATTAACATTCACTGAATTTTAATTCTCTGAATAAAAGCTGAAGAAAACGACTTGGCTTACGGCTTTTTAGAAGATTGGGAAGGTGTCACACACAAGAGTCTCTCGTCTGTCAGATGTGGTAATGGTGTCATGTGAGCTCAAGATATATCTTGAGACAAATCAACATTCAAAAAAGATATATACATGGACTACGTGGTGCTGTTTTTGAAAAAAAAAAACTGTTTGGGACACACTGCTGCAAAATATTACTATAGCTAATTTTTTACTGTACTACTCAATAGATACAGGCGTACAGCAGGCTGACCTTGAGGTTAAAGGTAGCCAGCTGCAGGTTTTTCTTACTCGCCATTAGGCACAAACACTGAAACCGCACTAGTGGAACATCTTTTCCAGCATGTACCCACCGTTGCTGCCAATGTGACCTTCAGAAAAAGCGTTTAGATGAGCAGCCCTTAGCTCTGACCTTCTGGTGGGAGCAAAGGGTCACAGCAATATTTGCCTCTGTTTAAAAAGAAGCAGCCAGAGAGAGAGCAGGGAAGATAATGTAAATGTAAATGGGTTCTTTACCTGTTGACCCACGGTTCTTCTTGCCAACTGTCCATCAGCCAGAGAGAATGAGATGAAAAGAAGTGGGATGAAAGGGGGAGATAGGAAGTGGGAAAGGGGAAAACAGGAGAGATATAATTTAGATTTCAAGTGTTTTCGCAGGGTGCAGCAAAAAGACACATTTAGCAAATACACATAAAAAGAGGCAAAAGAAAATACAGGCTTCTACAAATCAGCTGTTCTGAATTGAAGAGGCAAGAAGGAAGAGGAGACTCCTTCCCTGAGAAGGAGGCAAAAACAAACACAGACAAAAAGACACAGAGAAATGGATGAGAGGGAAGAAGAGAGAACGCCATGTTATCATGGAGTCCAGAGGAAGACGAGCTGTTTGCAGCCCATCCATCAACTGCCAGCTACTAAATTTTGTTTCTCTCATTCACTTTTCTTCTCCCTCTTCTATCTTCCCCCCCCTCTGCCTTTCTCGCTGTATTCGTCATACGTCGGGTGGTAGCAAGGCTGTAGGCTGTGAGAAAATGATGGCATTGACATTCTACTGGCAGAAAATCTACATTCACTTTTCATCTATCAATACACTACCCCTTCACGCTCCTATTCAGCCGCTAAGCCACTCACTCGACACTTGAATACCGGGCGTGTGTTGGTGTGTATGTGGTTCGATCTGAGAGTGCGTGTCTGTGTGTTAAAAAACATGCATCAGGGCCTTAATTTAGATTCTGACGTAGCAAATCAGCATCAGCGCAAAGTTCGCTCAGTCTATGCGACAGACACACAAGCGATCAAGAGTGAGCAAGCCAGCTGACGAGGAAGAAAAACAAAAGCAGCTACAAAACACAGCAAGAAAAGGAGCAGAGAGAGGCTCAGACGTTTTCATCATTTCTGTTGGAAATAAAGATGAATCTGTTGTGGACTAGGGCTGGGTATCCGACCTCAGGACTTTGCTACAGATCAAAAATGTGTCCATAGCACTGAGAATTGAAAATGGTCAAGTACTGAAAAATGGTAAAGAGTATCAGGTGAGATTTTGAGTCTTGTTTACTAATTATTCGATTTAAAATCAAATTTTTACTGATTCCAGACTTTTTTTTTTTTTTTTAGTGAGACAAAGTTCTTCTATGGCTGCTAGTGTTAAAGCAAGCAGCATGATTAACATTACACTCACAGGAATATTTTAATATTTAACCAACACTTGATACAAATACAAATAGAAAACAAAATATTAGAAGCACCACATGATGAAAGCAAATGATTTTTTGGGACTTCTTTGCCCTTTTTTGTCGACATTATAAACAAGTGTCATTATAACGAAAAACAACACGGTTCCTCAAGTTCTCAAAAAATGATCATTAAGTTAAATCATCACATCAAGAAGAACAATTTTAACAACAACAGTACAATATAATCTTCAAGATTTACTGCAGGGCTCTTGTATTAGACAGTGTTGTGTTTGGCAGGGTACAGTACTGCTAATAAACCGATCATGAGCGAATTGAGAGACACACACATACCAAGCGGGAAGGTCCATGGATGAAAAATTAAGCCAACAACCGAAGTGCCGAAAACTGCAGCTCCTCGAAAGGCCGCTTGAGGCTGGCTCTAAAAGCAAGTCAATCCCCATAGACTCCCATGTTAAAATGCCCAACTTTCCAGCAGAAATAAACATGTTTACAGCCTGGTACAAAAAAGGGTTTTGGTCTCTACAGTGAATTCCCTTCTTCGTGACGACTGTACGGGGCGTGAATTTTTATACCGGTTTACATTTTATTAAGGCTTAAAGTTATGCTTAATTGAGGGCATGGCTGCTTTGAGTGACAGGTGGTTGAGCGTATGATTGCTGCATTCACTGAAGTCTCGGCTCCACACACCCCCGACCTCTTTGCCCATTTTTGGATTAGCTGGGAGTCAGGCAGAGTCAGTCAGTGCCAAGATGGTGATGTATATTATATTTCTATATCATATTATTTAGATATTAGTACTTAAATTCTAGTATTGAAAAAACAATGCCCAGACCTACAGTAAACACACTTGCAGACACCCATTCAACAAGAGCAGAGTTTGTGCTGTTCAGTAGCAGCACTGCGAAGTCTATTATTTTGGAGAGTCTGGAAGCGGGTCAGCACACACACACAAATGCAAACAGACACACAAACAGAAACATGCAGGCTTTGGTCTGGGGGGCATACAATTCTGCATGTGTATTCAAATGATGTGTCATACTGAGTCATCTTCAGTTTCAAATGGGAACAGAGAAACAATGGGGACATCAGGGGACAACAGAAAGAGCGTGAGCGAGACTGCCTGTGTGCGTTCACAGCACAACAAAGCATCTGATGTTCACAGGGCTGAATCCACTAAATACATTTTCCAGTAACTTTCACTTCCGTTGTTGTTTTGCGAGAATCTTTGAAATGCCTTGGATCATTTCTCGCCTTAATCAGTGTGTTTATTGATGCGCATTTCACAGCAGATAACATGCTGCTACTGTAGCACAGGTGAAAGATGCTCTCCAGTTCCAGCTCTTAGCCTGTGTGTATATAAAACATGGTTGATAATAATGTGACGTTTAAAATACAATCTGAGCTGATGTGAAAATATTAGTGTGTGCCTAAGTGTGTCTCAGCCTTGAGTATGATTTGTATTCATGAATTTGCTCTTGTATATTCGGCGCCTGAAGGACCTACAAACAAGCAGGTCACCATGTCCTTTGTGTGTACTTGCCACTGTGTGTGTGTGAGTTTTTTTTTTTTGGAAACACTGAGTGTCTATGTGTTTGCGTGCAACAGGGGATAAGTATAGCACTCGTGTCTGCTTTTCAACACAACAATCCTGCATACCTGTACCTGTCCTTCTGTGTGCGTAAAGGTTGTTGTTGCTATGTGTGTCATGTCTCACTGTGTTACTGTCCCAGCTGACCTGTGCAGGTGCTGACCCCACAGTCCCCAGCTGTGGGTCACCGACTTGCTGCAGCACCTGCACACCCTCCATGACTCACCCCTCCTCCCACTTTTCGACACACACAAACAGCCCTGCCGGGGCCCTCCTTCCTTTCTACCCTCCATCTACATACAACCAGACACCCCTCGCCCTTGGTAACAATCTATTCTCCTGCTCAGCTTCGCTTTGTTCTCCCCATCCACCCACATCGGCATCCACTGTCACATTTCCCCAAGTGAAAAAAACACCTTTTTAGCAACATGTTTAGGTCTTTTCTTTCTCTCTCTCTCAGCTGTTTTAAACTCACGAGTTCAACCTTAAAACCCTTACCGTTCCAATTTACCCTGTCAATCTCACTCTCCCTTCCCTCTGTTCGTTTCTCACTCTAAAACACACACACACACACACACACACACACACACACACACACACACACACACACACACACACACCTATTTGAAATTCATATCAATGGCTATACAAATGTAATACTCCAATTTCCAATCCTGACACATGCAGGAGAGAAACACAAGGACTCATGGATCCAACTACACACACACACACACACACACACACACACGCACCGACACACACACACACACACACACACACACACACACACGCACCGACACACACACACACACACACACACACACACAAATCTATGTCCAGTAAAATAATAAGCTGGCTGGAGAGTTGACCCCGGATCTCGGAGCAATTCCTGATAGACCCAGATGATAAAATTTTGTAGTCCATATGCATCCTCTCTTTACATCCAGTAGTCTGTCTCACTTTGTAAATCTGAGTAGGACTGAGGAGCGCTATCATTTATACACAGCATATAAACGCAGTGAGAAGGTTTACATATTAAATTTTTGGTTTTCATACAACCCTACGCTCGGTCTGTCCTGTATTTGAGTCAAATTCTGTCTTTTGCTCAAATTCTCCTTCCCTCCATAAATGTGGACTGTGGGAAGGTTACATCCTCCTGCTGTCTGCCTGTCTGTACTAACCACTAGCACCAGTTGACCTTTCCAATTTACCATGTCAATCATGCCCCTACACATACACATACACACATACGTAGAGGTAAAAGTTTATGTCAATCATCCTTGTATGGAATCCCAAATGTCACCGGGTTTTTGACATTGCCTTTGCTCACAGTCTAAAGGAAAAAAAGGTTAGTTTACAGCTGCCTTTCTCCTCGGTTTTTCATTTCTCTCCTGGTAATGTCTTCCTTCTCTTGTTCCTCCCTTATTTAATTTGTACTCTCCTCTCTTCGTTTCCTATCTCTTTAGACTATAGGTTTGTTTTTCTTTTTGTATCCAAACAGATGCCAGCACTCGAATGCGCACTTGAGATAAAAACCCACCAATCCCTTGTTAAACATTACCTGTTATCACCTCCAGAGTCGAACAAAGAGCAAAGAAATGAGTCAATGAATAAAATGCTCCATTGAAAGCGATAAACAAACAAGCATTCAGCGTCAAAAGGAAACAACAGATGTACAAGGGAATTATAAAAAAAACATGAGAGTGCCATGTAATGAAAATGGGAAATAGATGTAGATGTTCAATTCATGCTGTGAGCCTAATGATGGCATGAAAAGGAGATATCATTTTCAATTCAAAAGAAGAGAGTTGCTTCCGCAAGTTTGTGCCTCTGATATGAGACAGCGAGAGAAAATAGGAAGCCTCTGATCCTCCGGGAGAAACTCAAGAATATTAAAAGTCAAGTGAGGGATGAAAGACAAGTCTTAGACAGGGGTAAGTAGAAGTCAGAAGGTGCAGCTTAAAAAGGCAGTAATGAGTTGCAGCTATACATCTGTGTTCCCCAGTCCTGTTCCCACCACCTCAGGGTGAAATACTAGATGGACAAGGGACCTGAAGACACAAGAACAGGAGATGCATCTTTGCTAAAACAGGTTGTCCCCTTGTTTTTTTCTCCTCTCCATCCATAATGCTGCAGGGTAATCCTCTACCGCTCTCCTTCTTCACTGTCACATCTTCTTTGTCTTTATCTCTCTACCTCTTTCCCATCGCCTCTGGCTCTCTCTTTGTCCCGCAGACTGAAAGAACTGTGTCTAAGAGACCCTC